TGGCCTTGTGGATGGGCATCAACCCCTGACCTGGAGCATCCACCTGGACGTTGGTTGGTGGAATCCACCACAGACAGTATGAGGCACCTTGGAACCGTGGATCAGGATCCTGAACTCACTTTGGGTCGGGTTGGAACCCTCCCCTTGTCCGTCTCATCCATACACTTTCACACAGACATGGTCAGAGCAAAATGTCTCTACCGCCCAAATCCCCTGAACTCCACAACTAAAGGAGTCATGGTGTCCCTTCCACTCTCTGACCCCACAGACTACTCGGGTGGCTCCTGGGGTTCTTTTCAGTTCTACTTCTTTGGAGGTTACTCAGGAGCCTCAGAGGTGATCAGGCCTCTCTCCCACCTGCTTAGGCCTCTATGGGGGAAGTCAGGTGGGCTACCACTAATGGACCCGGGTCTTACCTGATCAGTTGGGTGGTGCTCCAAGTTTCCTAGATCTGGTTCCTGCTCCTCATGGGTTCCCGTGTGCTCTGGGGCAGCAGCTCCGGGACACAGGGTGAGTCACCTCACCTTCAGGCAAAGAGTCGTCCATGGTTCACCAAGGAGGAGTGCTGTCCTCTGACATCCCGGGGAAGCCAGACCCGGAGAGAAGAGAGGCAGAAAAGTTGTCTTTTCCTTTACTGTCCCATCTGGGTCACCAAATGATAGAGGACAGAAGAGGCTGGACACCCAGGGAATTTTCAGGAAGCAGGTTGATTGGCTGCAGGGTCTATAGGGGCTATTGTCTAAAATTCTCTGAATCCTGAGTCTGGAAATTCTTTGACCTTCATACCCAATGGGAGGAGGGGTTTGAAGGTTTACATGACAAGTGCTTTTTCTTCCATTTTGTAGACTAGACAGAGGTTTTACAAGTTTTTTTTTTTCTCCCCTGCAAACCCTGGCATTTACAAAAAAGAGAAAAAGCTAAAAACTACAATGCTCTCTGCAGAAATTTTTGCTGATATCTTATGTAAAAAGCTTTCTGGCAAGAATAAAAGCTCAGTTATTGGAGGGGTGGGTGCTGGAGAAGCTTACATGTTATAAATATGGTAGGGGGTCTCTTTGGTGGGAGTACCTGGTCTGCTTCACTAGGAATTAAACCCAGGGGTGCTTGGCCACTGAGTTACATTCCTATTTCTTTTACTTTTTATTTTTGAGATTGAATCTCCCTAAGTTACTGAGGCTGGCCTTGAACTATTTTTGTGGTGGTGGGGATTGAACCAAGGTCCAGCACCTCGTGCATGTGAGGCAAGCGCTCTATTAACTGAGCTATATCCCCAGCCCACACCTTGAACTTTTGATCCAACTGACTCAGCCTCCTCAGTTGCTAGGATTACAGGCTCTTACTGTTATTTTTATGGACTGAGTGGTGCAAGATGAATGGAGGGAAAATAGTGGACAATTGCAATAGTCCAAGTAGGAGAGGAAGAGGAACTGCATTAAGGCTTGAATTATAAAGACGGACAGACAAGGCAGACTGTCATAGGAGGTAGCAATGCTCCAGGACTTGAGGTCAGTGCATGGAATGTGTGTGAGGCAAGTGGATGCTTTATGTAACGATGACCAACATTATCTGTGCCAGTCAGTGCAGAAACATCACATGATGACATTTCAGGCAAAAAAAAAAAAAAAAAGTGATGACTTACTTCACTCAGTGGCCGTAAGGAATTGTAATTGGGAAATCATCACCTGATAATACTAGAGCTACCAGTTAAGCCTCCATTGGTGTTTGACTAAGCTTTTAAGTAGGGAGAAATTGTGAATGTGTGCATATTTGTGTGTGTGTGTGTGCAATTCAAGAAAGATTACCTGGCAATAGTAGACTACAGTTTTTAATATTGTGGTGTTGGGGATTGAACCCAAGGACTTGTGCATGCAGGGCAAGAACTCTACCAACTCAGCTCTCTACCCCAGCCCCTACCAGTTTTTTTTTTTTTTTTTTTTTTTTTTAAGCAAATAGGTGCTGGGGTTGTAACTCTGTGGCAAAGCACTTGTCTAGCATGCTCAAGGCCCTGGGTTTGACACCAGCCTCCCTCCCCCATGCAAAAAAAGTAAAGGTCACAAAAACTGTATTAGTCATTTGTCTTGTTGCACATGTCTGTGGATGAATCTGGGGTTTAAGCTCCTAGGATCTTTGCTTACAAACACCAGTATTTGTCTCACTGCTAATTTGGGCTTTGCATCCTACTTTTTTTTTTTTTCTAGAGAGAGAGAGAGAGAGAGAGGGAATTTTTTTAAACAATATTTATTCTTTAGTTTTCGGCGGACACAACATCTTTGTTTGTATGTGGTGCTGAGGATCGAACCTGGGCTGCACATATGCCATATGCCAGGCGAGCGCGCTACAGCTTAAGCCACATCCCCAGCCCTGCATCCTACTTTCAGTTGAGTCTTTTTTTTTTTTTTGGTACAGGGGATTAAAACCCAGGGCATTTAACCACTGGGCCACATCCCCAGCCTTTTTTACTTTTTATTTTGAGACAGGGTCTTGTGTGGGAAGCCACTCCTGAACTATTTAGTGTCTTCACTCTGCATTGAGCCAAGGAGGTTTTGGTTTGGCATTGCAAGTGGCTCCTCCCGCTTAATGGATGACGCAATGCAGATGGCCCAAGTCTTGGCTCAGCTAGGAAGGCTGCTTTCCTAGATCCAGAATTGGATGTGACCCACTGGGCCTGGACAGCCCACCGCCTACCTGATTTGGCAGAACATCATTCTATGGAAAACCTTTGAGGTTTTCCCCGTATATAATAAAGCAAATGTGGGCTCTTGGTTTCTCTCTTGACCCCTAAGTTTAAAGAGCCGTCCCACCTCTGCTCTCTGAAATTAGCTTTATGTCGCAGCCAGCCCTCCTCATGAGTAGGGAACACAAATTCCACTGCCTACGCGGATGTGGGTGACAGTCTTGCTAAGTTGCTGAGACTGGCTTTGAACTTGGAATCCTCCTGCCTCAGCCTTCAAGTTGCTGGGATTACAGATGTGAACCACTATACTTGGCTCAGCTGACTCCTTTTATGAGGACTTTCATTATCACCCTGTAACTTAAACCCCAAGGTGATGGAATTAAGAGGTGAGAATTTTTGGAAGTGATTAAGTCATGCAGGCCCTGATCTCATGAACGGGATTAATGCTGTTATTTAAAAAAATGCATTCATGTAATCCCAGCTACTTGGAGAGGCTGAGGCAGGAGGATCTGGAGTTCAAGGCCATCCTGGGCAACTTAGTGACTCTATGTAGGGAAGGGGCAGAAAAGCTTCAGAGAGCTTCCTGGCCTTTTTGCCTGTTTGCCTTCTGCCCTGGGAGAAGCAAGGACTCAGGCAAGAGACTCCATCCATGAAGCAAAGGGCAAGGCTTCACCAGACACTGATTCTTCTGATATTACTTTGGATTTCCTCCAGAAATGTGAGAAATAAATTTCTATTACTATTATTTACAAATTATGCAGTCTAAGGTATTTTGTTATAGCAGCAGGTACAGACTGAGACAGACCCCTTGAGCCCTTTTCTTTGATTAGGGTCACAGGTTTTCCCTTGTCGTGGTCAGGAGGGATAGTTACTGAATGAAACGGAAAAGCAGCTAGCTAGGTCTCCATGGGTAGTCTTAGCCCACATGCTTCCTCCTGGGCCAAGGTGGCCAAATGCCTTATCAGAATGTGCTCATTCCTCATGAGCTTGAGTAAAGTACAAGGAGGTCTCAGGTTCATGGGGGAGACCTGGAGTAGATATAGCAAGAAGACATGTGCTTCCCTCTTTACCCTTTTCCCAACTACTACCTATGCTATTGTAGAGAGACTTTGGCAAAACAATGCATCAGAGTTCTATTTTGAGACATGGTCAGTGATAGGTTTGTGAGTCCTGTCAACTCCCTGGCCTTAAGAATAGGAATAGGGCTGGGGTTGTGGCTCAGTGGTAGAGCGCTCGCTTAGCACATGTGAGGCCCTGGGTTCGATCCTCAGCACCACATAAAAATAAATAAATAAAGGTATTGTGTCCAATTACAACTAAAAAATAAATATTAAAAAAAAAGGAATAGGGGGGCCAGGATGGTGGCACAGTGGTAGAGCACTTGCCTAGCATGCATGAAGCACTGGGTTCAATCCCCAGTACCACATAAAATAAATAAATAAACAAACAAATAAATAAATAAAGGTATTGTGTCCATCTATTAAAAAAAAAAAAGAATAGGAATTAGGGGCTGGGGGTAAAGCTCTGTGCCACACACAATGCCTGCTCCAGGGGTGGGGGAACTGGAATTAGCCGCTTTCTTCGTGGCTCTACAAGGATCTTCCTCTGCAATGGGAAGAAATGTAGAGGGACTCATGAGAGGGAAAACAGAAAAGGAATCTTACAGGTACCTAAGTGAGGTATGGACTTTGTCCAAACTGGGTGCCAAAAGGTGACTCAGAACAGCGAGGTATGACACCACCCAGAGGACCGTGTGCTTAATATAGTATACAGGCGATGACCACTGTTACTACTAATACTTGTAAAGAAGCTACCCTTGCCTGGTGCTTCACACATGTGAAGACAAGGGTGCTGTTTGCTTCCTTTAGAAGATGAGGAATCTGAGGCTTATACCTTACATAATTTGCCGATGATAACATGATAATGATTCATTTACTACTAGCAAGAGGTAAAGCTGGGTCTGAACCACAGCCATGGAATCTGCCATTCCAGTTTTCCTCACCAGCCACACTATCTTGGTTTACTATATGACACAGCATGGAGATTAGATATGAAAGGAGATGGGGCCAGTGTGGTGGTGCACGCTTATAATCCTAGTGGCTCAGGAGACTGAGGCAGGAGGATAGCGAATTCAAAGCCAGCCTCGGCAAAAGTGAGGCACTAAGCAACTTAGAGAGACCCTGTCTCTAAATAAAATACAAAATAGGGCTGGGGATGTGGCTCAGTGGTCAAGTGCCCCCAAGTTCAATCCCTGGTACCAAAAAAAAGGGGTTTAAGTGAAAAGTATGTTTCTATTTTTTATATTAAAGCAATCAGAACAAACAACTTAAGAAATCATTCTTAAATTTTTAATTAAAATCCATACAGCATTTAACATGTATAGCAACTCTTTCAGTGAATCTTATATTTTAAAATCCCTTTGCACAGAATTTTGAGGCTAACTTCATGCTAGAAATTTACAAATGTACAACTTAACAACACAAAAATACATTCGGAGTCCATTCCAATGCAAGTTAAAAACACTTTAATTGGCAGACAATGTAAAGATATTTAAAAAACAAAAACTACAAAATGAGCACATAAAAGTCTTCCCTTTTGAATTTTTAATAAAATACTGCTCTGTATAAGATCTAATGAAAAATTCCAGTTACTTATAAAATAGTTATATGAGAAAAGAAATGAATTAAGATTTTATGTATGTGTATGAATCATACTTAATTATGTTGTTTAAATGAACAAAATGTTGAATACATTAATGACACAGCACACCACGTATTATTCATACATCAAAATAGTTGAAAACACTCAAGCAATTTGATGCAGGCAACAGGAAATAAAAAATAAAATAAATAAAATCCAAAAAATACAAACACTAAACACCCCTTAACTGTAAGGGAAAGAAAGAAATGAAAGAACTTAAATCAAACTGTGGACCAAATTCTCACTTCTATCATTTCATGAGAAACAGTGTGAGAATTTGGTTTCAAATTACTAAAATAGCTACAGAAACTTACTTACTTGGCCAGCTAGTATACTAGCTGCTGAAATAATCAATAGTCATGGTGTACTGTGGGAAAGAATAATTTTTACAGGTTGAACTACATAAAAAAACATATCTATTGGAAACCACAGTCTCCCTGACAAATTGCACTTGAGATGGCTGAATGCATTGATTGAGCAAGGCATTATTATTGGTTCACAGGGACAGGGACACGGACACGGACACACACACTCACACACAGAGACACACAAATACAAAAGCAGCTGTGGACTGCTGACATTCTTGACTACCAGAACTATTTTCTACATTTTATCCCCCTCTTTTTAAAAGAAGGATCTGATGTCTGTTAACTCAGTGAGCTAGCAGTGAAACTTGGGGCCGTCTGTGTGATCTGTCCTGTTGCTGGAAACCTGGTCTGTTCCAACCATTTCCTATTGCTTCCTGGCAGGAGGAGGACAGTGATGAAATTATGAATTAAGTCAGTGTGAAAAATATGCACTTTTAGAATTTTAAGCTTTATTCTGACGATCAAAGGGAGTGCCTGCAGAAATGACTGCTTCACTGACAAAGCTTAGAGAATGTATGTACACAAGGTATTATTTACTATCTGTAGAAAAAGAACAATGAACTTCTGTGGTTGATTTCTTTTTAAAGACAGAGAATGTCTTTCACAGTAATTATTCTCTCTAATTAATTAATAATCTCCTACAGTAAAAATACGACTTGGAACCAAGATAGTACAAAGAAACAGAGCCCCCCTTGAAATCTAAGAAGCCTGGTTACTTTTTAAAAAGATGCTTTGAATAGTGGGAAGAAGCATGAAAGAACTAACTTCAGTGGAGATCTGCACACCTCTATCCATCTCATGGAAGGTAAAAATCAGATGACCAGTATAAAAAATAAATGGTTTGTTAATATAAATAGATGATTAAAAAAGGAATGCATAAAAATACCCCATAACTTGACCCCAATTCCTTGAGCTAGAAAACACACTGATGGATGTCTATCTACAGTTTCCCTCTGACTGCCTCCTTCCCTTAAAACTAAGAATGCAGATTGGTCTAAAACCAGAGTGAACACCTGATCACAGCAAATAAAATAAAAAAACTTGCATCGATGGTTCTTTATCCCTTCCATCAATAGGGAAAAAAAAATCTCTTAATCTTCCCTACTTACCTGTTTAAAAAGCAAGCAAAATCTCAATTAGAAACTAAGATTTAATACAGGTAAATATAATTTTTCATGCAACTGAATCTAGGACATTAAAGACTTAAATATACATGATATAAATCAATTAATACACTTTATCTGTCAAAGTATGAAAACAAGGTAACGACTAGGTGATGCAAGAAATTGTGAACAGGAGGAGTGAGACTGAAGAATAAACCTTCAGTATTCACTTAACTTGCTAAAAAAAGAATTGTTAAACAAGGACATTTAGAAATAATATTTCAGTGAAGAGAGAAAAGATTTAAATAGATTAAAATCCTCTAGTTATGTGGAAACATGAAGTAATCTGGGGAGTCTGTCCCTTCTGTGCCCTACATAGAGTCCACCATTTCCACAAAAAGTCCAATAGTTTAATGAGCATTTAATTTGGGAGTGATTTTGGTCCATCCCATCCCAAAGAGAAAAATCTTGTTTCTCAAAGTCTAGTCGTTTTTCAGATGCACTAGACCCATCAGATATGACTATCAATGGATCCTGTCCATTGATGTCTAATGACCATCATGCTATAAAGATGGACTCTGCCACATCTTTCACTGGAATAGGTGTACAAGGGAAAAAGGATAGAGAATGCCTGACCACTGTCTAGCCATTATAGAGCTCTCTCCCATTTCTCTTCAGTCTTGACCTTTAGAAAAATATGTTTAAAAAAGTACTTTTACTGATTATTCACAATGAGCTTGCTGGACTCAAACATGGCATAAGTGCCCCCTGGGGTTCAATGGCACTATGTTTACTAAAATTTCTCTTGGGAGTTTTCAGATGGTCTGTGCTCCCTCCTCTGTGTTTCATACAGATGTAGGCCACATACTGTTGACAGAACTGCTACACAGGAGTGATGAGTGAGGCAGTTCTTGAATGCTGGAGTTTGTACAGTTTGGTGAGGTGACAAATATTACACTTAAAAGTAGAAAGAGGTCAACCTAATATTATTGTCACAATATAACTTTTCCCTTGTACCCCCATAATAAATGTCTCATTTTAAAGCAAAGAGAGAATTTTTGAGGCCATAGAGATAAACATTGAGAACTACTTGAGCCTCATCACTTAACACCTATTACAGATAGAGACAAGGAAATGATGGGAACTGTGGACAAACATCGGAGCCTAGGAAAATGACAGAGAAGAATCACAGAAACTCATATGACCATAATACATGACAGATACAGAACATTTATCTCTATACTAAAGGCACTACTAATATACAAATATCCGGCTAACATTTAGAGACACTTAATCAGCCATTAGAAAAAAGGAATTCATTTAGTTCAATATCAGCATTTTAAAAAAACAGACGACTTTGACACTCATGGCAGAGTTTTCAATGAGCTAAATGAAATCAGATATGATAATAAGCAGCTCTGTATAAAGACTGTGGCTCCCACTTTTAAAAAAGTACGATAACTTTCTTCCTTAAAAATATAAGCATATCACAAAAACTAAAAGATAAATATATATATGTGTGTGTGTGTGTGTGTGTGTGTGTATAGGGAGATACAAACCCAGGCCCTGGTACCAATGAGAAATTTTCATAAATTCTAAATCATTTCAATGGTTTGAACAACACACATCCACACGTGACATGCAAAGACAGAATGCCAGTGTCACTGACCAGCTGAGCATACAGCTCAAGGGTAGAACTAGAATGAGTAAAGAGCACACATCACAAACTGCCAACGGTGTCTGTACCACAGCGCACCTTGGAATTGAAAGCTAGAATTCCATCAGTTCCAGGAACAACAACGAGCTCTCATACATGTTAAGTAAGCAAATAAAAAGCTATAGGAAAGAACAACACAATTTAACAACATGATTAATATTTTTGTACTTTGTTCTATTAGAAGAGTAATTTGTAATCATTGTACCCTGTGGATTTAGAAATTTAATTTTATTAGAAATTACTAATGCTGGTTCTTGAATAATCTAAAAAATTCTAATTACTCAAATTTAAATTGCTATTTATAGTTCTAAGCAGATGGATGAAATATTCTGATTAGTACTCTATAGTTGCTTTGGTACAAAATTTAGAATAAAGCAAAACTGGCAGCACCACAACCAGTGTGATTACTTCACAGCAGGTCTAAAGGACCCTCAGAGATAAGAGCACATAAATACAATACACATAAGAGCAAGCCATTCTCTTGATAATTTTGTTACATCATTAAAAAGAGAAATAAAATCCACATCCAGAAAATTATATTTTAGGCCCAATTTTCATGCTTCATTTAATTATCCCTCAATGATAGTGTAAAAGATGTTTACTATTATTGCTAATATGATGTCTACTTCATAGTTCAAGGAAGCTTCTAATGAGGCCAATGGTTAGAGTGGTACATTTTAACGCTTAGCCCACTAAAATTCATTTTAACAAAAGGTTTAATTTAGTATTTTTTCTTTTTACAACTTTATTGAGGTATAATTGACGTACAACAAACTGCACATATTTAAAGTGCACAATTTGATATATAGTCTTTTAAATAGCATGAAAAGTGCCTGACGACTTAAAAATATTCAAACATATTATTTTAAAATAGTACATTTATGAGATATGGATTTATAAAAAGGTGATGGAAATAAAAGAAATTATTTTAATTCCCAAGTACCAAATTTATTCAGAAGGTTTAGAAATTCCAAAATTGACAGCCAGTTTTCTTGATTTTCTTCTAGAAGAAGAGCTTGGTGTTGACTTCTGGTGAGACGTATTGTGGCCTTGGGAGGCAGTTTCAACTTGAAAAGAAGATGCAGGTTGAGCAAGCTGAGAGGACTTTAAAGGGCCTGATGAGCTTTCCTGTGGAATCACTCTGGTGTCATCAGAAGAGCTGGGCTTGCTAGTCTGAAGTGGGGTGGCTTGAGAAGAACTCTGGGCCTCCTTATTCTCAAAGTTCTTTTTGTTTGCAACCCTTTTTTTGGTAACCTTTAAGGAATAAAAGCATTATTAACCAGTAGTGTAGGAGAAAAAAAAAACTATTCAAGAAATATTATAAACCATGCTGCTAATATTTGTCAATCACTGCTGATTTGTGACATCTACTTATAATTTCCAAATCAGACCTTAATAATTTTTTATATATACTTTTAAATTTTTTTAGTTATACATGGGCACAATATCTTTATTTTGTTTATTTATCTTCATGTGGTCCTGAGGATCGAACCCAGTGCCTCACATGTGCGTGGCAAATGCTCTGCTACTGAGCCACAACCCCAGCCCCAGACTTTAATAATTTGAAAAACTCAGTTGCAAGAAAATATTAAAACATCTTCCATAACTAAAATTTTAAAAAGTTACATTTCTTATTTTCAATCACTTTGTATTAGAATACTGTATTATTACTTGCTATAATCATTACTATTTTTAGAACACAAACTGAGCAGGGACCAGGTTAGATGCGTCACTACATTTTCAGTTCCTAGACCAGTACTAAATTTCTTTTCTTCTCTTTTCTTTTTCTTCTGAAAAAAAAAAATGTGGATGTCTCCTTAATTTTTTTAAACTTTTCCCCTATTTTTTATTGCTGCATCATAATTATTATACATAATGGTGGGATTCATTGTTACATATTCGTACATGCACAAGAGGAAACAATAATTTGGCCAATATCATTCCCCAGTACTTCCCCTTTTTCTCCCACACTGGTCCCCTTCCTGAACTCTGCTGAGTTCCCTTTGCTTTTCAGATAACAACCCCTCCTTCACAATACAATCTTAATATGTTGTTGAATGTAATTTGCTAATATTTTATTAAGGAGTTTTGCATTTAGATTCATCAGGAATGTTGGTCCCTCTTGTGTTGTTATCAGGGTGATACTGGTTTTTCACAGAATGAATTTAGAAGTATTCCACCCTTTTCTATGTCATGGAATACACTGTGGAGCATTGGCATTAGTTCTTCTTTAAAGGTCTATTTTAGGGGCTGGGGTTGTGGCTCAGCGGTAGGATGCTCACCTAGCATGTGCGAGGCCCTGGGTTCGATCCTCAGCACCATATAAAAAATAAGTAAGTAAATAAAGGTATTGTGTTAACCACAACTAAAAAAAAATATATATATATATATAAAAAGGTCTATTTTAGTCACCTTTTTTACTGCTGTGATCAAAAGACCTGACAAGAACAATTTTAGAGGAGGAAAAGATTATTTGGTGCTCACAGTTTCAGAGGTCTCAGTTCACAGATGGCTGATTTTGTTGTTCTGGGCCTAAGGTAAGGCAGAGCACCATGGCAGAAGGGTGTGGAGGAGGAAAACAGCAGCAAGTGATGGGGTTGGCGGAGGACGTTGAGTGTTCTGCTCACCAGGGACAAAATATAAACCCCAAAAGCAACCCCCGCCTCCATGATCTATCTCCTCCAGCCACATCCTACCTGTCTACATTTAGTGCTCAGTTAATCCCTGAGTGGATTAACGCACTGATGAGATTTGGCCCCTCATAAACTCAGTCAATTCACTTCTGAATTTTCTTGCATTGTGTCACATATGAGCTTTCACAGGACACCTCATATCTAAACCATAATAAGGTCTGATAGAATTCAGCTGAAAATCCAGCTAGTCCTGGGCTTTTCTTTGTTGAAATTCTCTTAATGACTGCTTCTATCTCATTGCTTGTTCCTGGTCTATTTGGATTTTCTCTGTCCTCTTCACTCAATTTGGCAGAGAATATGTATCTAGGAATATATCCAATTCTTCTAGATTTTCTAATATATTGGGATATAAATTTTCAAAATAATCCCTAATGATCCTCTGGATTTCTGTGATGTGTGTGATGATTTTTTTTTCCTTATGCATCTCTAATGTTATGAATTTGGGTCTTATCTTTTTCTTTTGGTTAATTTGGCTAAAGGTTTATTCATCCTGTATATCTTTTAAAATAACTGACTCTTTGTTTTCACTGATCCTTTGTAGGCACTAATGGATATAAACTTTCCTCTTAGAACCACTCTCATAGTGTCCCAGACGTTCTGGTATGTTATATCACTATTCTTGTTTGAGTCTAAGAATTTAAAAATTTATCTTAATTTCTTCTATTATCCATTCATCATTCAAAATTGTATTGTTCAGTCTTCATGAGTTTATACAATTTCTGTAGTTTTGTTTTTGGTGTTGAGTCCTAATTTTATTTCATTTTGATCAGATAAGATTCAAAGAATTGTACTGTTCTTCTTGTATTTGCTGAGATTTGTTTTGTGGCCTAAAATATGGCCTATTTTGAAGAAAGTTCTATAAGCAGCTGAGAAGAAAGTAAATGTTGTTGTATGGAACATTCTATACATTTCCGTTAATTCCATTTGATTTATAATATATTTTAGATCTGAAGGGTCTTTACTGATATTTTGTCTGGACATTCTATCTACTCATGAGAGAAGTGTGTTGAAATTACCCAATATTATACTAGGGTCCCAGACAAGTAGTGTCTGTTTTATGTACTTAGGAACACCGATGTTTGGGGAATAAATATTTACTGTTGTATCTTCTTGTTGGATTGTTCCCTTTGCCAGTATAAAGTGATCTTCTTTGTCTCTTCTGATTATTTTTAGCTTGTAGTCTACTTTGTCAGATATGAGAGTAGCTATTCCTGCGTGTTTCAGGGCTCCATTTGCATGCTATACCAATTTTCCTCATTTCAATTTCAGCCTGTGGGGCTATCTTTGTCTATAAGGTAAGTCTTTTGAAAACAACATATAGTTGGGTCTTGTTTTTTTTTTTTTTTTTGTGTGTGTGTGCATTTCCTTTTTTAATTTTCTTTGTACTGAGGTTTGAACCCAGGGATGCTTTACCACTGAGCTACCTCCCCAGTTCTTTTTTATTTTGAGACAGTGTCTTATTGTTCCTTAGGGCCTAAGTTACCCAGGCTGGCCTCAAACTTGAGATCCTCCCGCCTCAGCCTTCCAAGTCACTGGAATTATATGTATGTACCACTATACCTGGTTGTGGATCTTGTTTTAAAATGTATTCTGCTAGCCTGTGTGTTTTAATTGGAGAGTTGAGCCCATTTACACCCTATGTTATTATAGAGATTTTTATTCCTGCCACTTTTTTTCTAATTTGACTCTATTTCTCATTTGCTTAGCTATTCTTCAAATGAAATCTGCCCACTTGTAAGCTTTAGGGTTTGTTCTTGAGTTCTTCAGTATATGGTAGTTAAGTATTTCCTGTAGTGCTGGCTTAGTAGTAATGTATTCTTTTAGTGCCTTCTTATCTTGGAAGGTTTTTATTTCTCCTTTGATTTTGAAGGATAACTTTGTTAGATTTAGTAATCTTGGTTGAGTTATTTTCTCTCAGGGCTTAGAACACATTATTCCAAACCTTCCTGGAGTTTAGAGTTTGTGCTAAGAAATCAGACTAATTCTGATTGATTGGCTTGCCTCTAAATATAAACTGATGTTTTTATCTTAAGGTTTAAAAAATTATATTCTGGTTATGTATGTTAGGCATTTTAATTATAATGCGTTGTGAAGAGTTTCTTTCTTTCTTTTATTTATTTTTTTGCTGAAAAACTCAGGGGCACTCAACCACTGAGCCACATCCCCAACCCTATTTTGTATTTTATTTAGAGACAGGGTCTCACTGAATTGCTTAGCACCTCACTAAATTGCTGAGGTTGGCTTTGAATTCGCAACTCTCCTGTCTCAGCCTCCTAAACTGCTGGGATTACAGGTGTGTACCACTGTGCCTGGCAAGAGTTTCTTTTTTGATTTTGTCTATTTAGGGTTCTGAATATCTCTTATATCTGGATGTCCATCTCATTCTCAAGGTTTGGAAACTTTTATTATTTCCCTGAAGAGGTTATTCATTTCATTAGCATGCATCTCACAATCCTCTCTAATTCCAATGATTCTCAAATCTGGTCTCTTAATGTTGTCTAAGAGGTCTATTATATTCTGATCATGGTTACTTCTTTTCTTTAATACGTCTGTTCAAGGCTGGTTACTTCATCTCCAAACTCTGAAATTCTATCTTTAGTGTGGTCTACTCTATTAGAGAGACTTTTAACTGAACTTTTTAATTTATTTATTCTGTTTTTCATTTTCTAGATTTGTTTGGTTATTCTTCAATAACTTTATCTCCTTACTGAATTTCTCATTCCTCTTCTGTACTGACCTCCTTAATTCATTCAGTTGTTCTTCTTTGTTCTTTTGGAATTCATTGATCACCATTCTTTTGAATTCTTTATCTGATATTTTATCCATTTCAATATCTTTGGAGTCAGTTGCTGGTGAATCATAAACTTTAGAAGGCATTGTGTTACTTTATTTTTTCACATTTCTTGTATTCATGTATTAGGTTTTATGCATATATTGGGAAAGATTTTTCTTCCATTTACATGTGGACATTTTTACAGAACAGCCTTTTATTGCCAGAGTAGGTCTGGGATAAGTGATTTTTTTTTCCCCAATATATTTTCAAGCAGGATTTGTAGTATAGTTTCCCTGCTAGTTCTTTAGTGATTTAGTGTATTTTGACAGAGTGTATATTGTGTCAGAGCTCGAGGATTCCACTTTCCCTCTAAGTCTCAAAGGACTGGGATCCTTTTTATGGGTCTGGCAATTGTAATATATACAGCAGAGCATGTAGGTATATCTTCTTGTGACAGCTCTTTTTCACTTAATAACTCTTTATTCTAAAGGAGTATGGCAGTGATCTAGATTGAGACCCCTCATAGGTGTGGTGTCCACAATCTTTTTGTTAATTCTCTGTGTTTTTGCTATAGGAGTAGCTGTCCATGGGTGGTCCTGAGGGCCTCCAGTAGCTATTCTTACTTGTGGCCTGGTTGTTCATTTGGATTTTTTGTCTCTTCTTTGTATCAAAGTCTGAGCAAGGTACATTGTTCTCTTGGCTGGATATCTCAGCAGCAGAGTCTGCACCCTGTGAACTTTTAGTTCATAGTACCTCACAGAGAAGGGGAAACAACCAACATCAACAACAGAAGCAAACAATATATAACACTAAAATACCCAGTTCCTACTATGACATTTATAACACTAATTATCACAAAAACAAGAATGGTGGGGTCAGCAATTGCCAAGAGCAAAAATGATAAGTAGTTGTGAACTAGATCTGGCATTAAATAGCAGTTGTCAATTATGCCATACATAGTATTAACAACTGTAACAACATGAATGGTAGAGGCATTAGCCAAATAGATCCAGAGATGGTAAAAATGCAGTTATTTAAGAGAAAAGAGATGTAACAGGATGGTACCTATAATTCCAGCGACTGAGGCAGGAGAATTACAAGTTCAAGGCTAGCTTCAGCAACTGAGTGAGGCCCTAAGGGAGACCCTGTCTCAGAATAAAAAATATGAATGGCTTGGGATGTGGCTCATGGGTTAAGTACCTCTGAGTTCAATACCCAGTACCTGCCCCCCCTGCAAAAAAAAAGGTTTAGAATTGTCAAAGTGTGAACAGAGAGAGAGCAGGAGATGTAGCAAGTGATGGCTATTGAGAAGAAGGAGGAAAAAAAAAAGCAGCAAAAGTAAAAAGAGAATAAGAGAATTTGGCTATTAGTGAAGAGAAGAGAAAAAATAAAAACAAATAAAAACAGAATGAAGGGGCTGGGGTTGTGGCTCAGCAGTAGAGTGCTCACCTAGTATGTGCAAGGTGCTGGGTTTGATCCTCAGCACCACATAAAAATAAATAAATAAAATACAGGTACTGTGTCCAACAACTAACAAAACAAAACAGAATGAAAATAAACAAAATTCCCTTCTGAGAGATAAGACAAAGAAAAATAATCACAAAAATGCTAAAAATGAAACAAAATAAGCAAATATTCATATATATATATATATATATCCACAAACCAATCAGCATAGCAAGAACACGGACAAAGTAAATTTACTGATATCTTATTACCACTGAGGAAAAAGGAGGGGGCTGAGCTCCAGAGTCAGAGATGCAATGAGAGGCAGAGGACCCAACCCACACCTCTCCAGTCAGGACTTTGCCCCTCCTCTCCTTAGTGTACAGACAGTTACATCCTCTTGTGTCACCACTCCTGGGCAGACTTACCAACCCATTTGTCTAGCAACTTTCACCCTCTCCAATGTCTGGGTTGGGGAGGTCCCTGCAGATCAATTTTCAAGTCAAGAACAGAAACTGTTAGGGAAGAGGGATGTGCTGACCAGAGAGGCTTCTCACCCATCCAACAAAAGGCAGTATGATACATAGCAAAAAAAAAAAAAAAACCCCAAAACAAACAACAACAACAACAAAAACAATCGATTGCTTAGAAGACAGGGTCAAGGGAGGCAGCCAGGCAGACAGCATTATACCAGGGAAAGCGGATGGGAGAGTCTATCAAGGAATCCCCCTTCCCCCAGAAAATCAGGCAAAGGAAAAAAATTCTTAATGAAAAATAAAGGAATCACCTCCACTAAGGTGGTCAAAACTGTTGATGAGGATGATCAATGCATATGCCTCACTTCCTGTTTCTTCCTGAGCTTTGTACCCCTTAGAGCAAGGGCTGGGGGTTGTTAACCCCTTCCTCTTTTTGTTTTGCTCACAGAGCTGCTAGCTACAAAGGCCTAAATTGAAGTTGGTTGAAATAGTTCTCAACTTCCCTTCTCACCATTATAAGAAGTACTGTTAACTGGAGCTCTATTCAGACAGAGAAGGTATGCATTCCCAGATGGGGCTGCTGCAGAGTTCTAAGAGGGAAGTTCCAGTGGCTGCGACTTATCTCTAATTAAGCCTTTGGGACTTTGTTGGGTGGTATCTGTTCTGGAGAGATTTATTCAACACACTTCTAGGACTGGGCAAATGCAATCTCTGTTGGGAGTCCAGATCTCAGAAGCCTCCTGAGAATTTTACTTGTAGAGTGGGGGAGCCAACCCTCCACAAGTCTCACACACTCCACTGTCCATGAATACAGCTTTCTCAGTCTCAGTTCCCAAGTATAATCACACCAACTGTTCCAATTTCCCAGCCCTCTGCAGCTGGTCATGTGAGCTGCCAGACTCAAAGGGAAAGGGAATTGCACTCCTCTCCATATCCTTGACTTGAATTACCCTGGGCACAATCTCCTTTGTGCTTGTTTCACATAATAAAATAAAGGTACTGTGTCCAACAACTAACTTTTTTTGCTAGGTACACCATAGGCCACATGGTAGGCACTTGCAAGGACAGTATGGCAGTGTATGCTGTGATCTCCTGGCTACAGCATGGCCAGCCTCAAGATGGCTCCGCTTCTGCTCTCTGCTCGCCAGTTAACAGACAGCTCTTTTCAAGCACCAGTTTGCTGTGCAGTAAGTCACTAGTTCAGCTAAGTTTATATTGCTTTTTCTGTTTTATAAGTTTTCTGTGCCAAATCTGTCAATTGTGTTTCTCTGTTTGTGCATCCCTTCCCCCTGAGGTGAACTGGCACTGCTGCTGCAACTGGCTTGGCTCCAATGTACTCTTCTTGGGCTTTGCTCACTGCACCTGAATTTCTAAGTCTCTAAGAGACTCAGCCCATCCATTATTGAATTTTAGTGAACTCCCTCTTTCACCTACCTTGCTGAGAAGCAGTACTTGAATCATGAGCCACGAGCAACTGGAAATACAGTCTTCCTCTAATCGGCCATCTTGAATCCTCTTTCTCTTATTTTTTTTTCTAGTGCTGGGGATTAAACCCAGGGACCCCTGCATAATGCTAGGCAAGTGCTCTACTACTGAACTATACCCACAATCCCTAGAGCTGGATTTCTAGATGGCAATGAATAAGTAAAACAAATAAATGAATTTTTATTGACATTCTTTGAACATTTAAAAAAATAATTCTCTTTCTAGGCCTCACCTGCAGAGGTATGAACTGATTGTGCACTCCACCTGGCATTCCTCCAGCCATGGGTATGGTCCCAGAATGTGATGTATGATGGAAGGGCTTCCCAGGAACTGGCACTGGTGGTCCCCATGGCATTGAGCCAAAGAGATGAGGTGAAGGCATCATATTAGCTGTTAAAAAATCACAGAAAATCTTTCTCTTAGTAAAATTAAAGCCCTGAAATTTAAGACATCTTGCTGCTAAACTCCCCTACTCCTTAGCAAAAGGCTTACACTTAATTAATGTTGTTTACATCATTCAACCTCAGGATCTCTTCTTAGGACTGCGAACTGTCTAAATAAATGAATGTATCTGGACTGCAAAGCCCAATAGTACCATATGCTGACAGGAACTGTAGGAATACCTGGAGTTACATTTTAAATAAATCTTGCCTGCCCTCAATGCTAAGTTGCTTCCATAGTGCTCCCAGATTACAACAAAACCCCAAAAAGCTCAAAACCTAAAATCCTAAAATCTGATCTCTTTCATATGGTATGTAGAATCTTGCTTTTCTCTCTTCTAATGTTTGTATTTCAAGGATATTTTTGCTTTGGCTTCTTATCAGCAACACATTATATTAAAGATTCTAAAACCTGATTTATCTGTGTGAGCTACTTGGGGAGCTTGTGAAATAGACTCCTGGGCAGACTTACCAACTTGGACCTACTCAGACTTGGAAGGCTCAGGAATCTGTATTGCTAACAAGCTCCTCAGGTGATCTGTATGCAGATAGCACCAGTGCAACATATGGGAACTACCGCATTTACCAGTGACAAGACAACTGCACATTGCTACTGAAGAAGATATGAAATATGTTCAAACCTTCTTCTCAAAGAGATCACAAAGCACTTATATTTTAATTAAAATGCAGATACTTGAGAAAAATATTTCCCCTCAGCAGAGAAAAACTGCAGTATATATCAGTGTTGTGAATTATACATACACAAGTACTAGATGAAGAAAATTTTTATTTATTTATTTATGCAATACTGGGCATTTTACCGCCGAGCTACATCCTCAGCCCTTTAAAAATTTTTTAAAAAAATTTTGATAAGTTGCTAAGGATGGTCTTGAACTTTTGATTCTCTTACCTTAGCCTTCTAAGTAACTGAGATTGTAGGTGTGTGTTGCCAGATGGTAAAGAAAAATTTTAAAAAATGGTTGGGAAAACAGCTCAGTGCTAAAGTGTTTGCCTAGCATGTATGAGGCCATGGATTCAATTCCAAGCACACACACACACACAAAAAAAAACAAAAATAAAACAATGTTAACCTTATGCACAGGTTTGCTTCATAATTTCTCCAACAAATCACTGATATAAATGTATTTTTCTCCATATTTTTAATTTACTTTTTTGTTTGTTTGTTTTGTTTTTTGAGCAGTACTGGGGATTGAACTCAGAGTCACTCTATCATTGAGCCACATTCTCAGCCCTTTAACTTTTATTTTGAGACAGGGTCTTATTAAATTGCTCAGGCTGGCCTCAAACTTGTGATTCTTCTGCCTCAGCCTCCAGAGTTGCTGCAATGACAGGCAAGCACCACCACCCGGCTACTGGATTCATTTTTAAAAGTGAAGAATCAGTCAAAATTAATTCGATGAATTAACAGTGATATTAGTACACTGAGTCTTGATGAAAACATTGTTTATACAGACAAAGGAATATCTGTGTAGTATAGTAACAAAACCATGGGCTTTGAAAACAGTCAAACTTGTACTTGGAATAACAATTCTGCTACTTAGTAATTGTGACCTTAGAGAAGTACTTTTTAACAAAAATCAATGTATTACATATACACTGTACTTCACATAAGTTTTCAACATAAAACAACAGCCATATGTTCTACTCCAGGTTTAACTAAGTTTAGATGTTCATTTCCATACTGCTCAATACTGCTTATGCTCCTAATGAGTAATTTATCAATTTTAAGCATTTTTAGAACTATTGACTGGCTATATAGATCAAAATTCAGTTATTTTGCATTACCCTTTACTACTTGCCCTGTCCTCCTAATATATGTATATATTTGCTTAATAAAGTGTTTATGATACATAATTGTTTAAATTTTGTCATTGCAAAGCAAGATTGTCTGATTATGTTTCTTTTCTTGTAAAACTTTATATTCTGGTTGGAAATTATCTTTTAAAAGCTGCTTAGTCTTCTTTGTATCTATTTTTAATGTTTTTTCAAATGTTGCCTGGCTAGCAGATAATCTGCCTTACTTGCCAAGACTTCCTTCTGCTTCCCAGTTGGAAGTAGTTACTTTCTAGACTTGTTAAGCAGCCGGCATCCTTACATCCTTTACTTGAGTATATCAGATGTATAGATCTGCAACTTTTTCTTTTGGTCTCATGGTTTTCTTCTTTCTAAAATTATTGCTTTGTTTGCTAAAATAGGTAATCCAGTAACTTTTTCATTTTTATTTTTCTGGTACTAGGGTGCTCTATTATTGAGCTACATTCCTAGTGAGAAAGGTCTTGTTAAGTTGTGCAGGCTGGCCTCAAACTTCTGATCCTTCTGCCTCAGTGTCTTGAGTCACTGGGATTACAATGTGTACCACTGTGCTCAGTTCCAGTAACTTCTTAAGAAAGGGTACATAAGAAATAAAATAAATTTGCATGTCTGAAAATGCCTTTACTTTTACACTAGATTTACTTTAGTTATGTAGAGAAATAAGATAATGGGGTTTATTTTCCTAGGTGCCTGCCCCCCATTGTGAATTAGAACCCGCATATCAAAGAAAAAAATCTGGCTTTTGGTTCTTTGGGATTGGCTTTTTTCACTTAGCATAATATTCTCTGGCTCTCTCCATGTACCAGAAAATGCCATAATGTTGTTCTTCTTTAAGGCTGAGTAATAATCCATTGTGTATGTAGCACATTTTCTTTAACCATTCATCTGCTGAAGGGTACCTAGGTTGGTTCCATAGCTTAGCTATTGTCAGCTGAGCGGCTATAAACACTGATGTTACCATGTCACTACAGTATGCTGATTTTAAGTCTTTTGTGTATAAACTGAGGAGTGGAATAATTGGGTCAAATGTTTCTGAGGACTCTCTGTACTGGTTTCTAGAGTGGTTGCACTAATTTTTAGTCCCACCAGCAAAGTGTACCTTTTCCCCTACATCCTCACCAACATTTATTTTTTCATATATTTGTTGTTCAATTTTTCTCCATTTACAATGATATTGGCCTTTGGTTTAGTGTATATATCTTTTACAATGTTGAGGTATGTTTCTAATATCCCTAGTTTTTCTAGTGTTTTGAGCATGAATGGGTGCTATATTTTTTCAAATGCTTTTTCAGTATTTATTGAGATGATCATGTCCCTAAGTCTATTGACATGATGAATTACATTTACTGATTACCATATGTTGAACCAAGCTTGCACCCCTGGGATGAACCCTCTTTATTGTGGTGTACTATCTTTTAAATATGTTTTTGTATTTAATTTGCCAGAATTTTATTGAGAATTTTTGCATCTATTCTTCTTTATTCCTAGACATCTTAGTATATATATTTTTTTAATTAAAAAAAAAAAAAAGCTTCTTAAAAGAACTTAGTAAAAACAACAACTCAGAGGTAAAGACTTACAGAAGCAACATATCTTACCAGTAGGTTGGGGAAAGACTGGAGGTATGGTTCCAGCTGGTACAGCGGGAGGATAATTTGGAAATATTGGTGGAGGCAAAGAAAAATTCACTCCTAAAGAGCCCTGTGAAATATTTAAAAGTTATAAGACAGTAAAACAAAATGTTTGTATGGAAACTAATTAAAAATTCAGTAGAGAAGTCATGGACAGTTCTTACCAACTGTTGTAAAGCAAAAAGTGCAGCTTTCTCCTTGGCTTCATTTTCAGAGTGGCACTGTGGCCCGTGTACCAGTAAGCCATTAGATAATTTTACTTGGCAAACTGTCATTGTCTAAAAAAAGAGAATAAAGATGTTGATGAAACTATGTTAAGAAGTCTAACTCCTCTCCCAAAGCTTAGTCTAAATGAGTGGGATAATTTCATACAACAACCTGTAAAAGAGAATAAGGAATTCAAAAAAGGACTATTAGTTTAAGTGCTGAGTTTCCAGGCAAAAGTTTTATAACTGTTGCTTTATCTTTTAATGTTTCAAAGCAAATATTCTCTGGGCCATGTATGGTAGGATGAGCCTAGGATAAGATAGGAGGATGGCATGAGCCTAGGAACGGAGACCAGTCTGGGCAACACAGCAAGACAGGAAGAAACAACAACAAACTAAGATGGCACAAGGGTCAAGTATTGTGATGCAAACAAAAGCCAGCAAAACCTTTTTTGTATGTTGATAATTAGAAATTATGGAATAAAATTTTGCTGAAACGTGGTTGCATTAAAAATATTAGTGCATATGATTACTTTCACACTAAAAAACTGTAGAATTGGGAAGTTGTGAGAGTGGCCCTCAGACCCACAAGGACTAATATATTTATTGTGTCTTTATAGGAAATTTTTGCTGAATCATGCTTTAAAACCATCTTTTAATTACCTGACGGTTTGCTGATATGAATTCACTGCCCAAAGTTAAAAGACTCAGGGGTTCTAATTTTATATTTTGATCCTTCTGCCTCAGCCTCCTGAGTTGCTGGGATAACAGGTATGTACCACCACGCCCAGCTATACTTCAAGTTTTTGATTTACAAAGATTTATTTTTTAAATTCTATTTCTTTCAGGGTCTGGGTATGAAACTTGGCAGTTGAAAGCTTATCTAAGATGTAAAAGGCCCCAGTCCAATCTGTACCCAGAAGAAGTCTTTTTCTTTTTTTCAAAAGGTATTAATTTTTATATTATTGGTTTAATTCTTTGTTTTTCCTTCTATAACCTTTTTTTATTGTGGTAAGATAATACAACATAATATTTACTATCTTAACCATTTTTAAGTATATGATTCAGTAGTATTAAATATATTAATAATGTTATGCTATACATCACCACTGCCCATCTCCACAGCTCTTCATTTTGTAATGCTGAAATTCTCTACCCTATCCTATTTTAACTCCATATTTCCTCCTCTATCCAACTGGTGTTAACCACTGTTTAAGTATCTCATACAGATAGAATCATACACTGTTTGTCTTTTTGTAACTGGCTTAGTTCCTTTAGGTTAATGTCCTCAAAAGTTCATCCATGTTGTAGTATATGTCAGAATTTCCTTCATTTTTAAGGCTAAAGAATATCCCATTGTGGGGCTGGGGATGTGGCTCAAGCGATGCACGCTCGCCTGGCATGCGTGTGGCCCGGGTTCACTCCTCAGCACCACATACAAACAAAGATATTGTGTCCACAGAAAACTAAAAAAATAAATAGTAAAAAATTCTCTCTTTAAAAAAAAAAAAAAAAAAAAAAAGAATATCTCATTGTGGCCAGACACAGTGGCACATGCCTGTAATGCCAGGGTCTTGGGAGGCGGAGGCAGGAGGATCAAAAGCCAGCCTCAGCAAAAGCGAGGCACTAAGCAACTCAGTGAGACTCCATCTCTAAATAAAATACAAAATAGGGCTGGGCTTGTGGCTCAGTGGCCGAGTACCTCCAAGTTCAATCCCCAGCAATCGCCCCCCACCTCAAGAAAGAATATCCCATTGTTTGGATATACTACATTTTGTTTATTCATTCATCCTTCGAACACTTCCACATTTTAGCTATTGTGAATAAAGCTGTTATGGATGTGGTTGTACAAATGGCTTTTGAACTCATGATCCTCCTGCATTAGCCTCCTGAGCCGCTGGGATTATAGGCATGAGCCATTGAGCCTGGCTGTTTTAATTTGTAATATGATAAATATAGATGTAACTTACACCAACAAAAATGCTTTGGGTTCCTTAAAAAAAAAGGGAGTTTCAGAGGCTAAAAAGTTTGAAAATTGTTGCAACAGACCAAGATCTCTACCAAGTTCTATCAGTCTAAAGAATTTCATAGGACACTTGCTCCCCAAGTTCCTTTCTGTAAACTTCTGTTTGGGTTCTAGTTATGTAAAAATGGAATAACCAGAGTGAGAACCAGAAATTTGCTGTTCATATTTTAAATTTTAAAAGTTCCATTACCTTTTTTTTCTAGCCAAAGATTTTCAGACAATTTATTTAAGTTCTGTGTTTAAGAATTTATACAGATGGAATACTATACCTGAGATGTTCTCAGAAAGGAGAAATCTGGTTGTGGCATTCCAATAAGGGAGCAAATTCGAGAAAGTTCAGTTACTGGAGTGGGCACAGGAGGGATCTGGCCAGGAACAGGCCAACACACATTGTCCACAGATGGAACATTATGGTACTCATTAGCACTGTGAGGCTTGTTCATATAAGATGCTACCAAAAATACAAAATGGACAAATATATTAATAAAATACCTCAAATTATGCAATTACTGTATTTATAGATCACATAGGAAATGCTAAATATTTAAAGAAATGAATCTCCCAAGAAGCAAATATAAACTAGTATTGCTTAAAATTATTGAAACTTCAATAAAAAGTTTTTAGATGATTATAATTGATTAATGATAAGTCATTAAGATAAAAATTTAAAAATAAGTAGTTAATTTCCCCAAATTAAAATCTTGAGCAACTAATGATTACATGGTATGGTTACAGGTAAAAATCAAAACAAATGACTTTCTTGAGCAGATCTACAATTAATGCTTAAGTTTTAAGGCTTTGCCTTAGATCTAATTCTTGTAATTTTACCATACATTCCGAGATACATAGAACAAGAATTTAAATTTTTTTTTGTGTGGTACAGGGATTTGAACTCAGGGGCTATACCCTTGTCCTTTTTATCTTTTGAGACAGAGTCTCAATAAATTGCCAAGACTGTTTCTTCTGCCTCAGTCTCCAGAGTTGCTAGGATTATAGGAGTATATCACTGCACCTGACTGGAAGAATGTTTTTGTTGCTTCAAAATGATTCTTCTTACAAGGTTTTTGAAATTAAATCTTTTAATTATGTTTTTATATAGATGACTAAAACATTTTGAACATTCACATTCTTCACTAATACCTTGGTAAAGAATTAATCTAGTTTTCTACTACAGAATATAAAAAGATATTAAAGGGCTTCCCCAAAGTCACAGAGCCAGTTACTTCTGTAACACTGGCTGGATTCTGAACTATTAGATTCTTGGGTCCAATTTCACTATATTGAAATTAGTAAAATTTACTTGTTTTGGACATTGGGACTATTTTTACTCAATTTTATTTTAAAATTTTATTTTGCTGTATTTCAGGGGCATATCATCACTTGATAATTACTAGTTTTCTAGTAGCTTTTGAAAATTTTAATCAGTTATAGCAATATTCACTGGAGTAAACACAGAGCTAGGCTTTGCTTTCGTTTTAGATTTTGATCTTTAATAAATCCAGAATTAGGGCTGGGGTTGTGGCTCAAGTGGTGGAGCATTTCCTAGCACACCTGAGGCACTGGATTCAATCCTTAGCCCCACATAAAAATAAAACAAAGATATTGTGTCCACCTAAAACTGAAAAATAAATATTACAAAAAATCCAGAATTGATTATTCAAAAATATTTTTTATTTTTCTGGGAAACTTTTGTGTAAGTCATTCTTCCTGGTAGCCTTTGGAAGATAATTACATAGATAAAATACTCATGTTTAAAGGACACAGAGAGTAGGGACAACGATGACTATTTATTGAAATGCAGCTATATACCACACATTATGCTACAGGTTTCAGAGATTTTAAGATAATCACTTACTCTTCATAGTCTACCTCCATTAATAATTTTAAATTCATTTAATGTTTTTTCTTTCCTATTTTTATACTGGTCAAATTATTTTAACATAATTCTAATACCAGTTATTGGCACCTGTAATGTGTCAAGTCTTTATTGCCTTATATATGTTATTTAATTATTACACTAGTTATTTGCAATATGTTTAAATTACATAGGCACTTTTAAATTATGGAGGAAAAAAAGCCAGAATGTGAAAACCTTTCAAGGTTTAGGCATCTATAGAATGAGAAACTGTAATAGTACAATTTAAGTCATCATAAGAAGACTTAGGGATTGTATAGTTTTGGTTACACAATTACATTTTTAGATAAATAACACAAGTAAAAATTATACTCTTAAGAAAACTAGTTTTATCTTTTAAAAAAACAAATGATAAAAAGAAATAAATGAACTGACTTTCTGGGAATGATATTGATTATTAGTAGTAGTACTCAGTTTACTTACCTAATTTCTTATTTTGTTTAGGTTGTGAGGACAGTCCATATTCATCTCTTTTATTAGAGGAAACAGTGGCTTCATTACCAAACTTTTTCATTTCATTCTTACGGTCCATTGTGTCAGAACCATCAATTTTTAGAATTTCTTTCAGCATTCGTGTTCCCTTCTTTTTTGAGAATCATTCATATGGAGATGGTGGGGATGGAAAGAGGAGAGTTAACATTAGGTTCATACAGTTTATCTTTCTTTTTGATTTTTTTTTTTTTTTTTTAATATTAGGGCTCAAACCCAGAGCCTGGTGCATGGTAGGCAAGCCCTCTACCACAGAGATATATCTCCAGCCCTTGATCTTTCTTTTGAAGAGTTCCACTGTTAAAATTTAGAGGCTAAGGCAGGAGAATCACAAGTTCAAGGCCAGTCTGAGCAACTTAGCAAGATCTGTCTCAAAATATAAATTGAAAAGGACTGGAGATGTAGTTTATTGGTAAATACCACTTCTGGGTTTAATCCCCAATCCCCCATGTATCCCCCAAATTAATATGCTAACTACATTTATATAGAGAGCAAGGCAAAGCAATAGTGAAGAGCTGAAAATAAATTAGATTCCAGGTATAGAAACAATATTTATTGTTCTGCTTAACCTTAGCCTAGCCACTTAGAAGCAATGTTTGAAAATGAGGAGCTTTTTTCTAACAGGAAAAAAGAGAAGGATGGCTAAATTGTCCAAGGCAGCCTGTTTTTCCTCACAGGATACTAATACAGATGCACTACAGCAACCTACATGAGGGAAAAGTATTTGAAGAGCCACATGGGGTATGTATACATGGCCAGTAGTAGAGAAATTACCATAGTACAAAAAACTATAGCATACAAACCATAGCAAATGATTGTGGTGACAAATGCTCTTCATTTGAAGGTTCTCCATGATGGGATGACTGTGCTTCGTTTTCTTTGGAGATATTCAATGACGCCAAAAAGTTCTCAATTCCAGAGTTAAGCTAAGAAGAACAAATATATGTGGATGAAGATGAAAATAGAAGGAGACAGCAAAAGCTATCAGTTTTATGCTCAAAACTGGTAATTAAAATTTCACTCAATCATCTTTCCAGGTGTTAAACTTTGGGAAGAGAAACTAAATAAATATCTTTTACCTTATCAATAGCATTTGGATAACCAGTCATAACCTTTTGCTTTCCTGAGACTTCTGGACTTTCATTTCTTTTCAATAGCTTAATATTACATTTGGTAGGCCCTCCAAAAGTCTATAAAAAAGTAAGAATGAACTTTCTGTGCAAATAAATTTTATTTGCTACTATTAATATTCATTTAGAATGGCTACAAATTTTTATGTGCTGCTTTCCTTTTCATATCATAAGGAAAAAAGGGGCCTGTAAACTTGGATGGGAAAAAAATGATTTCTCTTCATTAATATCTAAATGAGATTTAGCATTTCTTTCAATCATGAACATAGGCCATAAACCACTTATATGGATGGCATGTTTGCATCCTCCTCAAATTGCTATGTTCAAACTCTAACTCCCAATGAGTATTAGGATGTGGGGCCTTCAGGAGGTTAGGTTTAGATGAGGTCATAAGTGTAGAGCCCCCATAAAGAGATTAGTGTTTCTTATAAGATGACAAAGAGAACAGAGCTCTTTCTTTCTACCATATTAGAATTTAAGAAGAGGGATTATTTGCAAGCCAGGAAAAAAGCCCTCACCAGATCCTAATTGTATTTCAAAATTGCAGGTTTTTCTTTCAAACCTTTTAAGCATTAAAAACATCATTCTGCCAATGCTTTCATCTTGGACTTCCCAGCCTCCAGAACTATGAGGAAAACAAATGTTTGTTTTTTTTAAGCCACCAAGTCTACGGTTATTTTTGTTACAGCAATCCAAGAAAACTATGATAGCAGTGTTTTTAACTGTATTTTAGAATAGTGATTTTCATTCAAATCTTGTGTTTTATTTTAGCATTAAAATATTATTCAGAGAATAATAATGGTTTTACCAAAAGTCCATAGGCTTCACTATCGTACAAAATTTTTTTCAGTATTTTTTAATAGAAGGATATCACAGCAAAAGAGTTTTGAAATAAAAAGACATTAAAAGTCAGAAAAGTAAACTATTTACTGGTATCTACATGTTAATGGATTCTAGTTACTGAAAATATGATACTTGTCAAACTTTCTAGGATATTTTTTATAAATTTAATAGATTACCAGCTTATAAAAGTTTTTTGTTTTTGCTTTTTGTGGTGCTGGGTATCAGACCCAAAGTCTTGAATATGCTAAGGAAGTATTCTACAACTGACCTACATCCCCAGGCTGAGATCAAGTTTTTGAAAATATGTATTAAAATATAATGTGCACGCAGAGTGTAAATATCATATACATACATGTCAAATTCTTTGATTATAAAATGTATACATGCTTTTTATCAAATGCCAGGGAATATATAACATAAAACAAATGATCTCAGTTTCCCCCACACCAATCTAATTCCACAAAATTTATACCCTGCTAAGTTTGATATGTTGTTCCTTCCATATAGTATCAATGCATACACAAATATATATTTCCACATGTTTTATACATATACATATAGGTCTATGTATGTATAATAGATTATATAGATTGAGAGAGCCTATAAATGATCAATATTTTTAATCTTCATTTTTAAAATGAAGAAATTAAGGTTGTGAGGTAAAAACTCCTCAAGGCCACCCAACTACTACATGGAAAGATCAGGATTTCAGGTTCCCTAGTTCCAAATTCTGCATTCCAACTGTTCAACCTTCCATTCAAGTGACCATCAACCTATATTTCAACAATCTTCCTGCCATACACCCTGTAGATTTGGTTGAAAAAGTCACAAAATTTAGGCAGATGCCAAAGAGTTACCAACTGCATAAAGAAATTTGACTTTAGGAAGCTTACCTGTTTATTGGATGTTTTTTGTGACCTACACTCAGTTTTAGGACTCTTACACTCTTCTTTAACTAGAGACAAGAAAACAGAAATTTTGGTAAATGAAAGAGCTCACTGAACAACAATTAAATTTACCAAACGTTTACCATAGCAAGGAACTGTTAATAATTCAGAGAATTTACTTTAAATTCAGAGAAATTAAGACTGATTTAAAGGATTTTATAATCTAGGGAAGGATAGAAGAGATATTTGCAGACAATAATAAGGGAAAAGGAAAGTGGAATCTGAATTAAACCTTGAAGGATGGTAGATTTCCAAAGGGAGCATAGGAATCTAAGTATTCCAGGCAGAAGGAATAGTGGAAGAAGAGCAAAAAGCAAGGAGTGCGTTACGGAACTATAAACAAACCAGTTCCACTGGTAGGTAAGGAGTATAACAGAGCTGAATGGAACTAAAAGCGCAGGTTAGGGCCATATCTGCAATTAAAATTGGTAGGGTAAGCAATCAGAAAAGTTTTGAGGAGGTAGTAATGTGATCAGAATTGTGTTTTAGTAAGATTAAAATTAGCCTATTAGCTAGACAGAAGAAGAATAAGAGACAAATAAGCTATTTTAATATTCCTGTTAAGGGAAAGTTGGAGAGGCGATAGGAAAATTAAAATTTGACAGACTATATGATTTAACAAACAAAAGTATGTAAAGATGAAGGAGATGAGGACAAGAGGCAAGAAAAGCATAATTTGTAATCAATACATACTATTCTATAATTTTGGATATACTGGATTATATAGATGTACTGTAACATATTTATACCACTTTCTTATCACTGGCTGTTTATAAAGCCAATCTGGGGAGGGGCAAAGACGGGTGGGGAGAAAAGAGAAAATAAGAAGGGAAGGAAGGGAAATAAGGAGGAAAGAGAGATGGAGGAAAGAAGCAGGGAGAGGGAAAGGGGGAGGACAAGAGATGACAGGAGGGAAAGGAGAGTGAGAGAGACAAAAAGGGCAATGCCTTGGCTAAGTACTGAAGTCATGACCCACCAAATACAGAGAACTCCTCAGCACAGATTGGGAGGCTTACTGGTTCCAGATATTAAGGAATGTTAAATAAAACTTATAGAAGGCCATTGTTTTGGGCCAAGATCCTGCACTAGACCCTAAAAGGTCAGACTAAAAATCAAAATGGAATCAATTCCACTAAAAGTGAAACCAAAGTTGAGTTGTTAACTTGCCTTCTGAGAACTCAGGAGAAAGAACAACTAAATTTTCCCAATAGGCCAGTTTCAACAGGCATGAGAACAAAGTTCCTTGATGTTAGCCAGTTATTTTTCCATTGTTCTGTCTCCATGTCTACTACATAAGGAAAGTATCTTAAAATGATCAGTCCACTTTTTAGTCTTTGTTTGTACTTTCTTTAGCCTTTTCCCATCTATAAAACCAACTTCTTCGGCTCAGGCCATGGGAACACTTACTGTAAGCAATGAGGTGTTGCTCAATTCTACAGTGGCAAACAAAGCCAATTAAGACATTTACTTATTTATTTACTTGATTGATTGCAGTACTGGGACTGAAACTAGGGGTACTCTTACCAGTGAGCTACACCCCCAAGTCCTTTCTTAAAATGTAATTTTGAGAAATGGTATTATTACTAAGTCCATGTCCAGATGAATTGTATCAAACATTTAAAGTAACACTAATACTTCTCAAACTCTTCCAAAAAAATACATAAGGAGGGCTCATTTCTCAACTCATTGTATGAGCTCAGTACTACCGTGATAACAAAATCAAAGCCATCCCAAGAAAAGAAAATTACAGACAACATCATTTATAAATATGCATGTAAAAAAGAACTTTAAAAAACTACCAAATCAAATCTTGCAGCACATAAAAAGGACTTACACTGTAGCTTTGTTGGATTTATCTCAAGAATGCAAAGTTTGTTAAACATATGAAATATAATCAGTGGAACACACCATATAAGCTGAATAAAGAACAGATCATCTCAGTAGATACAGAATAGCACTTGAGGGCTGAGGGGTTTAAGCACAGCGGTTAGCACGCACATGTGAGACCCTGTGTTCGATTCTCATTACTATAAAGAAAAGAAAAAAATAATAATAAAGAAAAGAAAGAAAGGAAGGCAGGCAAAACCAACCAACCAACCAACAAAAAACCCAAAACAACAACAAAAATGTGTTTGAGGGGCCTAGGATATAACTCAGTAGTAGAGTGCTTGCTTAGTAAGCATGAAGTTGTGGGTTTAGTCCCCAGCACTGCAAAATAAATAGACAAATAACCCAATTAAAAAATTAACTAAGCATTTGAACAGATCTCTAAAAAAGATATGATAGTTAATAATAAGCACATGAATATCTGCTCAACGTTATTAGTCATTAATGAATTGTAAATGAGAATCCAAGGAGATCCTACTTCACATCTACCAGGATGGTTATCATCAAACAAATGGACAATAACAAGTGTTGTGATCAGGCTGGATGCTTACATATGGAAGGCAGATGTAAATGGTATAGACACTTTGGTATAGCAACTTTGGAAAAAAGTTTGGTAGTACCACAGAAAGTTAAGCACAGAGTTACCATATGACTCAATACTAGAAGTAGAAGAATTAGAAGTAATTCTCTCAAGAGAATTACAAATATATGTTCTCAAAAAAAATGGTACACATATATTCACCATATCTCCAAATGTGGCAACAGATGAATGGAAAAATAAGTGGTATTCACACAGTGGAATATTATTTGGTCATAAAAGGAATGAAGTACTTACAGATACAGGCTATAACATGAAAGGACCTTAAAGGTCATGTTTTCTATTTTTTTTGGGGGGGAGTACTAGGGTCTGAATCCAGGGGTATTTAACCACTGAGATACATTCCCATTCCCATCCTTTTTTATTTTATTTTTTACTTTGAGACAGAGTTTTGCTAAGTTGCTTAGGGCCTCCCTAAGTTGAGGAGGTTGATCTCAAATCTGCAATTCTCCTGCCTAAGCCTCCTGAGTAGCTGGGATTATAGGTGTGTGCCACCACACTCAGCTTCTGCTTTTATTTATATGAAACATACAGAATATGTAAATCCACACTAAGTAAATTAGAGGTTGTTAGGGCCTAGAAGAGTATTATTATTAGTGAGTATGATGTTTCTTTTTGGGGTGATGAAAATGTTTTAAATTTAGATAGTGGTATTGATTGCACAACTTTATAAAAACATAAAAAACAAAATAACACAAAACACTGATTGTATACTTTAAAGGATGAATTTGTTTTATGATATGGGAAGTATACTTCGAAGCTGTTTTTTTTTTTTTTTAAAAAAAAAAAAGAAAGCAGGTGAGGCTGGGGTTGTAGTTCAGTGGTAGAGCACTTGCCTAGCATATGTGAGGCACTGGGTTTGATCCTCAGCACCACATAAAAATGAATAAGTATACAATTTGATGTTAAAAAAAGAAACAGATAATATACAAGTAAACCTTTCTAATTTAAAACTTACATTTTCTGTGAGGGTCATGTTTCCTTTGTTGGTATTTAATACTGTTGTCATTAAAGCCAGATTTATGCTGTTGAGTTACTTGACTTATTTCTTGAGGTAGAACTGCACCCTGCAAGTTAAAATGCTTAAGAATAAGTTAAATAAATCTTAATACTATAACTATTACTTTTCCTCAACTTTTAATTAATAATTACTTTATTATTTTAATAAAAATTACATAGTTCCTTAGGAAAAAAGTAAGATAGAAAAGCAAACAGAATTTAAAAAACTATCCAAAATTCACCACCAGCAATAAAAATAATTTACATAATGCTCATCACTGCAAACATTTCTCCAGGCATCAGTATGACAGCAAGACAAATAGAAAACAATCCTTTTATGAAAGTGCTATTTTCTTTTTTTTTCTCAAAAGTCATATTTTAATAGAATTAAACCAAATTTTGTTTTAAGTTAAACACAGAAACTAAAGAAATATTAAACTTTAGGAAAATGTTTCTTTACAACAGAAATAGCAGCCTTTCTAGATGTGCTTTGAGATAATCCTACCTCTGGGGGAGGTGGGAGCAGGGAGTGAGCAGGAGAAGAAATAGCTCTGGACAAGAGCAAGGTAGTACAAGGACCTGTGTTTGGGGCCTCCCTAAATTGCTGAGGCTGGCCTTGAACTTGTGATTCTCCTGTCTCAGCCTACCAAATTGCTGGGATTATAAACTGGTGTCACTGCACTGGGCTCTTGCTAATTGTCTTAAGTACTGTAATATCTTCCTATTATTTGACAATATCAATATTAATAAAAATCAGATACTGGGGGAAGGAACATGAAAGGGAATGCAAATTAACTAATATCTTCAATTTAAAATACATTTGAAGCCAAGATGTAAGATTAACAATTCTTAGCAAAGAGGTAAGAGTCATTGGTCAAGCAATAAGGCAAAAAGGGGAAAAAACTGTTGTTGAATTTAGAGGAACAGTTCCTAGTGAAAGGTTGGAAGAGCACAAGTTAAAAAAAATTTTGAATAGAGCCAGGCATGGAGGCTCACACCTATAATCCCAATGATTTGAGAGGCTGAGGCAAAAGGTTTGCAAGTTTGAGGCCAGCCTCAGTAACTTAGTAGGACCCTCAGCAAGTTAGTGAAACCCTGTCTGGAAATCTTAAAATAAAAAGGGCTGGGGATGGAGCTCAGTGGTATAGCACCCCTGGATTCAATCTCCAGTACCAAAAAACCAAAAACCAAAGTAGTTGCATAGATGGATATAGACTACAAGGCTCTCAGGGTAATATTTCCATCCACTCATCCATTCACTCATTCATTTTAAGAGAAAAGTCTTGCTGTGTTTCTCAGACTGGCCATGAATTCTTTCCTGGCCTAGGACAGTCTCCTGACTTAAGTAACTGATAGCAGATGGGACCACAGGTATGAACCACAAAATGCACCTTGCTAACATTTCCTTTTAGAACAAAACTTCTTCAAAGAACTGCCGTCTCTAATTGCTGCCTCCACTTTTTCTTCCCCTTTCCCTGTTTCTTTTTTTTTTAAGTCGTCCCCCCCACCCCCCGCCCCACCTCAATACTGTGGATTGAACCCAGGGGTGCTCTACCATTGAGTTACATCCTCAGCCCTTTTTGTTCTTTTATTTTGAGATAGAGTCTTGCTAAGTTGGCTTTAAACTGATGATCTTGCCTCAGCCTCTCCAGGTGCTGGGATTACAGGTGTGTACTACTGGTGTTCTCCCCTTCTCTCTTAAACACACTCCAGTTTTTTAGTCTCATCATATTACTGAAACTGCTCCTCAAGGTTCCCAATGAACTTCAGGTGCTAAACTCTATGGTCAATTCTCAGTTTTCACTTTTTAAAAAAAAAATTTCAGTATTAGGGATTAAACCCAGGGGGAGTTCACCATTGAGTTACAGTCCCAATGCTTTTTATTTTGAGACAGGATCTCACTAAGTTGTTGAGGCTGGCTTCAAACTTGTGATCCTCCTGCTTCAGCCTCCTGAGTTGCTGGGATTAAAGGGCTATGCCACTGTGCCTTGCTTTCATGTGTGTGCACATGCACATGTTTAAGATAGAACTCTGGGCCTCCAGATGTCAGGTAAATGCTCTACCTCTGAGCAAAATCCCCTGATTCCACCCTCACTTTTTATGCCTGTTTTACCATCACATTTGCAATTTTGTCCTCTCTAGCACAGATAATGCCACAAGACACTGAAACAGATGAGGTGCTTATGGTGCAGGCTAGTGGATTATAGACAGAACAATTTTTTTTGACTCACACTGAGAAGTTAGGTTAGTAACTAGCAAAAAATTTAGCAGGAATTAACTCTTTGCCCTCTTCATTTCTTTGAGACTATTCTTTTAGCAGCATTTCTTTGCTCTTTTGTTGCTGTGCTGGGGAGTGAACTTAGGGCCTTATGAATGTTGGTAAGCTCTCTGAGCTATACAACCTCAGCCCTCTTTCATCTTCTTATTTTTATAAAGGAATATAAATTTGCTCATTCATATTTAACAAATCAACTTCTAGTGTAAGATTATACATTCAAATGGAAAAAAATAAGTTATTGCCATTAAAACCTTTGTTGAATTTAAAATATAGCTACTGTTGATTTTTTAAGTAGCTTTTAAAAAAATCCAAAACTGCTGGGTGTGGTGGCACATGCCTGTAATTCCAGTGACTTCTGAGGCTGATATAGGAGGATCATGAGTTCAAAGTGAACCTCAGCAAAAGTGAGGTGGTAAGCAACTCAGTGAGACTCTGTCTCTAAATAAACTACAAAATAGGGCTCAGAATGTGGCTCAGTGGTCGGTCGAGTGCCCTGAGTTCAATCCCTGGTACCAAAAATAAATAAATAAATAAATAAATAAATTCCAAAACTGACTTAAAAGAAAAATGTACTCTCACTCACCAGTCCTAAAATGTCATGTCTAAAAATAATTACCAAAATTCATAATCAAAACTGTCTTTTTTCTATTTTAGGAGAAATTTTTAATTATTGCAAAGCTGAAAGAAAAATTAAAAAAAATCTTTTTAAAAATGAATTGTTCATCAAATAAAGAATACTAACCTTCTCTTGTATAGTTGGCTGGAACTGCTGAATTTTTCCAGATTCCTGTAAGGATTGCCAAATGTTGCAAAATTCATCATCATCTTTAATAGGTGCCTAGTGAAGCACAAACAATTTCTTAAGAAAATTAGACAGGACAAAAGTTCATATGAAATTATTTATTTATTAAAATTATTTAGTTGGAGGTTGGATATTTATTTTCATTATTTGAAATCCCTGAATTTTTGTTTTTTCTAGAGCTTAGCTCAGTAATTATGAAAGCATTCTACTAGAATGAAACTAGTCTTTTTAAATATGCAAATGTTTTGAACAGGTTTACTTAAAAAATAAAACATAAGAAAGACTATAAAAGATTATACTCGGGTACAATCAGTGATGTGATTTAAACCACACTTTTTAAATAAAAAAAGAAAACTAAGTCAAATTAAATTTCCATTTAATTTGTGTAAACTGTGAAAAACTGCTCTATTTGTGTAATATGAGTTAAATTGTATTCTGTTGTCATATATAACAAATTAGAATAAATAAAATTAAAAAAATTTAAAAAAAGATTATATTTGTGCTGGGGTTGTAGCACAGTAGTAGAGAGCTTGCCTAGCATGTGTGGGGCATTGGGTTCTATCCTTAGCACCACATAAAAATAAATAAAATAAAGGTCCATCAACAACTAAAAAACAAAGATTATACTCAATATCTCACCAACAGCTTTTTTCCCTTCTAACAAATTAGTATATAATCTCTTTTATACAAACATCTAAAGATTTTGTTTTAAAAATTTCTACTTTACATAAAGTAATCTCGGTAAATTTAGAAATTATCTATTAATTTATAAATTAGAAATAAATTTATAATTTGATTATTTATGATTATAATTCATAAATTATTAATTTATAATTAATTTAATTAAATTGATTTAATGCAGTTTAAGATTCTGAAAATTTTTTGAGTTCTTTGTATACTCTGGATATTAGGGCTCTATCTGAAGTGTGAGGAGTAAAAATTTGTTCCCATAATGTAGGCTCCCTATTTACCTCTTTTATTGTTTCTCTTGCTGAGAGAAAACTTTTCAGTTTAAGTAAGTCCCATTTGTTGATTTTTGTTATCAACTTTTGTGCTATGGGTGTCCTATTAAGGAATTTGGAGCCCGACCCTACAATATGTAGATCGGAGCCAACTTTTTCTTCTATCAGACGCAGAGTCTCTGATTTGATATCTAGCTCCTTGATCCACTTTGAGTTAACTTTTGTGCATGGCGAGAGGAGGGGATTCAGTTTCATTTTGTTGCATATGGATTTCCAGTTTTCCCAGCACCATTTGTTGAAGATGCTATCCTCCCTCCATTGCATGCTTTTAGCTCCTTTATCAAATATAAGATAGTTGTAGCTTTGTGGATTAGTCTCTGTGTCCTCTATTCTGTACCATTGGTCCACCCTCCTGTTTTGGTACCAGTACCATGCTGTTTTTGTTACTATTGCTCTGTAATATAGTTTTAAGTCTGGTATCGCTATACCGCCTGATTCGCACTTCCTGCTTAGAATTGCTTTTGCTATTCTGGGTCTTTTATTTTTCCATATGAATTTCATGATTGCTTTATCCATTTCTACAAGAAATGCCTTTGGAATTTTGATTGGCATCGCATTAAACCTATAGAGAACTTTTGGTAATATCGCCATTTTGATGATGTTAGTTCTGCCTATCCATGAACAGGGTATATTTTTCCATCTTCTAAGATCTTCTTCTACTTCTCTTTTTAGGGTTTTGTAGTTTTCATTATATAAATCTTTCACCTCTTTTGTTAGGTTGATTCCCAAGTATTTTATTTTTTTTTTGAGGATATTGTGAATGGAGTGTTTTTCCTCATTTCCGTTTCAGAAGTTTTGTCGCTGATATACAGAAATGCCTTTGATTTATGCGTGTTGATTTTATATCCTGCCACTTTGCTGAATTCATTTATTAGTTCTAGTAGTTTTTTTGTAGACCCTTTTGGGTCTTCTAGGTATAGAATCATGTCATCTGCAAATAGTGATAATTTAAGTTCTTCCTTTCCTATTTTTATGCCTTTTATTTCTTTCGTCTGTCTAATTGCTCTGGCCAGTGTTTCGAGAACTATATTGAATAGAAGTGGTGATAGAGGGCATCCCTGTCTTGTTCCAGATTTTAGGGGGAATGCCTTCAATTTTTCTCCATTGAGAATGATGCTAGCCTGAGGCTTAGCATAGATAGCTTTTACAATGTCGAGGTAAGTTCCTGTTATCCCTAGTTTTTCTAATGTTTTGAACATAAAGGGATGCTGTACTTTGTCGAATGCTTTTTCTGCGTCTATTGAGATGATCATATGGTTCTTATTTTTAAGTCTATTGATGTGGTGAAAAACATTTATTGATTTCGGTATATTGAACCATCCTTGCATCCCAGGGATGAATCCTACTTGATCATGGTGCACAATTTTTTTGATGTGCCTTTGTATCCGATTCGCCAGAATTTTATTGAGGATTTTTGCATCTATGTTCATCAGAGATATTGGTCTGTAGTTTTCTTTCTTTGAGGTGTCTTTGTCTGGTTTCGGAATCAGGGTGATGTTGGCCTCATAGAATGAATTTGGCAGAGCTCCTTCTTTTTCTATTTCCTGAAATAACTTGAAAAGTATTGGTATTAATTCTTCCTTAAAGGTTTTGTAAAACTCCGCTGTATACCCATCCGGTCCTGGGCTTTTCTTGGTTGGAAGTCTTTTGATTGCTTCTTCTATTTCATCTATTGTTATTGGTCTGTTTAAGTTGTGAGTATCCTCCTGACTCAGTCTGGGCAAATCATATGACTTAAGGAATTTATCAATGTCTTCACTATCTTCTATTTTATTGGAATATAGGTTTTCAAAATAATTTCTAATTGTCTTCTGTATTTCTGTAGTGTCTGTTGTGACATTGCCTTTTTCATCCCGTATGTTAGTGATTTGAGTTCTCTCTCTTCTTCTCTTCGTTAGCATGGCTAAAAACTTGCTCCAAAATTTAATAGCAGTTACCTATGCTCCTTGAAAGATTTTTGCTTGTGTTTCCTTTGTTACTATCTAATTATATGTTTTCCAACTAGTCTACAATATATATGTATTATTTGGTTTAAAAAAATGTGTTTAAGCCTAAAAATTGGGGCCATTAATTAAATACAGTTCAATGTTTCAGAAAAGATAACTCAGTTTTTGTGTCCAGAAAGATTAAGAAAATCATCCATGGGCTGGGGTCGTGACTCATGGTTGGAGCACTTGCCTAGCATGGATGAGGCACTGGGTTTGATCCTAAGCACCACATTTAAAAAAACAAAAAAACAAAAACCAAAAACACAAAGTTATTAAAAAGAAAAGAAAATCATCCATGGATTACATGGTGGGAACTTAAAAACTGCTTTTGACAAATGTAACTTCCCTTTGAACTTTTCAATTTCTATCATTCATAGAAGATAGCATAGGACATTTAGACTATAAGAAAAAATTTAAATAATTTAAAAAGTAAACATAAAAAACATATTCTCAAGTTCATTCTTTCAATTAATCTAGTTTTATTTTTTATATGTTTTTAAATTGTAGATGGAAACAATACCTCTATTTTATTTATTTTTATATGATGTTAAGGATTGAACCCAGTGCTTCACACGTGCTAGGCAAGTGTTCTACCAATGAGCTATGATCCTTGCCCTAATGTATTTTATTTTTAATAAAACTAATTTAATAGCAGCAGAATGAATTCTTTTCTTCTTCCTTCTTTTCTTTCTTTCTTTTTTTTTGGTGGTATAAGGATTAAACTCAGGGACCTTCTGCTTCCTAAGCAAAACCTCTACCACTAAGCTACATCTCCAGCCCTTAAAAATTTTATATTTTGAGACAGTCTCAATAAATTGCCCAGGCTGGCCTTGAACTTGTGATCATCCTGACAGTCTTTGGATGAGCTGAGTTATAGCATTCTTCATTAGCCTACTATTTTAAAACAACTTTGAAATTGATTTGAACTACACTTTTTAAATAAAAAAGGAAAACTAAGTCAAATTAAATTTCCATTTAGAAAGTCTGCCATGATTTGTGATTTTGTAAAGAAGATGGAGAGAAGTTAAAACACTGACTTACTTGAGTAGGAACAAAAAGTGACTGAGGAGAATGGTTGAGGCCTCCTAAATGTGAGGCAGAAACTGATAAATTTGGGCTATAGTGATTCACAGCTGGCTGTGGTTTCACAATGGCTGTCAACTTTTGATTTCCTGTTTCAGAGCGACTCCCATGAGAAAGGTTCACCAAGGCACTTGTTGGTAGTCGATAACCTCTACCAGGTGAGCACCTAAAAGTAAAATGGTTTATCAGGATCAAAAGGAAACAATACTAAATATGCTACGGAGAAGAATCAAATAATTTGGGGGTAGACAATCCATCATAAGAAGTAATAAACTGGATTATAGGCATGCACCGTCATGCCTGGCTCATTTTTACATTTTTAAAAAGATTTTGAGATAGTGTCTTGCTAGGTTGCTGAGGCTGGCCTTGAACTTGTGAATTTCCTGCCTCAGCTTTTTGTCACTGGGATTACAGGTGTGTGCCACCACACCAAGCAAAAGTATATAGTTCTTTTATAAGAAACTTTTTTAACTGCAAGGTTGCTATAAAATACCAATTTTAATGAGAACTACAATTAGCAAAGATTCCATATTATGAAAATCAGTATTCTGCAGGCAGTTAATCTTTTACATAGCCCTCTATCAGTCAAGCAATCCACTGCACTTAACTAGGAGAGGGAAAAAAGACACTGGGAGGAAAAACCTAAAAACAGAGTAAAACTATTTTCAAAGGTTACTTGGCTAAAGTTACTAGTAATCAACCATTTTTATGAAAAATAAAATCAAATAAGGATCCAGATTCTGTTGCTGCATTTGAAGAGTATAGGCAGAAAGGTCTTTGGGCAGCAAGCATATTCAGGTTTCTTTTTCTTTTTTTGTGGTACTGGGGATCAACTGCAGGGCCAAGAGCATGCTGGGTTAGCACTCTACCACTGAGTTACATACCCAGACAATATCTGAGTTTTAACATGATAATAATAGCATCTTGAAGGGAACCATTTAGAACAAAGATTGAAGATTGTGAGTTTATGCCAGGCAGTTAAATAAGAATAATTTAAAATTTTTAATTACCCAAAACAGAAGAGAAGAGGAAACTGAGCTAGATTCACTTTAGTCTTCTAGTTGATTTTAGAAGAGCAAAAGGAAAACTGTACAGGATTTTATTTTATCCTTATAATAACCTAGTGAAAGAGGATACTGATGGTCAGATGTTTTTAACTAACCTACCCAAGGTTAGTTTAAGTGAAAGAGCTCAGACTTTCTAATACACCATGGTGCCTTTATACCATCATGATCTTTCCCATAAACTTTAAACTTTGAGTTAGAATGCTCTCAAAATGAATTCAAGTCTTACTTAAGTTAAATCAAAAACAATTCAAACCTAGTTCATTAAACCTGCTACCTTCCTGTTCTATTGCTCTTTTCCTTCCTAGTCAGGTTTCTCAAGTGTTACCTTCATTTCCTGTCTCCACTCCACTTGCTATTCACACCTCAAACCACTCCAGTCAGGTCCACCACTCTACTGAAATATTTACAAGTCACTGAATTCAAGGGATATTTCTACTCCTCAAGTTACTTAACCATAAATATCCTTTGTTATATATGCTCTTTTTTTGTCTTTCTGAGCACTCTTCACTGTTCCTTCTTCTGCCAATTAACTACTATTTATTTTTCCTTCCACTCTCTTATTACATTTTAATTAAATAATTAATACTGTAATTAGTTGCTTCATTATCTCAATAAAATTCAAACTCTATGAGGGCAGAAAGCATGTCTGCCTTATTCACCATGATATACTGTGTAGTAAGTGTGGTATCCTACATAAACTATGAACTAAACTGTGGACATACAAACAAATAATGTAAAACCCGAGGCCACGTGGACATAGTCACAAAATAAAATCATTATTTGGAAATACAAACCTTATTGTTAAGCCTCCAGGAAATTCTTCATCAAATAATACTTCAAATAGTACATCAGCTTCTCTATTAGCTGTTGAAGGAGAGAGAGAGAGAGACTAAAATCATATAATGAAAAATCATTGGTAAGTTTTAGAGTGCTCAGAAGCTATTTTTGAAGTCCATATAAAATATTCTGGATGTGAAGAATGACATGTAACAATATAGTGCTTGAGAAGACCACTATACCCCAATTCCCAGCTAAGTAACCACTATCTTCAATTTGACAGTTATGATTGTTATATATACATATATTTTTTCTTTTTTTTCAGTGTTGGGTATTGAAACCAAGGTCTTGGGCTGCTAGGCAAGTGTTCTAACATTGAGCTAAAAGGCATTTCTTCATACTTTTACTACACGTGTACACATGTTAATGATATGTAGTGTATTGTTTTCTAAGTTTTGAAACATTATATACATGTTATCATAGACAATATATTCTTTTGTCATTGTATCTGTGAGATTCATTCATGTTATACTGTGCGTCTAGAAAACAGAATAAACGCAAAGACACATGAATGAATCTCACAGATAGCAATGCTATTACAAACACTGCTATCACGAACACTGTCCTTTAACCATATCCTTCCCTAGGTTAGAAGTGAAATTGCTAGTTGTAAAGAATGCACTTATTTATTTATTGGATATTGGGGATTGAATGCAAGGGTTTTGTACCATTGAGCTAGGTACCTAGTCCTCTTACTTCTTCTTTTTTTTTTTTTTAATTTTGAGGCTCCTGCCAAGGCTGACCTCAAACTTATGATCAGCCTCAGCCTCCTGAACTGCTAGGATTACAGTGGGCACCACTGTACCTGGTTACATTTTTTTTTAAAAACAGCTTTACTGAGGTATAAGTAACATGGGATAAATTGACCATATTTAAAGAATACAATTTAATGAGTTTTAACATAAGGCATTAACTATGAAGCCATCATATATAACCATTCCTGAACTTTAGATTGGGCAACGGGGAGGATGGGGAAGAATTATGAGGCAGGAGTGATGGTGAAATGAGATGGACATCATTATCCTAGGTACATGTATGATGCATGAATGGTGCATCTCTACACTGTGTACAACCAGAGAATTGAAATTTTCTGCTACATTTGTGTACAATGAACTGAAATGCATTCTGCTGTCATGTACAACTAAGTAGAACAAATAAAAAATAATAAATTGGAAAAAAAATCACTTCCCAAAGTTTCCTGTGTCCTTTTGTAATCCCCACCCTCCTTCCCTGGGAAACCACTAAAAGTCTGCTGTCACAAACTAAATACAAACTAACCTGTTTGTATTTCTAAAATTTTATATAAATAAAATCATAGAATATGTATTCCTCTTTTGTCTAGCTTCTTTCAGCATAATTATTTTGAGTGTCATTCTCATTGTATGTATTAGTAGTTTTTTCTTTTTTATTGTTTGAGAAATATCTCATTGTACAGGTATCTAACAATTTATTTAACCACTCACCTGTTGATGCACATTTAGATTATTTCCAGTTTTTTGGTCATTATATACAAAGCTGCTTCAAAGATTCATGAATGAGACCTTGTTTTTGTTTAAGCCTTCATTTCCTTGGGTAAGCCTCTAGGGATGGAACAGCTGTGGAACAGCTGGGTTTTACAGTAGATGCATGTTTAATAGCTTTTTTAAAAACCTACTTTCCAAAGTGGCCATATCTTTTATATCCCCACTGGCAATGTAGGAGAGTTGCAGTTACTCCACAATACTGCTAACAGTTTTGTTTTGTTTTTACTGCTAATATTTAACATTAAATATTTTAATATTTAAAATTTTAATTTGTTATATGAGACAGTAGAATGCATTACAATTAAATTTTTTTTTTTTTGTACTGAGGTTTGGGGATTAAATCCAGGGCCTTGTGCATGGTAGGCAAGTACTCTACCAGTAAGCTCCATCCTCAACTCTTCTTATGGGTTTAATTTTTATTTCTTAATGACGAATGGTTTTGAGCATCTTTTCATGTTTCTGCCACATATCTTATAAGTACCGCGCGCTAACCGATTGCGCCACTGGAGCTCCTCTGCCACATATCTTCTGTGGTAAAATATCTGTTCAGCTATTCTTTTTTTTAAATTTTGAATTGTTTATTACTCAGTTGTAAAAATTACATATTCTAAACACAAGTATTTTGTTGGATTTACAGTTTGCTAATATTTTCTTTGTATGTGGCTTGTAATTTCATTTCTGTAATAATGTCTTTTTTTTTTTTTTTTTTTTTTTTGGTACCGGGGATTGAACCTAGGTCCTGTGAATGCTAGGAAAGTGCTCTACAACTAGTTACATCCCCAGCCCTTTTAATTTTGAGATAAGGTTTTGCAAAGCTGTCTGGCAGCTTGTGATCTTTCTGTCTCTGTCTCCTGAGTTGCTGGGATTACAGAATCGTGCTACCATATCTGTTATGTAGCAGTGTCTTTGAAGAGAAAACATCTTTTATTTTCATGAAATCCAAATGATCAATGTTTTCTATTTCAGGCTTTCTATGTGCTATTTAAGATATCTTTAACAAACTCTATATTATTAATATTTTTTTCTTAGAAGTTTTTGTAATTTTACCTCTTACATAAGTCTCTGATTAATTTTAACTAATTTCTATAGAAGGTATAAGGTGCATTTAATTTCGTCACTATAAAACAATTGACCATAAACGTATAGGTCTGTTTCTGGAGTCTAATTCTATTCCACTAATTTACACACAGTCTGTTTTTATGCCAATCTACACTGTTTTCCACTATTCAATCTTTATACATTTTGCAATCAGGTAGTAGAAATTCTTCAATTTTGTCATTTTTTCAAATTGATCTGACTAGTCCAGAGTCTTTGGATCCTATATAGGTTTTAAAAATCATCTTGTTGATTTCTGCAAAATAGGCTAATAAGCACACCTGTAATTCCAGCTTCTGAGGAAGCTAGCTAAGGCAAGAGGATCAAAAGTTCAAAGCCAGCCTTGGCGATTTAGCAAGACCCTGTCTTAAAACAAAACAAAAGCCAGGCAGGTAGGGAACACCTATAATCCCACCACCGCAGGGGAGGCTGAGACAGGAGGATGGTAAGTTCAAAGCCAGCCTCAGCAACAGAGAGGCGCTTAGCAACTCAATGAGACCGTCTCTAAATAAAATACAAAAAAAGGCTGGGGATGTGGCTCCGTGATCAATCCCTGGTACCCCAAAAAACAACAAAATAACTAAAACAACAACAAAAATAAATTTAAAAAAAAGCAAAAAGGGCTAATAATGTAGCTTAGTATTAAAGTACCTGCCTAGCATGTGTGAAGCCTTGGGTACCAACAACAAGAAAAAAAGATGAAAACAATGTAATTAATTTCTTGCTGAATTCTGGTCCTGCTTTCTTTGTTACAAGTAAGCATAGTGCGGTGTCAGGGCTCATTTCAAATAGAGTCTTTCTTACGAAAATAATTAGGATGAAAATACAATATAAAAGAATCACTGATCAATGTTATTTAATGAACTGCCCTATTTTACTTAAAGTTATTTCATGTACAGTAGAAAGTAGTGCACTTTGGGAGTTGCTTGTCTAAGATATTCATGTTGGTTGATTTCATCTGTGAACTTAGGCTGTGGTGTCCAGCTGTTTGGTTAAACATTCATGTAGATATTGCTGTGAAACTATTTTTAAGCTGTGACTAACATTCAAGTTAGCAGACTTTGAGCAAAGTAGATTACTCTTCATAACCTGTGTGGGTCTCATCTGATTAGCTGAAAGTCATAAGAGAAGATTTGGGATCCCCCAAAGGAAGAAATCTACCTCCAGACTCAAGCAAAATCAGCTCTTGCTGGAATTTCCAGCTTGTAATTTTGGAGTTGCCAGTCTCCATAGCTACATGAGCCAATTCCTTAAAATCAATCAATCAATCAGTCAGTTGCTCTTCATTCAACCAGTTTTATATCTGTGGAGAAGACTACACAATATCTGCCACCATATGACCCAGCTGTACCACTCCTTAGTATTTATCCTAAAAAAAAATTACAGTGATACATGCCTGCCCATATTTATAGGAGCACAATTTCACACTAGCCAAACTATGGAACAGCCTAGGTGTCCATCAACGGATGAATGGATAAAGAAAATTTAGTATGTATATATAATGAAGTTTTATTCAGCCCTAAAGAAAAATGAAATTATGTCATTTGCAAGAAAATGGATGGATGGGGTTGGGGATGTGGCTCAAGTGGTAGCGCGCTCGCCTGGCATGCATGCGGCCCTCAGCACCACATACAAACAAAGATGTTGTGTCCGCCGATAACTAAAAAATAAATATTAAAAAAAAAAAAAAGAAAATGGATGGAACTTGAGACCATTAAATTAAGCAAACTAAGCCAAATTACAGCTCTTCCACTTATTGATGTAAATAGAAGCAAATTGTTTAATCTTTCAGGTAAGGAAATAATATCCATCTGTCAGGTGGTTGTGAAGGTTGAGTACAAAATATTTAAGTATGTGGCATACCGTTGATACTGAATATGCCTGTGGCCTGCCTATTTTTCCTTTTGGGATGGTGAGACCAAGTGGTTGAGTGCCTGGGTCATGGAGAGACAGTGCTGCAAAGCATCCTGATCCCTGGGCACCTAATTTGCTGTTTCAGGTTGGGGCTATTTTTGGAATCTGCTCCATAAAGTTGTTCACTCCAGGTATCTCTTTGGGACACATTTAGAACCTTAGATGCTTCCTCCTTTTTTTTTTTTTCCTTCTCTTCCTTTATTTCTCTCCTCCACCCCCCAACTCCCCAGTACTTGATATTGTACCCAGGGGCATGTTACCCTGAGCTACATTCCCAGCCCTTTTTATTTTTCAACTTTGACATTGGGTCTTACAAAATTACACAGGCTGGCCTCAAACTTGTGATCCTTTTGCTTCAGTCTCCTAAGTCACTGGGATTATGGGTGTGTACCATCCCCCACATCTCCTTTTTAAATTTTTGGTTAAAACACACAACATAGGGCTCAGTGGTAGAGCAAGTACTTAGAATGCACTTAGAATGTGTCCTAGGTTAAATCTCTAGCACCAAAACAAAACAATATAAAAACATAAAATTTACCATCTTAGCCATTTTAAAGTATACAGTACAGTAATGCTAACTATATGCACATTATTGTTCAACAGATTGATAGGTCTGTTTTATATAATTTAATTATGATATAAAATTTAGATTAATATACAAATTTAATTCCCAATCTTCAAATGTAAACAATGCGATGTTTATTTATTTCTTCATAGAATCCTAAATATTACAATGGAAATTAAAGTAAAGCTCTGAGCAAGATTAGACAAAAGTTTAAAGCCTGGGTACAGTGCCTGTAATCCCATTAGCTTGGGACTGCTGAGGCAGGAGGATTAAGAGTTCAAAGCCAGGCTCATCAACTTAGAGAGATCCTGTCTCTAAATAAAATACGAAAAAGGGTTGGGATATGGCTCAGTGGTTAAGTGCCCCTGGGTTCAATTCCCAGTACCAAAAAAAAAAAAAAAAATTTAAAGAAAAGTTATGAAAATTTCCTCTTAGTTTTATAAAAACATATGTTTACCCTAAAGATCTTATATAATTTCAGTGTGATAAATATAAACCAGCAAAATTTGACAGTCCCATCTCAACTTCCCCTTCTTTTAATTATGTCTTAGATGATTACACAGGCAAAAAAAAAAAGGGGAATTTTCTCTGACAAATACAATGTAGAAGGAAAAAAAAATTTCACAAAAGCTACAACATAAAAGGATTTTTTCCTGATATATACATTTTTCTGCTTAGATATGAAAAACACACAAATTTGTGCTTTATATTACCATATAAGTATAGCTAAAGACTTATCAAGTATTGAGACATTACCTCCTTTGATTCCTATGATAGTGCCCCGAAGGCCAACTGGAACCGAAAAATTCTCTCTCACGTTTACAACACGGTCAAAGAGACGAAATTCTGCATCCCGATCAGGAATGACTCCATGTTGCTGTTCTAAAGGCTGAAAATAAGAGAGCCATTAATTCTCATTAAAAGTTTCTCTAATATATTGAAAACATTTTTAAAGCAAAAGCAACTAGTTTGAATTCTTTGATAGGAACTTACTCTGTATAGCAAATGTGGCTTCACTGTCACTCGTACTTTCTTATTATTCTTTCTTTGCTGAGGAAAGAAAAAAAACTTTTATGTGTAAAATTGTAAAAGCAGAATTCACTACTTCAACATATCTTAAGTTTACAGAACCAAAAATAAAAAACAAAACAAAAAAGCTTATAAAGCCAAACGAAATGATTAATTTTAAGAACATCTAAAGTTCCGCAGCTACGGGTAAGTGGGAATAAAATAAACATTTATAAAATGCTTATAAACCTAAATTCTTATTTTAAAAATTTTAATGTAAATTGTTTTTGAAATATGACATAGAAAAATGCAAAGTTGTAAGTGAAGCCAGAAGAATTTTTTTCTTTAATACATCTGTGTGTATCCACACTTGATCCGAGCAGCACTTTTCCTTAAGCATAAGAAACCCTCTCCAGCCCCTCCTACTTACTGGCCTTCCTCAAGTAAACTTACTGCTAACACAAAAGATTAGATTTGCCTATTTTGAACTTTATATATAAAAGTGCTATCTTATGGCTTTTTTCCTCTTTCAAAAGAATTATAGGAAATAGCCAGCAAAGATTTTTATAGAAGAAAGAAAGGTATAAAGTATTATCTGTGAGAACACCATGGGTTGTGTGGTATTTTTAAAAATTAAGCTTGAGTTCATTTGATAAAACCTTTGCCTTTTGATCTATTGTGAAATTTGATGTCTGAATGTTTGAGTTATCTACAGAATGCTGGAAGAAGAGTTTTTCCTGTTCTTTTTCACTTGTTCTGTGTACTCACACTTTCAGCATTAGCTGCCTTCCATCTATGGGAAGGCAATAATTTTACGTGTTCTAGCTAATCAAACAGTGGAAATTATTTCTATTGATTGCATTCCATAAAATAGTAGGTTGTTAAAATAGAGAATACTAACCTCATTTAAAAAATGTCAGCAGTGCTATCTTTAGATTTCTCTTTAGAACATCACTTTTGCAAATAAGGGCAAGAGGACATCAAACAACAATGAACTATAGAGTTCATGTATTCACATACTGTAAGTGCTCAATCCTTTAAACAGTGTCTATTTTATTATGAGGCATTTTATCTTTTCTTTCAGTAAATATTTGTTAAATTACATTTATGTGCCATGTAGTCATTAATCAAAGTGCTAGGAATAAAGCAGTGAACTGATTGTTTACTCTAGTTAAGAAAGATGTAACAGAAACAAAATGGGGGCTAGGGATGTTGTTCAGCTCCCCTGGGGATGTTGAACCAATTCGAGTTCTGCCTTTTTATTTTTATCTTGGGATAGGGTGTTGCTAAATTGTCCAGGCTGGTCTTAAACTTGCAATCCTTTTATATTGGCCTTCCAAATCACTGGGATTATAGGCATGTGCCACTTGGCCTGTATGTTTGAAAATTAAAGGCAAAAAGCATTAAAAAAAAAAAGGAGCAGGGAAGAGAGATGGGCAATATGGGGAGATAATGCAATTTTAATAAGGTGAATAATGAAGGCCATATTGATAAGGTGTCTATGTATTCAGCCCATAGCAGGATTAACAGACTGCAACAAGTGGAATATCAGAAGAATTTAAAGGAACTGAAAAAAGAAAAAGATACCAGAACTGTGCCTGGACTACTGCATTGGAAAAAACAACCCAAAAGCTCTAATATATACCTAGGCATTGTTATACCACAGCTCTGACCAGAGGATGTGATTATCAAACTTCATTTGTTAGGCAAATGAACACACTAGGTAATTTCCACAATATGCTCCATTCTATAGGTATTGGATGAAGAATTTGGGGACTACTCAAAATGTGATCATTTTTAGAAATGCAGAATCTTGGGCTTGGGGTGTCGCTCAAAGGTGGAATACTGCCTCACATGTGCAAGGCCCTGAGTTCTGTCCCTAGTGTTGCAGAAAAGAAAAAGGAAAACAAAACAAACTCTTAAGCCTCACCCTAGGCTTACGGAGTCAGAACCAGTATTTTAACAAGATGCTACTATGATTTATTTGTACTTTAAAGTTTAAGAAGCACTGCTCTAAGGTGGAACCCAGAGCTTTCTTAAAAAGCTCTCCCAGTAGCTGGGTATGGTGGTACACGCATATAATCCCAGCTACTCAGGAAGCCGAGGCAGGAGGATCACAAGTTTCAGGCCACTTTGGACAATGCAGTGAGGCTCTATCTTGAAATAAAATAGAAATAAAAATAAAATAAAGGGCTGGAAATGTAGCTCATTGGTAGAGAACGTCTGGGTTCAATTTTCAGAACCATAAAACAAAACAAACAAACAAAAAAATCAAACCTCTTCTTTAAACCCTCCAAAACAAAACCAAGAAACAATGCTGAAGAAATATATTTTATTCTATATTGAGACAATTAAAAGGTAATCACAGCTGAATATCAATGACCTTTCAAAAATTAAACTCGTGGGACAGAAGGTAAAGCTTAGTTGTGGCGCACATGCCCAGCATGCATGAGGCCTTGGGTGTGATCTCCAGTATACATCCCCCAACCCCCTTTAAATTCTTTGCGCTGAGCCTTATAATTTCCCCCCAAGAGAAAAAAACAAACAAACAAACAAAAAAAAACCATCTAGTGGTGATTTTCTAGACCATAATCAGAAAAAATTCAAGTAATAATAATTATAATAGTAGCTAATCATTATTAGGCATCAATACTAGCTAAGCATTATTAAAAGGTTAAAAACCTTTTTTTCCTGAATTGGGGCTTGGACACAGGGCTTCCTGCATAAGTACTCTACCACAGAGTAGACCCCAGTCCAAATCAAAAGAGGGATTCAAACAGAGAGTGGAGGAGATAGATTGAGTACAGTTCTTAATTCTACTAGTGCAAAAAAGAGAGTGCTATGTTAACAATCATTTTAATAAAAAAGTAAATTTGTGAAAAATAAAGTTTCTAAAAAGCAATAATATCAATTCATTTTCTTTTATTTATTTTTTTAAATTTGTTGTTGTTGTTGTTCTCATAGATGGACAGCATTCCTTTGTTTCATTTTTATGCAGTGCCAAGGACTAAACCCAGGGCCTCATACATGCTAGGCAAGTGCCACTGAGCTATAGCCCCAGCCCCCCATTTTCTTTTTGTAATACATTTTTTAAATATATATTTTTTAGTTGTGGATGAACCTTATTTATTTATTTATTTATATGCGGTGCTGAGAATCAAACCAAGTGCCTCACACATGCTAGGCAAGTGCTCTTCTACTGAGTTACCACCCCAGCCCAATCAATCCATTTTCTATTGTACTATGGTAGAAGAGTAAAGTACATAAAATACATAAGTCTACTACAGAAGCTTGTTGCTCTGAAAAAGCAAAATATAAGAAAAAGGAGAGAGATAAAGTAGGATTTCAAAAATTCTTACTAACTGAATGAACTTGAGTGACAAAAGTGCATTTTGTTTTATTTTTTTTACTTATTTTTGTACTGGGAATTGACCCAGGGGTCTCTATCACAAAACTACATACCCAGCTTTTTATATTTTTTATTTTGAGACAAAGTTTCCCTAAATTGCCAGACAAGACCTTGAACTTGTGATCCTACCAAGTCAGTGGGATTACAGGCATGTACCAGCCTGCTTAACTCTGAAAGCACATTTTATTTACTTGTTTATTTATTTTCCTTGTTGAACCCAGGGGTGCTAAACCACCAAGCCACATCCCCAAGCCCCTGCTGAGTTTTTAAGTTTTGAGACAGGGTCTCACTAAATTGCTTAGGGCCTCATTAAAGTGCTGAATTTGAATTTGCAATCCTCCTGCCTCTGCCTCCCAAGCTATTGGGATTAAGGCATGCATCACCATGCCCAACTCAAAAGTACATTTTACTTGTAATTTTATAAAAGTTAATTAAGTAAATTATTTTCTACAAACACATGAATTGTACCTTGAAAGAACGTAGTTATTAGAATAGATAGAAATGGGGATTAACCTTATTTCTCAATCACAAACTTTCTATCATGAGTAGAGTTTCAAAATATTAATTCTTAAAGCTGGAAATACTATAAAGAAATAAAATTTAAATGCTATTGCTTTTGTATATTAAAGTATATCTGTTCAGATGAACTTACTCATGCCATTGAAAATGGTTAGGATGCTTTTTAAAATCATAGGATTATTTTAATTAGAACCATTGAGTATTGATATTAGTTGGTAGAAAAAACTTAATTATTTGTAAAATAATACATAGTACATTTATCTTAAAATCTCATCAATAATTTTGTTATTCAAAGCTGATACCTTGCACTTTTCAACTTCTTCCTCGATTTTCTCAACAATAGCTGCATCCAGAATTTGTAAATCACAAGAAGAACGAGACAAAGTACTGACAGGATGTCCTTTTAGCCAAGTAATAATTTCTTGAACTTTCTCTGCACTATAGTAACAACAAAAAACCAAAATATTTTCCACATTTATTAAGACTTTGAGAGCTTATATTAGAGAGCTGATATAAACTTTCTGAGAATTGTGGCAAATTTATATAATTAATAATTAGTGAAATTAACTAAGTCTAATTATAAATCTAACATAAAATGGACATGCTATCTCTCAATTATAAAGAGTACAGAAAAAAATCAGTTTAAAATTATTCGCTGACATCAACAAAATAAAATTTCTAATGAGCTGTTAAAGGAAAAATGAAACAATACCAAACAACAAAAAGTAACATGAGAATTTTTGATAAACTAGGTGCACTCTTCAAGGAAACCATTAAATTGAATTATGAGTCAATAAATACCATAAATCTTGCTTACCCATTCTCATTTTCTCCAGGCCAAATGTCATCTTCATAGAACACATCCTCTTGGCTATTTTTGGCTATATAACTAAATAGTTCTGGTGCTCTAGTCAAACAAACAAGAAACAATATTGCTGTACAAACACATATGGCTCATTTCACATAAATTTTCAGGAAATAATTTTAGATCCTGAGGGGGACATGTAACATTACCAAAGAAATATTACAGTATTATTAAGGGACACTTTTAATAAGGAATAGAGACTGAATGATTTGAAAACCAGAATATACTTATACCTTTTAAAAACTCCCATGGCTGAGGGAGAAATCCCTAGACTTATAAAATACTTCAATGATGACTCCAATTCTTTGACTACAGTGACAGGAGATAAATGAACAAAAATAATATTTATAAGCTCATTTTCTAATGTTTTCAACAAAGGTGGATCACTCTACAATACAGCAGACCAAAATGGATTAATAGTTTCTTCTGATATTCCTCAAAACTCCATTTGTTTCTGAATAGTGCAGGACTTTCTGGTATATAAAAGCAGACTGAACACGTGACAGTAAAGTATAAAGAAGTCCATACATCTAGAAACACAAACAAAGACAGAAGCAGAGTATCTGATAGCATGTAAGAATTGTTAATGAAATTTCAGAAGTTGGAAACTGGGTGGGCGAGTATTGTAGGTATTCTTAGACAGGAATAAGCTGAATCCTAAATTCCCAGTAGGGGAAGTCACCAATAAGCAATTTCAACCAATCACAAAAAGGGTTCAAGTGCTTTTTTCTTTATGTTTATAAAGTGGGCTTAAGGCAAGCATCCTGTATTCTGAAAGTCTTCCAGTTTGTGAATTGTTACTTTGTATGCATTTCTTTTGCTTGGTTAATTTCCAGAATACCAGCAGAATACTAGCAGTCAATTTTGTCCCCCACATCCATATTGTGCAAGAAGTCCGGAGGACACCCTCGAGCCTTCTACAACAGAAAAACATAAAAACAATATAAGAAACAAGAACTACAGAACCCTGCAAAAACTCAGGTACACTTGAAGGTTGTAGCATGAAGTAAGATTTAATAGGATTTTAGTTGACAGTCATGAGTTGGTTACTTGCCTACCACCCCAACAGAAGACCTCGTCAAACTGGGGATACCCTAACCTTAGGTACACCAGAACTCAGGCAGCTGGGAAGTGGTGAAGAGGTGCCATGATGAAAACGGGATTAATGAAAGCATAAATCCTATATGATGCATCACTAAGAAGCAGACTGTCTCTAGGAAGCCGACTCTGAGATGGAGATAAATATACAGGAAGTATATAGTAGAAAGTGCTTGTGGAATTAACATGTGTGGAAGGGTAAAGAGAGGAAGGAAGCAGAACTGGGCACAAGGAGAAACTAAGTTGTGATTCATTCTGAAAGAATTCCCTGGCCAAACCTATAAAGATCTCAAATTTGCATGGCCCTTCAGACTTGTCCTGAACTGGAGTAATCAGGTTGCTTGGACCTTTATCCTGCCTTCTAGGTCAGGCACTGGATCTGTGGCTACTGTAGAAAGGGCATGCAACTTTAGGAATTCTTGAAGAGGGTTAGCAGTTGGGAGCCCTCAGAATCGTTACTGCTGTGAGGGGACCAGGCCATTCAGTCCTGAAGAGAGATATGAGGGGTGTATCACAGTAACCACTTGCTAGTGAGGCCTTTTCTCCAGTTTATTTCCAGAAAACTAGCAGTTAGTTTTGTACCCCACATCTATGGCACAAAGAAAAGGCTGAAGGATATCTCTCTTGGAAAATTAGCCAAAGAGAAAAGAAATATATATGGAGTGATACCAGGAGGTCCTTTTTAGAAATAGTGAAGTCCTGTGTTATAAGCCCCACTCAAGTTCACTTTCAAAATCCTGAGGGAAAATGATCTCCAATCCAAACAAGCATAGGAGAAAAATAAAGGCATTTCTTGGCATGCAAGCTTTCTCAAAAAGCTACCAGAGTTAAATGCTTCATCAAAATGGAGTCATAAACAAGAAAAGAATACAGTGTAGGAGTCAGAAAAAAGAAGCCATCCTACACAGCGGAAGGTGAAGGGAAACTCTAGGATGACAGTAAAGGGAAATTCCAGAATGAGAGCTGTGCAACAGCCCTAGAGAGCAATCAGCGTGCCAATGAGGTAGGATGATGTAAGGTTCCAGGAAAAAGTCTTTAAAAAGAAAATGGAATTCAGAGACCCCCTGATCTGTTTGACAGTATTGAGTTTCAAAGCTACGGCACAGTTTAGGACTGAATTATTTATATAAACTTACATAATAAGCAAATAATAAAGCATCAGAGAAAATATGTATAAGAAAGGAATGTAATCATAATACCTCCACAAGGTCCAGCTGTGAATATTTATTTTATCATAATCAAATAAACCTTAAATATAGATTTAACTAAAAAATGTGATAAAACTCTAACAAGAGGAGGAGTATGTCTGTGGGGATGTGAGGAAATGGGGAAGACCTAAAGCTCAATTAAAAGTATCTCAGAATAGATGAATGGCAGGTCATGGTGTCACACATCTATACTCCCAGCAACTCAGGAGGCTGAGGCAGCAGGATCGTAAGCTCAAAGCCAGCCTCAGCAACTTAATAAGGCCCTAGGCAACTTAGTAAGATTCTGTCTCAAAAGATAAAACAGGTTGGGGATGTGCCTCAGTGGTTAAGTGCCCCTGGGATAAATCCCTGTACCCAAACAAAAAACAAACAAGCAAAGAAAAATCAAATTAGATGAATGGGTATGTGAAGTTGAAAAAAAAAAAAAAAGAAGATGTTTAAACATGGACCTTTTGATGCAATATGAAAGTAAATAGAAGAAACAATCTAAATTTTTGGATGGTAGTAGAGAATTGAGCTCCCATTCTCCATCAAAAAATATAGAATGTGTTGTGGGTATGGTGGTGCACACTTGTAATTCCAGCAACTCTGGAAGCAGAGGATTCCAAGTTTGAGGCCAGTCTCAGCAACTTAGTGAGGCCCTAAACAACTTAGTGAGACCTAGATCAAAAAAACAAAACAATACAATAAAAAGGGCTGGGAATGTAGCTTAGTGGTTAAGCATCCTTAGGTTAAATCCCTGGGGGGAAAAAGAAAAGAAAAAAATATATATGTAAATAATGTGACTTTATTTGGAAACAAGGATTTTATAGAGGCAATCAAATTAAAGTGGCATTATTAGGGTGGGCTCTAATCCAATAAATAGGTGTCCTTATAAAGGGGGAAATGTAGATACACATATAGGGAGAATGGTCACCTGATGATGGAGGATTGGAGAAATTTATCTACAAGCCCTACTGCCTTTAGAAGAACTACTGCTCTGTTGATATCTTGATTCAGGTCACCAGAACTGTGAGACAATAAGATCATGTTGTTTAAGACACTCAGTTTATGATACTTTGTTAGGGGAGTCCTAGAAATTCAAATATAAGAGCTCTTCGATAAGGTCAGAAACCAGGGGAACAATGGAAAGAACATTAAATTGTGAGAAGAGGCATATTTCCTGTAAATCTTAGTCACTAAGTAACTCAGTTAACATTTACTAAAGAAAATGTTAACATGTTTACAAAAGGAATGTTAACACAAATGTGCTGCTGCATATTTTTCTAAAGAATTATTTCTAAAACTGGTATAAGGCAAGACAAAATAAATAGTATGTTCCTAAGTTTCTGGCTATCTATTGGAATCTTTTGTTTTGATACTGGCATCTGAACCCAGGGGCACCTTATAACTAAGCTACACCCCCCAGCCCTTTTTATTTATTTTGAAACAGCAGCTCGATAAGTTGCTGAGGTTAGCCTTGAACTTGTGATCCTGGAGCCTCAGCCTCCCTACATGCTGGGTTTATAAGTGTGTGCCACTGTGCCCTGCCTAGTAGAATCTCGCCAGACACTTACCTCTCTAAGTACTCAGCAAGAAGTTGTTCTGCTGCAGATGAGTACATCCATTCACTTCCAACTTTCTTAGTATATCCAGGTACCTCTTCATTTTTTTTGTTGAATTTGAGATTTAAACCCACATTTGCTTTATGGTCTCCATGAGGACTAAATTTAAACCATACACACAAACACACATACAAATTTTAAAAACTTGTTCAAGCAGTGAAACGTTTTCCTTTCTACTCTGTTTTTATGTTCTGTATTTTAATTATGGTTATTTTCAATTAGCAGTAATTGAAAAACTAGAGGAAAGGCTTCAAAATCTAAATCAACAAATTATGTAAATAAATTATGTAGTTATAGAGGATAATGAAATAAAATGCAAGGAAATTTATTATTGAGGTTCCACACACACCCTCTGATACCTTTTTTCAAGGTTCAATTTGTTAGCTGCTAAAAATAAAAGCTATCTTTCCAACCATCTAAAACATGCCCTTCAAGTAAAAGATTATCATCAGAGGAAGTGATACACGATTTTAAAAGAAAATCCACAGCAATTAATAAGAAAATAAATATTGAAATACTAGGCATTTAATCTTTATAATTTATTTTTCTGCCACTTTAAGTACATTTTTCTAACAAAAACTTACTTTCTCCTAGATCCTCTTCCAATAAAAATACTTCCTGTAAACCTTGAAACAAGGTATCCACTCACTCCAAGGCGACTGGCCAACACATATCCTGGGTTGTACTTTATAGAATATTTCTTTAAATATAAAAACAAAAAGGTCAATTATGTAAACACAAATTCACATTAAATATTATTTCTTTACCTTTAAAATTTGGAGATAATCAAGACATCACTAACCATTGGATTGTGGCAATATAAGGATTCTCATTTAGATCCATTTCCCCTTTTTTTTTGAAAGGAACTGAAGGCAGAATTTTTCTGCTCCTCTCTTTTTCTCCTTAAAGAACAGAATTCCCAAGGATGGATGAAAGGGGGAGGAAATATACAGTTTGTGAAACTGTCTTAAGAAATAAAACTCTACTGTAAGTACTAAATGGCAAACTCCTCAGGCAAGAATTTTTTATAAACTTATTTTTATATTCCAAGCAGGGCTGAGTAAAGTACCATGGACAAAATGAGGCCTTAATAACTATCATGCTGAATTAAAACATAAGTATGTCATCAAAATAATTACAATTGAGCAAAATTAAAATATTTTGCATACATGGATATAAGTAATATTCTTTTCCCCTAAATACTTACCAAAGTAATAAGTATGTATAGTCTCATAATTAATAAAGTCAATGAAAATAAATCTAAACTTGTATAGGAGAGAAACCATAAAAATTGTCAAATTAACAAAAAGAAGTAACTGTAGCACATGCCTATAATCCAAGTGACTCCAGAGGTAAAGGCAGGAGGATAGCAAGTTTGAGGCCAGACTTGGCAATTTAGCGAGACCCCATCTCAAAATAAAAAATAAAAAGGACTGGGAATGTAGCTCGTGATTTTGCAGCCCTGTGTTCAATCCCCAGTACCATAAAACCAAACAACCCCTGCCCCCAAACAGATAATCTAATTTTTAACCAGGATCAAGTAATTTGCAAATCCAGTACCAACTATCATATACTCCTTATATAATGTATACAGAAATAACACATTAATTTTTATACATATATTAATTATATGAATAGCTTATATTCTCAATTTATGCACATATCTGATATGAATATAAGGAAATTTTACTACCAACAAAAACCAAATATCTAGAGATTGGTGAGGAATTAAATGAGCCACCATTATTTTATTGATCATATTTACAATGACCCCCCCCCAATGAATAATTGTTTTTGAGGGTCTGGAATATAAAGTTATTAGTAAATTGTGTAAATATGTTAGTAAAGAATGTAACATTTTTTTTTTTCCATAAAGTACACCATTAGATTTGGAATAATACAAATCAAGTATGTATTCCAGAATAGTTTGTGTATTTACAAGTTGTACCACTTTTGTAATAAGCATTTGGAAATATGTCATGGAACACTGAGTTATAATAATTGGATGGGCTACTAGTACTTAATGCCCAGAGGCCAAAGGTGTCAACTGTCCTTTCATATACAGAAGAGTCCTATTTACATAATCAACCCCCCCCCCCCACACATAATTGTCTTGCTCCAAATACCAACAGTACTCCTTTTGAGAAATGCTGAACTATGCTATAATTAAACATTAATTAAAATTATCACAACCCACAGATTATAAAAAATTATATATAGCTGAAGAGGTTGGGGTAGAGAAAGATGGAGGATTAAATAAAAATTAAAAGAAAGCATGTAAATAAGACAGGAAGTATACTGGAGCAGATATCCTGACCAGCACTCTATGCTACAAGTGGGTAGGCTCTTCTGGATCTGGAAGCCAGGGATGAAGAAATGCAGGTTCTTCCACCATCACCAACTCTCAGAATAAAATTCCAGTTTTTCTGTCTGATGAGCCACTCTGATGGTTTCCTGACTATACTGTCTATATTTTCTCTTAAGTAGATACCTTTTTTTTCCCCTGATGAATAGGGACATCTCTGCTTTCTATATATAAAGTTTCCTCATGGTATGCTGACTCTTAATGTCTTAAATTTACTTCACAGGATATAAAGCCCTAGATTTTACCAAATAACAGCAAAAGTAGCAAAAGCTGGTTGATGGTGAATTAATTTCAGTCAAGTTAATTATTGGGTCATTAATAACAACAAATGATAGCTATCAGAAACTTCACCCTATATTTTTAAAAATTTTTTTTAGTTTTAGTTTACACAATACCTTTATTTTATTTGTTTATTTATATGTGGTGCTGAGGACGAGGGCCTCGAACGTGCTAGGCGAGCACTTTACCGCTGAGCCACAACCCCAGCCCCAACTTACCCCTATATTTACAGGGTAAAATAAGGCCAGTAAACATTTTTGGAGGAAAAGTCCTAAAAAAAGTTGCAGTGAATTTAAATTCAGTTTCCCAATATTCTCTAGGATTGAGACTGTCTATTTTAGCCGAGTAAAGATAAGAACCTTCATAGAAAGGCCACTGGCCACTGTAACTAAAAATGCGGGCTTTGAATTACTATAAATTAATAAGGGGATTTCAGTGACTTTTTTTCCCTTAAAGATTTACATGAGGGCTAGGGGTATAGCTCCCTGGCAGAGCACATGTCTAGCATGAATGAGGTCCTGGGTTCCATCCCCAGCACTGCTACGAAAAAAAAATTTATTTTTTCAGTGCTAGGGTTCAAACCCAGAGACTTGCACATGCTAGATTTACATGAATTTTTAAGGACAGATTTCATATTTATTCTTAAAATATTTGAAATAAATTTTAAAAAGGTGGCAACAGTGTTCTAACATTTTAAAAGTTTAGTGATATTCTAAAGAAGCCACATGAACTACTATACTCACATGCTGGTTCTGTATTAGAGCATCAAGGTTGGGCTCACAGGGAATGCTGAAAACCACACGAATCCTACCTTCTGTAATAACATCACCTGAATCTTGAACCTACAGGAAAAAATAAAAATAACACCACAATATGTTTTAGTTTCTTGCGTTACATTTTCTACTTATCTGAATGGTATTATTTCTAAAATATGCTATGACAATAAAATGAATAGTGGAAATCCTCCTGGAATTTTTAAGTGGAAGTGATAATATTTTGAGTCCTTTTATTCTTTCTTTAATAGCTGTTAATCATTCTTTTTCAAATTAACTTATTTGGAAATTATTTCAAAGAACAAAAAAATTACTAAAATGAAAATAGTATGAACACTTACAAACATTGGCCCAGACTCATTTATTAACATTATAACAAAAATGGCTTTAACACTTGTGTACTGTGTACATTTACATACATGCAATATATTTCTGGTTCTGTATACATCATTTTTGCATTCATCTGTTTTTGTAAACAACATACTCCTTAACCTCTAAATATTTCAGTGTCTAGTTCCAAAGAAGTAACTTTTATTAAAAACCACAATAGTTATTAAATATATAAATTTAATACTTTTATAAATATTATTTTATCTAAGCTAGTGTTCATATTCCATTTTGTCAGCTGACTTAATGATAACCTATATGGAATTCTGTTCTCCCTCTTTTACAGGATCCAGGCTAGGATCAGACATAGCATTTAATTGTTTCTTTAGCATTCTTTATCTGGAATATATCCAGGACTTTTCTTTGTTTTTCATAATATGGACATTTTGAAAAATAAAATTCATTCTTCCCTCTTGACTCTGCTTTAAGAAAGAAAAAAAAAAAGAGCTCCTTATTTTGGATTTGTTTGATGCTTCTTTGCAATTAAGTTACAGCCAGAATATTGTATAGGTGATGTGTCTTTCTTAAGGTGTCATATATGGAGGTACACAAGGTTTACCTATTTCTCACTGTGATATCAACATTGATCATACTATCAACATGCCACTCAGTTTCTTCACTGAACAATTTGTTTCTCTTGCACTTAATAAAATGTCTATGGAGAGAAACTTTTTTAACCATGCAAAATACCTGTTCCTGATAAAAATTCTCCCTAGCTTTAACTTCCAAGGCTGTCTCTTACTGTTACTCAAAATGTTTTTATTCAAAATGTTTTCCAACACTCACACTCTCTTCCATTTACTTTAGACACGATATGGTAACAAGAGCACTTCTCTTTCCCATTTATTTTTTTATTATTATTGAGGTATCATAATTCCCATTTCCCACCAGTGATTAACTCATTACTGTGTATAATTATTTTGGTTTTCTGTCCCAGACTTGGCCTGTGGGAGCCCCTTTAGCCTGGTTCCTGTGTTTACATGACATGCTTCCATTGTTCTTTTGAGCACTTCTTACTTTCTGGCATAACAAGGTATTCCAGATACACATCCTGTGTCTTCCCTGTCCCACACTTAGAATCCACTATTTCACCGAGAAGCACTGATGTTCCCCTTTTTTGGGATATGGTATTACAGGTCAAGATCTGGTTGTTACATTCTAATAGGTGGCTTTGCTTATTATTATTTTGAACAGAGCTAAAAATTTATGCATGTACGAACACACATACATACACACATATTTTAGAAATCAAGAATTCACAGTGCATCTCCAAATCTGTCTCCATACATTCTTTCTCTCATTCCGTATTTGCAGTACTTTTTCCCTATGAAATAGGGAAAAATATACAATATACATAGAAATCATTCAATAACCCTATAATATATCTAATATAATCTCATAATTGTTTCATTGATGTCACCACAATAAAAAAACATTTAAAAAAAAGATCAGGATTTGAATTCTTCATTGCCACCTACTGACCCTAAACTTCTCAAGACTAAAGACACGTATTCAAATACTGAGTTCATAACTTACACAAATGAATTCTTTATTTTTTCCCTTTGTGTTACATTTTTGCCTCTAAATAAAGACAAGTTAAATAACTCTATGAATTTGAAAGCAGGCAGAAATTTAATTAGTAGCAAATGTGAAACTAACTTCTCCAGTGCAGCCATAATATGGAGTTCCCAGCATAAATACCACACTTCTAGGAGGAAACAAATCATCCAGTGTTTTGATATTGGAGAAACGAGAATCAAAAGCTCGGATGTCCTACATAAAATGAAATATAAAAGTAAATCATCACAGTCAAAATTTCTATAGTTACACGTCATTTTTCTTATAAGATTATGTTTATGCTGTCTGCTAAATATCAAATGTGAAGATTTTCTACATAACAATATTAGAATCTGTAACTTATCGACTGGATATACACCCCGCACTCTTCTAGGTACTTCACACATTTATTTAGTTCATTTAATTCTCAACGCTACCCTCTGTGGCAGAGACTATTATTAACCTTACTGTACAGATGAAGAAAGGATGGCACAGAAGGGACGAACCTTGCTGGATCTATGATAAAGGTTAATTTGTAAATTAGGCAAGTAAGAGAATAGAACACTTATAACAATATACTATAGTAAAGGTTAGGTGAATGTGGTTTCTTTCAAAATATCTTGTATTGTTCTCATCTTTCTTCTTGTGATGATAAAATGCTTAGATGATGAGATGAAGTGTGCTCAATGACTAAGCATTCAAAACACACTGTGGCCATAACTTTTGTAGTTTGAAGTGCAACACAAAGCTAACACAGACTTATTTTTCTGTCTTCACAATTTTATAGACAGAAGATTCATTTTTTACTATAATCTTAGCAATTTTAGCATTTGTTTTTTTACCTTTCTTATGTTGAGAACTTTACTTTTTCACTTAAAGAAAGCACTTTAGGGGGCTGGGATTGTGGCTCAGTGGCAGAGCGCTTGCCTTGCACATGTGAGGCACTGGGTTCAATCCTCAGCACCACATAAAAATGAATAAACAAAATAAAGGTATTGCATCCGTCTATAACTAAAAAATATTTAAAAAAAGGAAGCACTTTATGGCTTCTCTTTGGCACATACTAATGGTCTTCTTCACTACTATTACATTTTGGGGTCATTGTTAAGAAAAATAAAAGTTACTGCACTATAATACTGCAATAGGTGATCTGATAACAGAAATGTCTATTAGTGACTAATGGATAGGTAGCATATTCAGCATAAATATGCTGGAAAAGGGGTGATTCACATCCCCAGGTGGGACAATATAAGATTCCATCATATTACTCAGAATAGTGGCCAATTTAAAACTTATGAATTATTTAATCCTGGCATTTCCATTTAATATATTTAAAAAAATTTTTAGTTGTAGATGGACACAATACCTTTATTTTATTTATTTCTTTTCATATGGTGCTGAGGATCAAACCCAGTGCTTCACACATGCTAGGCAAGTGCTCTACCACTGAGCTACAACCCCAGCCCTCCGTTTAGTATTTGTAGACTCTGGCTGATTGACGGTAACTGAAACTGTAGAAAGCAAAACTTTGGATAAGCAGGGACTACTGCATTTAAATTTTTTCTTTCTTACCATGTCTAAGAACATAAACAGAAAAATAAATGCATTTTATGTTCATTTGTTTATTTAAGGTAAATATTTTTGAAGAAAACACACCTGAACTGCAAGGGTAAAAATTAATGCTGTAATTTTTTTTTAGAGATTAAATCCTTAAAAAATACCCCAAAGAAGCTGGCATGGTAGTGCCTGTCTTTAATCAGCAACTCAGGAGACTAAGAAGATAATCACATGCTTGAGGTCATCCTCAGCAACTTAGCAAGACCCTGTCTCAAAAAACAAAAGCGCTGGGTATGTAGCTCAGTGGTAGAGTGCCCTGGTTCAACCTCCAATACTGAAAACAAATTAAAAAGTCCAAAAGACAAGTTTCCACAGTGTACAGTGAGTGTCTGAGCATGAAATACTTTTCTACAGATTAATGTACTTTGCAAATTATATTAAAGAATAACCTCTACTATATATTGTTGAGTTAGCCTATTGATAAATATTAATGTCAGTCTTTTTTATACAATGTATAATATAGTATACATTAAGATGAAACTAAAACTTGATGAACACCTACCTTGACAATAGTTTGATAAACAAAAGGAAGAACTTGTTTTGACCACTGTTTTTCTAGACGAACTTCACCATTTTGACTTATTTGATATTTACGGCCTGTGAGTAACTGAGCATACACAACTGCAGATGTTTCATTTATTATTATTCCTTTTCTTCTCAGGTAACTAAAAGAAAGAATTAAAAAGAAATATAGCTATGTATAAGTACGTATATAGTCTAAGATGATAATCGTTCGAAACTACCAACTCATAATCAAATGTTTAAATAAACTTCAAATAAATATGCTAGCATTTCTGCATGCCTAACTAAGTTAATGCAGTATTTATTTTAGTCTATGGATACTTCTTCCACTGTCTATGTGGTTAAATGAGAAATGAGAGAGTCATAAGAAACTCCTGTATTTTACATTCTCTAGGATGGCTGTACTTACAACACAGGAAAACAAGTGTTGGTGACAATATGGAGAAACTGGAATACTTGTACACTGTGGATGGAAATGTAAAGTGGTACAGCCGCTATGGAAAACAGTTTGACAGCACCTCAGAAAAGTAAACACAGAATTGCCTTAGAACCCAGTAATTCTCACTCCGGTCAGAATGCCAATTATCAAGAATACAAGTAACAATAAAGGTTGGTGAGGGTGTGGGGAAAAAGGTACACTCACTCATACACTGCTGGTGGGACTGCAAATTGGCACAGCCATTCTGGAAAGCAGTATGAAGTTCCTCAGAAAACTTGAAATGGAACCAACATTTGACTTAGTTATCCCACTCCTCAGCATATACCCAAAGGATTTAAAATCAGTATACTACAGAGACATAACTACATCAATGTTCATACAGCTCAATTCACAATAGCTAAGCTATGGAATCAACCTAGGCGCCCTTCAACAGATGAATCAATAAAGAAAATGTGGTACATATACCCAGACTATTACTCAGCCATAAACAAGAATGAAATTATGGCATTTGCAGGTAAATGGATGGAGCTAAAGAATATCATGTTAAGTGAAGTAAGCCAATCCCCCAAAACCAAAGGCTGAATGTTTTCTCTGATATGTGGATACTGATTCACAATAGGTGTCAGGGAGGAAAAGTGGGGTTCACCTAATTGGACGGGGGAATGGCGGGGGAAGAGAATGGGAAAGACAGTAGAATCAACTGGACATAACTTTTCTATGTTCATATAAGAATACACAACCATCGTAACTCCACATCATGTACAATGACAAGAGTGGGAAGTTGTACTCCACCCATATATGTCAAAATATATTGTGTTATGTATAACTAAAAAAAGAATTAAAAAACCCCCCAAACCCATAAATTCCATGTCTAAGTGTATACTCCCCAAAACTGAAAACAGGTATTCAACAAATACTGGTAAACAAATGTGCATAGTAGTACTATTCAAAAGAGGAAAAAACCTAAATGTTCACCAATAAATGGATAAACCTATAATGGAATATTATTCATTCAGCCACAACCAGAAACAAACACCAATAGATGTGACAATGTGTATGAACTTCAGAAACATGCTTAGTGAAAGAAAACAGACATAAAAGGTCACATATTATACGATTCTGTTTATATAAAACATCCATAATTATTAAATTCATAGAGAGAGATTAGTTTATGTGCATCAGTTGGCTATTTTCCATCTAAAGCAAGGGTATGCAAATGACAGTAATGAACTAAACCCAGAATGCTTTCTGCTTTTTAAAACAAACCTTTACTGGAACATAGTTATCAATTACATACTGTGTATGGCTACTTTTGTGCTATAATGGCAGAGTTGAGTAGATGTGACACACATCATAAAGTCTATAGCCTGAAATATTTACTACCTGGCCTTCATGGAAAAGTTTGTAGGTTCCTGATCTAAAACATTTAATGGATATTTTCTTATCTCTTTTCCATTTTTTCCATTTAAAATAATCAGGCAGATTCTATAAACTCCGACTATACTCTTATTTCTTTGTGCTATTGTACTATTTGCTGGGAACTTCTCAGCTTTTTCTTTTAGTTCATTAATTTAAGTTCTAGTATACTCATATTATTATTCAGACCATCTACTGAGCTCCATATAATAATCATATTATTGAATTTTATATATGACTACACATAAATATATGTATTATATACTATGTATCATATAACATAATACTATATAAAATTATTATATATACTATATAGTATATAACAATATATTCTTACATATATATTTCATAATAGTTTCTCTAAGATAAGAATTGTTCTGAAGTAAGTCACATCATCTTAGCCAGAAATACAAGTTATCTAACAAATTTCTGAAGTGGAAATTTCTTAAAAATTCATCTGTTTCTCTCATTCCATATCTGCATGTACCTAAATCAATTATCATGCTGTAGTTTGACCAAAAATCACACGTTAATATCTATCCCCATCCACCCACTGTAAGATTCATGAGTGTTTTTGTACATGTTTTTATTCATTGTTGTATCCACAGTGCCTACTACTAACCCTAGCAGTATTGATACTCAAATATCAATATGTTGACTATATGAAAAAATTGACTAAACGCTTTATCTGAAGTATATGGATAAGTTTCTTTTTTTTTCCAATTAAAAGACTCTTGACCAAAACAATATTCATTCAAACAATTACTAAGTACCTACATACTAGCCAAAAAATTAGAATAAAGTGGTCAAAAAAGCAGATATGTTCTACCCTTACAGAGCATACTCATTTAAGGTATCTAAGGAGAGACTTATTAATCACATAGTTTATTATGATTTTATTTATGTGAAAATAAGAAAATTCAGAAGATATACCTTATGGTAGGATTATATAATTTATATTCTTGAGAGGTGAAAATATATTCTACCTTTATCTCTTGAGATCTGTGTTTATATGCTTTAATGCTGAATGGTCTGTATACATTTTTCCTGTGTACTCATCTGTGAGTAAGGGCATTAAGCAAATTATTAGCTCCTGAATTATAGGGGAGAAGTATCCTTGATTCCCCCCAAATTTATTAATGGATTTTCCTACAGATTAATCAGAACTTGCTGACATATATACACTTATAACACAATTTCTTATGCTGCTGCTGGTCTCAATTATTCTGTTTTGGTTTTGAGATCTCCAGTGTTTCGATAAAGAGGTGTTGTTAGGATGGGATCATAGGACACAAAGCACTGTAGTGACCTAGAAAATCAGCACTGCAAGGATGGAGGTTCTCAGTCTGGTTAGAAGTTACAGGATGCATTTCTAAACTGTGTAAGGATGCGGTAGAGGGAGAAGGGAGGAATAGGGAGAGAATGAATATGAGGAACAAAGAGGATCTTCCTTCCGATTTTTATTACTTACACATAGCCAAGAAATGGCCTTATGGTTAACGGAAATAGCACTAAAATTTAGGCAACACATTAAGTTATTTATAGCATTAAGTGATGATATTATTTCATTTTTTCCCTTATTTCATTAAGTATTTTAGTGACAAACTGGTGAAGGCTATAACTGCTGTGAACCAGATATTAATTTAAACTACGGCTCACTGTTTTCTTTAGAACACAAGATGAGGACAGTAAGTGTTCAGAATAACTACTATGGTAAGTGGAAATAAGTTAGAGAATGAATACATTTAAAATTCTAATTCTAGTATGTTAAATTCTTTTTACAACACTTACTGTTCTGAAATTCCTTGTACTTCTTTTGTCCAGTTAGATTGTTCTTTGTCTCCAAGATGGATTACTTTAGATGGTGGCACAGTCCTTCCCAAATAAAGCTTCTGTGTTCCTGGAGGTTCTTCTAAGTAAAACCTTAAAAATTAAAATACAAAGTATTTAATGCCAAATTTGTGCTTTAATATAGAGTTCTAGCAGTATGAATGTCCAAAGTGAAAAAATTTCTATATAGTACAATAGCAGGAAAAGAAAATAGAAAAAAAAAGGCTTTTTTGAAACTGTAACATATATTATAGAATAAGGACTTCTAAAAAATTCAAAGCTGGGTGCAGATGCATATGCCTTGTAGTCCCTCAGGAAGCTGAAACAGGAGGAGACCCCACGTTGGAAATCGAACAATGAAACAAAACAAGACCTCATCTCATTAAAAAAAAAAAAAAATGCATTTATAGTCACTTCAAGAAAAATCAAATACATAGGTATAAATATAACAAAACATGTACAAGACTTGTAAAATAAAAAACTAAAACACTGATGAGGGCTGGGGATGTGGCTCAAGCGGTAGCGCGCTCGCCTGGCATGCGTGCGGCCCGGGTTCGATCCTCAGCACCACATACAAAGATGTTGTGTCTGATGAAAACTAAAAAAAAAAAAATAAATGTTAAAAATTCTCTCTCTCTCTCTCTCTCTCTCTCTCTTTAAAAAAAAATAAAATAAAACACTGATGAAAGAAGTCAACGATTTAAATAAAGAAATATATGTTCATGGCTTAGAAGACTCAATATTGTAAAGATGTCAAAGTTCCTCAAACTGATTTATAGGTTTAACAAAAGTTCTAAAAATATCCCTCCAAGATTATTTATAGACATATAATAATTTATTCTAAAATTTATAAAGGCAAAGAACCTAGAATAATTAAAACAATTTTGAAAAAGAAAAATAAGGTCAAGAAATCACTTTACCTGATGTTAAGACTTTTCTATATAATAATCAAGATAGTGTGGTAGACACTTTAAAATAGACTAAAATATACTAATGGAATAGAGAACCCAGGAAAGTTACATACAAATATACTCAACTTTTTGTTTTAGTACTGGGGATTGAACTCAAGGGGGCTTAACTTCTGAGCCACATCCCCAGTCCTTTTTATTTTGAGTCAGAGTCTTGCCAAATTGCTGAGGGCCTCGCTAAGTTGCTGAGGCTGGCTTTGAACTTGTAATCCTCCTGCCTCAGCCTCCTGAACCGCTGGAATGAACTACTTTTTTGTAGTATTGAAGATTGAATCCAAGACCTCACATATGTTAGAGAAGTAGTAAGCATATTCCCACCCTTGTTCATTTTTTAAATTCTGAAACAGAGTCTTATTAGGTTATCCAGGCTGACTCTGACCTTGCAATTCTCCTGCTTCAGCCACCTGAGTAGTCAGGCTCTAGGTGATTTTTCACAAAGATGCAAAAGCAACCGATGGAGGAAGAATAGATTTTTTACCAAATGCCTGCAGCAACTGAATATTCATAGGCAAATATACAAAACTGGATCTAAATCTCATACCTTATACAAAAATTAACTCAAAATTGATCTTTGATTTAAGGTAAAACTATAAAACTTCTCAAAGAAAATATTAAAGTCCTTGTAACCTAGGTCTAGGTGAAGAGTTCTGAGACTTTTTACCAAAAGCATTAAAAAAAAAAAAAAAAAAAGGTAAGTTGGATTACACTGAAACGGTAGGAGAACTGAATCTGAATTTGATGATTCAAAAGGAATCCTCAAGATTTCACATAGAAAAGCAGACACTTATCAGAGGTAAAAAAAAAAAAAAGATCACACTGGATTGACTTTTCATCAACAACAGTACAAAACAGAATACAATAGAGAATATGTATGCTGAGGTAAGGAAAAAGGACCGAGCCTCTAAAATTCTAGACCCATGCATGAAGAAAACAAAAAAAGATAGTCTGGAGATGTAATTACCCAGAAAACAACACCAACCCATTTCTTTTCTGAAAAAATTTGTTTCAGAAAGTTTTAACCATACAAAAAATAACAAAAGAACAAGAAATCAGGACAAAAATGCTTATAGGAAATAATGAATGATCAAAAATGACAAAGAAAAACTTGTCTAAATGTTCTCTCATGAAATGACTGTGAGAGGGTGGGAAGACGGGAGGGAAGTGCTGGGGAGTGATACTGGCCAAATTATATTGTGTGCATGTATGAATATATAACAACTAATTCCACCATTATGTAAAATGAAAATTTTTTTAGTAAAAAGAATGTGGAGAAAAAAAGCCATGTAAGAAAAAAAAGTGACTGTGAACTTGAGGAGCTGAGCCTGGGTACACGCCTGTAACACCACTAATCCAGAGCCTGAGGCTAAGGCAGGAGGACAGTAAATTTGAGGCCAGTCTGAGAAAATCAGTGTGGCTGTGTCTCAAAATAAAAAGGGCTGGAGATGTAACTCAGTAGTAGAATGCCCTGCTCAATCCCCACTACTACCAAAAAAAAAAAAAAAAAAAAAAAAGAAGGTATGTGTTTTTTAAAAAATTAATGTATTATTTAAATGAAACCTGTGAAGAGCATGGTAAAAGTAAGGTTATATATTATTAATTCTTATCAGAAAGAGACATACATTTGCTAAATACTATAATGATAACCACTGATAGTAAAGAATTAGCATATAGAACTTCTAAGGTTTTAAGAGGAAAAGATGCATGTTTTAGATGCATGTTATTTTTATACAGAACATATTTGTTCTGCATTTTACAGTTTACAAAAGCTTTTGTATATACTCTTTTCTTTTATTGTTAACATTGCAAGTGAGACATTATTCCTTCTTCTTAGAAAAGAAAACTCAGTCTCAATGGGATTAAATGATTTGCCTAAGATTTTTATAGCTAAAAAAGAAAATAATATGCATCTAAAATATCTCAATAAATATCAAAGTGGTTAAACTTCAAATGGTATGATTAGATTTTCACTATAGTGTAAACATTCTTATAATAATTTTATCAGTTTAAAAAACTGAATCAATCAAAGCAAAGCAAATATGTCAGAGAAATTATAAATAAAATCTTACTTAGTTTCGCCGTCTGATACAGCCACAACTCTAGCTTCTTCAAGGTGAGGCCAATTAACAAAAACAGACTTTCCAAGCACCGATGAAGCTATATTTTCTACACTCTTAAAGTAAGAGCAGAAAAATTAATTCATGCATTAGGTCCAAGAGAAAACTTTATACAGGGAAAATTTTCCATTTAAGTGTTTACATTTTTTGTAAAATGAACAAGGTTGGATTAGTAATGTTACAAAATTCCATCTACTAGTAAAATTCTATGATGCTAACCATTAGATTCATAAATGTTTTGCTTATTTTTCTAATAGGAATTGAGGAAAGTGAAAAGAACAGCAGAAATGTCTATAAAAGGGCTATTCATTGCTTTATATCAACAAATATTTAAAAAATTAAGAAATAGGATCTTATTTCAGTTTGTGGGAGTATAATGAGAGAAAAAACAAAAAACAAAAAACATTACACTAAAAGTCAAGAGACACGTTCCAAATTTGGGTTCTACTTCTTTTTTAGGTATAAAAATCTCGGGCAAATCATTTAATCCCATTGAGACTGAGTTTTCTTTTCTAAGAAGAAGGAATAACGTCTCACTTGCAATGTTAACAATAAAAGAAAAGAGTATATACAAAAGCTTTTGTAAACTGTAAAATGCAGAACAAATATATTCTGTATAAAAAATAACTTAAGTAAAAATTCTAGTTTTAGGGGCTGTGGCTGTGGCTCAGTGGGCAAGGCACTAGGTTTGATCTCAGCACCACATAAAAATAAATAAATAAAATAAAGATATTGTGTCCAGCTACAACTAAGTTTTTTTTTTTAAATCTAGTTTTAAAAAAACTATATTATTGGGCTGGGATGTGGCTCAAGCGGTAGCGCGCTCGCCTGGCATGTGTGGGGCGCTGGGTTTGATCCTCAGCACCACATACAAATAAAAATAAAGATGTTGTGTCCACCGAAAACTAAAAAATAAACATTAAAAATTCTCTCTCTTTAAAAAAAACCCATATTATTTAATTTGTACATATAAGTTAGAGAACAACTTTGTGGTGGAAACTTAAGTTTAAATACAACTTATTCCTTTTTTTTTTGGCTTATTATCCTTAATTTTTTAACAAAATTTTTTTAACAATACAGATGACTATTTGAGACTTTTTATAGTAATTTAATTTTGATACTTGAATATTTGTTAAAATGAACATAGTAAACAACAGACTAACTATTCAAATGGAATTTAAGTTTTGGGGCTAGGGTTGTGGTTCAGTGGTAGGCAGAGCGCCTGCCTAGCATGCATGAGGCACTGGGTTCGATCCTCAGCACCACATAAAAATAAAATCTTGTGTCTACCTAAAACTAAAAAATAAATATTTAAAAAAGTTTCAATATTAGAATGAGACTCCCTCAATTATTCTTTTTTAAAAAATATTTATTTTTTGGATGTAGATGGACACAACACAATGCCTTTATTTTTATGTGGTGCTGAGGATTGAACCCGGGTCCCGCCCGTGCTAGGCGAGCGTTCTACCACTGAGCCACAATCTCAGCCCATATTCTTTTTTAAAAAATATTTATTTTTTAGATGTAGATGGACACAATACCTTTATTTTATTTATTTATTTTTATGTGGTATTGAGGATCGAACCCAGGGCCTCACATATGCTAGGTGAGTGCTCTACCGCTAAGCCACAATCCCAGCCCCCCTCAATTATTCTTTTCCCTTTTATACATCTATTTCTGATTTTATTCTTCAAGTCTTTCGGTTTTTTAAGAAAGTGTCCTCTTTTTCTAGATTTTTTCATTTAAGATCTAGATAAAACCTTTTATTACTTCATATGGGGTCCTGTTATCATATACACCCTTTTCTGCTACAGTGGTTTGTCACTTCCTTCTCCATTAGCTCTATCTTCCTTCTTTGTACAGATTTTGCTGGATGTTTCTTCTTTACATACAGTTGTTTCTGTCCCTCTTTTCAATGATAAACTTTTTATTCAAGGGCTTTGTACCTGCTATTGATATTTCCTATTTACCTAGCATTAGTCTAGTCTTTAGGAATTGAACTTCTGCCTCCACCAATCTACTGGAATGAAATTCTCTAAGGCCAACATCAATGCTCAAATTCAAAGACCTGACTTTAGTTTTTATTTTTCTTCTAACTTAGGAAGCATACAGCCCCTGTTCCATGATTTTGTGATACTACTTAACTTGGAATCATTCTTTTGTATCTACGACTCTACTTTTTACTTTTTGATACCCAATAGCAATGGGTATTAAACCCAGGGTTTTATGCATACTAGGCAAATATTTTTACCAAGGAGCTACATTCCTAGACCTTTTAAATTGTATGTTGAGACAGAGTCTTGACAAGTCGTCCAGGTTGGCCACAAACTTGAGATCCTCCCAAGTAGCCAGGCTCACTATGTTACTTTTATTGGCTCTTTTGCACCCTATATAACTGTGGGTAATGTTGAGACCATGAATGCTCGGTGAAGCTTTTCTTTGAGGAAATGAGTCTCGAGGCCTAAGCTATCAATTTTCTGTTGACAGCTTGTAGAATCCTATCTCTCTTTGCTCAAGCTCCAGGCATTTAACTGTGAATAAACAGCCTTTCTTATCTGAGTTTTTCCATCTGAACTACAATACAAATAAAAAATAACTTAATTATTTTCTTGATTTTTCTAAGAATGGTTCATAACTAGCATCATTCTAAATGTAGTAGAAGATAAGTTAATTTATTGCAGACAATGAGTGCCTTAGGGCATTAGGGCTTTTATCACTTGTGAAACATTGTTTAAGAAAAGCTGGCAGGCTGAAGTTGTGGCTCAGTAGTAGATTGTGTGAGCCTAGCGTGTGTGAGGCACTAGGTTTGATTCTCAGCACCACATAAAAAATAAAATAAAGATATTGTGTCCATCTACAGCTGAAAATATTAAAAAAGAAAAGAAAAGCTGGCAAAGCAGTTCCAGTTAAATGTCCTAGTACCACTATAAATATTCATCAATATTCATCATTAATCATCCTAAACCAGCAATTCCTCTTTTAACTTTTCTATCCAGTAAACTACAATTATTCCCTAGTAGCTTAGATAGCTCAGTAATATCTACTGTTTTCTTTCTCTTTTTACCCTCTGTATTTGAACAAATAATAAAACTTGTCAATTTATCTTGCTCATTTAATCTATTGCCACTTCCACAGTTTAGGCCCTTATAACCTAAACACAGTGCTATAGTTTCTGAACTAGCAAACTTTCCCATTTTCTTCCGTTGCTCTTTTGTGCAATTTAGTCTTTGATAATACCACCAAATTAATCTTTATGAAAATATTTATTTCAATATAATAGTCATGGGAAAAAAAAACCCTCCAAATTTCTTAGCCTGGTATTCAAAGTCCTCTATAGTATCTGGCCTCAATCTGTTTTTTCAACCTTATCATCCACTATTTCCCATAAGTCCTCCGTTTCAGTCAAGTTTAGTCCTTCTCATATCACATTTATTTTAAAATAAGAAAAAGTATTAAATAATTTACATTCAAAAAGGTTAAAAGACTAACACAATTTATCATATACTTATTTTTTACTAAAAATTCCCAGTTTGTGATACTTCTTTCAACTAGCCTGACTTTCCCCTCCTTTTCTCCTCTTTGCCCTAATATGTCTTTTGAACCTGGCTCAAGACTATTTTCATCTGCATGCAAGTCTGTACTTAACCTTTGGCTTATATAGTTCATCTCCTTCCAAAGTTCCTGGAGTACATTTTTGCTCACTGTGCTACAATTATACAGGTTCTTAAACTGTTATTTAATTAGTGTAAATGTTTCTTTGCTTCATCCTTATTTAGAATGTGAACCTCTGGAGTATAGCACATTATACATCATTGGTAAACACCTTGGTGACTACAAACATTTTTATCCATAATAAGCACCGAATAAATAAATGATGAATGAAATACTTACAAGTTCATCTGATTCTATATTCACTAAGATTTCCAACATCATGTTTTCTCCACGACTGCTTTGCTGGAATACTTGAACACCACTTTTTTTCAAAAAAAACTTTAAAAGAATTCAAAGAATTTGATTTTAATTCTTTCTCCATAAGCAGTTCACATTATAATAAAGTGAAAAGGTTCTGAATTAAATAGCCACTGACTTTATGTTTGATGTGTTTCAGAGTTGGGAATCCGCAGAAATATAATGCCTTCTGGTCAACTCTGGTTATTTTGTTCTTGTTTATGTCCACACGCCAAGCATCTAATGATATTATTTTGTACCTAGAAAATAAATCAAGGTATTTAATTTAAAATTCAAACATTAGGACTGGGGTTGTGGCTCAGGGGTAAAGTGCTCGCCTAGCACATGCGAGGCCCTGGGTTGGATCCTCAGCACCACATATAAATAAATAAAATAAACGTATTGTGTCCAACTACAACTAAAAAATAAATATTAAAAAAATAAAATAAAATTCAAACATGACAAGCACAGTTTTTCAACATTACCTTAATTATTTCCCAAGAATTATTCTGACTTTTAGAGAAGGGAATGACAATTAGTTCTTTTAGACAAATAGAATACTGGGAAGGATATCCTAGTTTCTCTGTTGTTACTGGTCTAGATACAAGCATGAACTTTTCCTTCAGAAACTTAAATCTATATGAATAACTGATTTATAAAATAAAGAAAACACAAATCTCTATATTGTTCATGTCTCAAAATCCAAGATGAAAAATTAACATTTTATAATAACTACCTTATTGTCCTACTTGCTTTAACAAGAGGAAATATTACACTGAGAGATGTTCACTTTATTTGCAACTCAACTACCTTCCGGATAGATTATTTGCAGGGAAGATAAGAGAAAAAACTCCATATGAGTGGCATATGCCTGTAGTTCCAGAGACTCTGGAGGCTGAGGTAAAAAGAATCATCAAGTTTGAGGCCAGTCCAAGCAGCAGAGTGAGACCCTCTCAAAATAAATAATAAAAACAATAAAATGTAATTCAGTAGTAAATTTCTCTGGGTTCAATCCCCAGTACCAAAAAAGAAAAGAGAAAATAGACATTTTAATTAAGAAGAGAAAACATGGGTCTGAGGTAATAAGAATGAATCTTTTACTTTTCTTCTTTCGAGTTAGGTGGTTGGTGGTACAAGAGGCCAAGTTAGAGCATATCAAATAATGCTGGCAGCAGAGACACTGACAATGAAAAAAAAAATTCAAAACAAAAATCCTCTACAGTGACTCAATAGACAGAGACATACATTAGGAAGAAAAAACATAAAATTTTAACAGAAGAAAAGAGGGTAGAATCTGACCAAAGTGGAGAAATGTAGGAACAAGTGTTAGAGATGCTGAAATCCCTGCAAGTTGGATAAAATCCATTTAATTATGTTTTGTTTTTTTAAAGTTTTAAATTATTTTATTTTATTTATTTTTATGTGTTGCTGAGGATTGAACCCTGCACCTTACATGTGCTAGGCAAATGCTCTACTGCTGAACCACAACCCCAGCCCTTGTTTTGTTTGTTTTGAGTCAGGGTCTTGCTATGTTGCTTAGGCTGGTGTCAAATTCTTGGGCTCAAGTGATTCTTCTACCTCGGCTTTCTGAGTTCCTGGCAATACAGTCACATGACATCACACCCAGCTCATTAATAATCAATTGACTCTGTCATAAACTATTTGTTCATTCTCCAAAATAGATATTCAAAACTGTTTTGGTGTCAGAGGGCTCTTTGTTGTTGAAAAATTACCACATAACCTTACCTTGTACAACATCGTTCTATGGCAGGGAACTTTTCTGGCCACGGAGAAGGGTAGGTAAACTCTGTGTCTCTATCATACCAGCACATTAGACACTCACTATGTTGGTTTCTTTTCCTCTCTTCCTTTTTGAGGGAGTGGTTACATGTCTCCATGGCTTCCAACAATCGCTTCTGAATGTAAAGAATGAAAAGAAGGATTAAAAGTTTTAAAATTCCATAATCTCAATGTACCGAATAAATACTTTTTCTTCCATGTAGAATCACTATTTGTGTGCTTGAAAAACAAAATCTTAACTACTGAAACTCTTCCAATTTCTTACATAAAAATGCGATATGCTCTTCATTGCTTCATAGAGATCTAGCATACTGCTGCCACTGCAAATTCCTCTGAAACTATTACTCCAATAGTAGCCACTAAAGTGCAGATAAAAATAGCAGCAGTGAATCAAATTTTATTTTATTTTGTGGGACTATAAATTGAACCTAGGGCCTTGCACATACAATATAAACATCACTGCACTAGTCCCAGCTCAAGAATTAAATTTTAAACATAAACTTATAATATCATAAATCATGCAGTATTATTTTTTTACTTTACAAATTTTGCAGTGGCATAGCAACTGTCCACCTTTCTAAATTAACTTACAAATTTAACATAATTCCAATCAAAATAACAATAGTTTAAAATATATGTAAACTTTTTAGCCAGACATGGTGGTGCATGACTGTAATTCTAGTGATTTGATAAGCTAAGAAAGGAGAATTATAAGATTGAGGCCAGCCTCAGCAATTTAGTGAGACTCTATCTCAAAATAAAAAATAAAAAGGGCTGGTAGTGCACCTCTGAGTTCAATCCCCATAATGAAAAAACAAAAACAAAAACAAATTGCTTTTTTAAGAGGACAAAATTGTAACAATGTTCACATAGAAGAATGTGTGAATACTAAAAAAGAATTTGGGGGCTGGTGATGTGGCTTAATCGGTAGTGCGCTCGCCTGGCATGCGTGCGGCCCGGGTTCGATCCTCAGCACCACATACAAAGATGTTGTGTCTGCCGAAAACTAAAAAATAAATATTAAAAAATTCTCTCTCTCTCTCTCTCTCTCTCTCTTTTTAAAAAAAAAAAGAATTTGGGATGAGTCTTACCAGATCCTATCCATTATAAAGCCATTATAATAAAAACAGATGAGAAGAACAGAAAAGAGTTAAAAGTGAATTCCAAGATACTTCAAACATAGGAATTCAGATATTTAAGTAATGATGTTGTCATTATTGACTTAACTATCCAGTTATTAAAAAGACACATACACATAAAAGTATTAAGAGAAAATCTAAAATATTGATGATTTAGAGCAATAAGCTCTTTTTTTTGAAATTTTTTATTTGTTTTAATTAGTTATACATGACAGTAATTAGTTATACATGACAGCAATTAAGTTCTTTTTGAAGCAGAAAAAGTCTAACACCTTTAAGGAAAAAGATATTTTGAAGTAAAAGAAAGTGTTTGTAACAGAAGATACTATATAACAAATCAGTAGACAAATGTGATAATGAAAACACTACTCTTAACATACAAATTTACTTAAAAAACTCAAAAAGAAGAGAAATGAAGGAGAGAATACAAACAAGTATAAACAGGTAATTTACAAAAGAGAAAATGTAAAGGGTGAACATACACAAAACTACACTCAAAAAAACAAAACAAAACAGACATATAGGCCAAAGAAACAAACTAGAGAGTGCAAAAATAAATCCAGGATTTATAATCAACTAATCTTTGAAAGGGTGCCAAGAACAAACAACAGGAATAGGATAGTCTCTTCAATAAACAGTAGTGGAAAAATTAGATATCCACATGAAGAAAAATGAGACTGGATCCTTATCTTACATCATTAACAAAGAAATCAACTAAAAATGGATTAATGACTTAAATATCTAAGCTATAAAATAATGAGAAGAAAACAAGGTAAATCCTTCTTGACACAGTATGGGAAATGATTTTTTGGATATGATTGAAAAAGCACAGGCAACAAAAGCAAAAACAGACAAGTGGGACTGCAGCAAACTAAATAAAATGTGTGCATAGCAAAGGAAATAACAAAGCCAAGAGACAATTTATGGAATGGGAGAAAACATTTGCAAACTATATAGCTCTTAAAGAGGTACAATCCAAAAATATATTAGAAACTCAGTATAAATATATATCAACTCATTAGCAACAAAACAAAAACTGACAAAAATCAGAAAAGTGGGGACTAGGATTGTAGCTTAGCAGTAGAGAGCTCTCCTAGAATGTATGAGGCCCTGGGTTCGATCCTCAGCACCACATAAGAATAAATAAAATAAAGATATTGTGTCCATCTACAACTAAAAATATATTTTAAAAAAATCAGGAAAGGATCTGAATAGATATTTTTCCAAAGAAGACACACAGAATTGGAGTGTAGCTCAGTGGTAGAGTGCTTGCTTAGTAAGTAGCAGGCATTAGGCCCTAGGTTCACCTGCCCAAAACATGCATAGAACAGCAGGAAAATGAAAAAATGTTCAACATTACTAATAATCAAAGAAATGAAAAATAAAACTACAATGAGATATCATCTTATTTCTATTAGGATGGATATTATTAAAAAGTTAAAGACAAAAGCTATTATTGGTGAGGATAAAGAAAGAGCCCTTTATACTGCTGGTAGAATGTAAGTTAGTATAGTCATTATGGTAAACACCATGTAGATTATTAAAAAAATTTTAAAATATTACTGTTTGATCCAGCAATCTGACAAGCAAATAAATATCCAAATAAAATAAAATAATTAACTCCCAAGTTTACTGCAGCACTGTTTATAGTAGCCAAGCTATGGAATTACCCTAAGGGTTGGTCAACAGATAAAAGGAAAAGAATATATGGTATATATACACAATGGAATTACTCAGTCTTTAAAGACAGGAAATTCTGTTGTATGTGATAACATGAATGAACCTGGGGGATATTATGCTAAGTGAAATAAGACAAACACAGAAAGATGACATGTTGCATGATATTATGTACATGTGGAATCTAAGAAGTTGAACTCTTTAGAAGCAGAGCAGAATGGTTGTTGGCAGGGGCTAGTAGGGGTGGGGAATGGGGGCAGAGGGGACAGAGAAAGGTTGGTCAAAGTGTACAAACTTTTAGTTACACAGGATGAGTAAGTTCTGGAGTATGGTGACTAAAGTTAATAAAACCGCATTGTACACTTTAAAAAATAATTTCAGATTCACAAGAAGTTGTGAATTATAGTAAAGAGCATTCCTATGCTTTCCAGTTTTCCCTAGTGATAACCTCTTATATATAAAACCATAGTATATTATCAAAACCAAGTCCCTGAGATTATTTCAATACTACTATACTACTAATTTTCTTTTTAATTTTTTTTTTGGTTATAGATGGACAACACCTTTATTTTTTAAATTTATTTTTATGTGGTACTGAGGATCAAACCCAGTGCCTCACACATGCTAGGCAAGTGCTGTACCACTGAGCCACAACTGCATCCCCAACTACTAGTTTTTACATGTCTTTTTTCACTTAAGTATGTATTTTCAGCCAAGCTTTTTATATCAATAGTTCTTTCCTTTTTTATTGCTAAGTTATTTCATTATGAGAATGCACTATGTGTTTACCCATTTACACAATAAAAGATATTTGAATTTTTTTTCTAGTTTGCAGTTATTCCAAATAAAATTGCTCTGAACATTCACACATTGGTTTTTTTGTGGACATAGTTTTCACTCCCTAGTATAAGTACTCAAGAGTGTATTGCTAGATTGTGTAGTCAATGTATGTTAAACAGCTTTACTAACTTCCCCACCTTACACACAAACAAATCAGCAAGAACATTCTGAGAAAACGGGGCAGATATTAAGGGAAGCCTGACAAATGCTCAAGCTGAAGAGGATGTGTGTTTATATGTGCAGACAAGCAGATCACATCTTAGCAACAGAGTTTGAGCAATAATCCTCCATGAGATAAAAATAATCTCTCAGTTCTGAAAATTCTATTAGTATTCTAATTGGGCAATTTCCACCATTTCACTTGAAAGAATGTACATTCTCAGTATAGTGTATTATAAATATTAATGAAGTTGAGTAGGTTTTTATTGAAATCTTTATCCTTATTTTCTGTCTTGTGCTATCATTGTGCTATCAATTCTTCAGAGAAAAGTATCAAAGTTTCTACCTATAATTGTGGATTTCTCTCTTTCTTCCTCAATTCTGAGTTTTTGTTTCACGTTGAAACTGTTATTAGGTGCATATGTATTTAGGATTTTTCTGTCTTTTCTTCCTTTCTTTTTTTTTGATTCTGGGGATCAAACTTAGGACCTCGCACATATTAGACAAGTACTTTATCACCAAGCTATATGTCCAGTTCCTATGCCTTGATGAACTGATTGCCTCTCTTATCATAAGAAATATCCCTCTTTATCTCTGGTTATATTTTTTGTTCTGAAGTTATTTACTTTGTCTAATATTAGTAAAGCCATTCCAGCCTTATCATTAATATACATTGAAGTTTTGAGTACACAATGAAGAGTGGCTAAGTCTCAAACAAAATATAAGTGGTGATGAAAATCAACTGCTTATTAACTTAAGTGAAATAATGTCTGCTTAAGAATGTATATAATTATTACATGCACTGACCTCATCAATAAAAGGTATTAATACCACAGCTTCCCATTCCTGTTGTTTTCCATTTAGATCAGTTTTAAAATCAGGTGGATAATATTCTATAATTGGAGAGTCTTCACTGGTCATCAAATGCTATAAAAAATAAAATAGTATACAGAAATATAAGAAAATTAATATAGCTTTTTATAATGTATTTGTAATATTTCCTCACAAGTTACTTTGAAATTTTTAAGCAAACTAAATTTTTATTTTTAGGTATTGCAATGCACTCAGTTGCTATATTTTGATTTTCAACTATAAGAATTCCAATTTCACTACTATTGTTTACATTCCTGTTTCATTCACTTAGTTATATAGCAAACACATCTTTACTCTGAACTTTATCATTTTAAAAACTTTTCATTCTGTGAGATGTAGCCCCTAAATTCTGTTTTCTTTTTCAGGCTTCATTTCAGAAGCTTCTACTAGTCCTCCGTTAAAAAAAATAATTCTTTGTGTCCTGATTGATTCTATTAAGTAATATAACAACTGTCGTCCAGAATTAAAGAAATAAACAATTAAAATCCAAGAACTACTGAACCACTAACATCAAAGAGTCCAATAATACACATTTTTTATTATTAAAGATTTTATAACAGAGGTAGACAAAGTGTATAGATGTTTTACAAAAAGAAAGCTTAAGGAAATGAATACAGAAGAAAACAAATTTTTTTTCAAAGAAATAAAACAACATATTCCCAGCATGATATTCAAAATATTAATGAATATGGCACTTACAATGAGCAAATAAAACAATCATGGCTGTAATACACTTGCATGGTCATACTGGCCCACAGTGGCTGAATATCAAAGTTTAATATGTGCAAGGGAAGGAAAAAAAAGCATCAAAGAAACTTATAAGGGGAGACAAGAGGCTAGGATCAAGGCTTGGGTTAAGTGTCAGAATCTTTCTGACACAGCAAAAGGTATGTGTGTACATAATTCCTGGAAGCTGACCATGGAATTAGAAGAACGTACTACTGATACTCTAGAAGAACTAATGAAGTATACTTTCATGATCTGTTAGCTTAGTATAATTTTGCTGACCCTGTATTCCTCTTGTTATGTAAAATATGTTAGCATTTCAGTTTGATAAATGAAATCTTTAAAATTCAAATATACATGAGGGTAATACTGCTGATAAATTATTTATTAGAGGAATCCATGTTCTAATAGGCAGCAGGTAAGACAGAACAGGAATGAATGTGAAATGTGTAGACCAACAAGATAGCTTCTGATTTTACCTGTTTTAGTTTACTTTCTTCAGTGTATACACAAATTAAAGATGTGTTTAAAGGTGTTAAAAATGAAAAAGCTAGGCTCTAAATAGTTTATGAAGTTTTTTCATTTTTAAAACAAAACCAGCATTTAAACCAGAAATTACTTTACAAGGAGCTTGTTAAAGAAATACTGTATTTAAAATGGAAAATAAATGTATTTATCTACTAAATATATTTGTGTATTATTGTTTCTTAGATTTGGACAAGGAACTCTTAAATATTAAAAAGAACATAAAAACATTCAATTCTAAAACTCACCTGGGGCTGGGGATATAGCTCAGTTGGTAAAGTGCTTGCCTTGCATGCCCAAGGCCATGGGTTCAATCCCCAGCACCACCAAAAAAAAAAAAAATCATCTAAAACTCACCTGATAGCATGTAGGAAGTAAATTTTTGCTAGCCGCTGGAAGTACAGCAAGAAGCTGTTCAAATGGTTTAAAAGGTTTTCCTAGTTCAAAATGGATTTGGAGTGTACTGATGTTGCGGATGTCTGACAGGAAAGGTGCATAATGATAAGGATAATACCTACAAAACAAAATGAGTTTTAAGCAACTAGAAACCATGAAACAAGTCAATAATTTATATATATATATATAAGTGTGTGTGTGTGTATATATATACATATATATATATATTTCTTCTATAGCTTAATACCATATAACAATAAATTTCAAGAAAAATTAAGTATCACCCACAATTCTACCACCCAAATATAAGAAATCGGCACAGTTAGAAAATGTGGATGGCATAATGGCAAAAAGTATTATATTCATTAATTTTCAAGTGCAGTTTCAGATTTCTAAAAATCAGGTAATTGAAGAATGCATATAATGTAATGCTGCTTTTGTTCTGTTTTTGAGATGGGGTCTCAAGTGATCCTCCTGCCTCAACTTCCTTAGTGTTGGCACTACAGGTGCATGCCGCTGATCATGAATTTGTAATACTTTTTTGAATTCACAAAATGCTCATCATGAATCTTCCAGTCCATACGCTGAACAGTAATGAGGTACTCAGAGGATCTTCAGTCTTGTCAGTTGGCCCTGGGACCTTCAAGCAAGGTTCTGGGAGCAGCTGAAGGTTCTGATAAAAGCTTTAATTAGTCCATAAGGACAGAGGGAGGAATAGTGAGTCTAAGCTAATGTGGCCCTTAATGGTCAACTCTAAGAACTTTTTTATTTGAATTCATATTCATATTATTATATTTATAATAGAGATTAAAACATGCATTAATTACATACTAATTTTATTTTATATCATTCATGTTTAACTTTATATTTTAAATCATTCCATCCTTTTTTTTAAGCTATAGATGACACTATTTATTTATTTATTTATTTATTGATGGTACTGGGGATTGAACTCAATAGTAATTGGCCACTGAGCCACATCCCCAGGCATTTTTTTTGTATTTTATTTAGAGACAGGGTCTCACAAAGTTGCTTAGCGCCTTGCTTTTGCTGAGGCTGGCTTTGAACTTGTGATCCTCCTGTCTCAGCCTCCCAAACCCCTGGGATTACAGGCGTGCCCCACTGCACCCAGCTATTTATTTATTTTTATGTGGTGCTGAGGATCGAATCCAGTGTTTCACACATTGAGCCACAATCCCAGCCCCATCATTCCATCTTTAACTATGTATTTTTACAAAGCTTTGAACATACACACTTAAAAATTTTTCGATATGCTCTAGGTGTTTGACTCAGGTGTGTGTGTGTGTGTGTGTGTGTGTGTTGTGTATGTGTTTATATTTTCTAATTGTGGCATACATTTCAAAGCAATGGAAAAAGTTAGGAGAAATAATGTAAAACAAACAGACTCTGGAATCAGACACACTTGGACTTGGTTCTGGGATGTAAGGTTTTGGGAAGATTAAACTTTTTGAGGCTTTATTTCTTCATCTGTAATGGGGGAAAACAATGTCTACTTTAGTTGTGAAGATTAGATGAGAACATGCTTCTCAAGTGTCTGGTTTTAATGCATGAAAACAATAGAAACAACTTATGTGAGCCCTCTTAAAAAAACAAAGCAGAGCTATGTTATCACCTAAGTCTTCACTTTTCACTGATCGTCTTTTGGTCTGTTACTTTTCTATTTTGGTGGATGGTTTTGAATAAAATTTGCTGGAACAGGGAAGAGAAGTGGCAAATTATTACTATTTCCAGTAAAAACAAATAATTCCTTTCTCCTTTATTTTTCCAGCCTAACGTACAACTAGTCTAGTCTTCAAAAAATTATTACTATTTTAAAAAAATTTTAAACACACAAAAATTTAGAGAATACAATGAATACTCCCATGTAACTATCACCCAGATCTGATAGTTATCTAAACTTAAGTCATACTTGATTCATCTCTTTTCTTTCTCTCTCTCTCTTTTTTTGGGGGGGGGGGTGATGCTGGGACTCAACCCAGGACTTCTTGCATGCTAGACAAATGAGCTACAACCGAATTACATCTTCAGCTCTGATTTAGCTAAATAGAGAATTTTACATCCTTAATAAAGATCTTTTATCATCTGCTAGGGCTAGAAGCATCTTTTTCAAGTATTTTCATTTAAGAAAAGATTACCTGGGCAGAAGATATAGTTCAGTTGGGAGAGTGCTTGCCTAACATGCACAAGGCCCCGGGTTCAATCCCCAGCAAAACACACACACACCAAAAAAAAAAAAAAAAAAGGACGAAGAAGAAATGTCTAAATGAGATTCTTACAGAAAAAAACATTTTAAAAAAGATATGCTCAAAAAAAAAAAATTAAAAAAAAAAAAAAAGATATGCTCTTACCAGCTCCAGGACTGAACACCGTGATAGTAATAGTGCAAAATCCACTGTATTGCCTGAACATAACATGCAGCTTGATCAGCCAGAAAATCACTGAAAATAGAAAGGAATATTTTCATTACATTATTTTTTTTTTGAAAACAGGCCAGTGTCTCTAGAGCATATTTCCTCATACATTTTACCTCACATGGCTTATTAAGTCAATGAATTAACTACAAATTATATACTATTAAAAAATAACAATCAGAAAAACTCTAAGATATTAAAAAATTCCACCTTTCACACGAAAGGTTTGCTTCATAGTTTACCTACACCAACTATCAAGCCTGCTATGCATATTTGACTAGTAAATCTATGACACATTTGGTCTAAAATTTAAAGACTTAGCTAATGAAATATTTTATCAAGCAGTACTGTTGCTCTCTTAAATAGTGGGGATGAGATGGGCACATCAGAAAGTTCTTGAAAAGCCTGGTTATAGCAGATAAAATACCCTTTGAAAAGTGCTACACTGTATATGGGGTAAAAATGGGAGTTCATAACCCACTTGAATCAAAGTGTGAAATATGATATATCAAGAAATTTGTAATGTTTTGAACAACCAACAATAAAAAATAAAAAAAAAAAAAACATAAAAAAAATGCAGTATTGAGTTGTCCAGAAAAACCCAATACAAATAAAATAGTACAAACCAAAAAAAAAAAAAAAAAAAGAAAAGTGCTACAGCTGCTGAGCAAGATTCTCTTCTAATTTCTTCTCTCAAAAACCAAATGCTATCATTTAAGGTTTGGGTAAAATCAATCTTTGAATACAAGACAGGCACCAGTCTAAAGCCCAAAGTAGTTGCTTAAGAAATTCCAAGTCTCCATATTTCTGGGAGGTATGCTTTTATACATGAAATTATTACTTTGTTATTATAAAACAAATATTTCCCTAGGAATAAAAACAAGCATTTTCATTCCCTTACAGCAATCACTATACATTTTGGTATGTTTCTTTTCAGTCTTTTTTTTTTTTAATATTTATTTTTTAGGTGTAGTTAGACACAATACCTTTATTTTATTTATTTATTTTTATGTGGTGCTGAGGATTGAACCCAGGGCCTCGCACGTGCTAGACGAGTACTCTACTGCTGAGCCAAAACTCCAGCCCTCTTTTTCAGTCTCTCTTTATTTTAAGATGGTGTCTAGCCATGTTGCCCAGACTGGTCTTGAACTCCGGGCCTCAAGTCATCCTCCCACCACAGCCTCCTAAGTATGTAGGACAATAGGTGTGTACCACGACACCAGCATCAGTCTTTTCTATTCCTACGTTGATTTTTTAAAAAGTGTTAATGACTATGAGCTACATGTATGATTTTGTGTTCTGTTTTAAAATTTAAGTATCTTTCCAAATTATTATGAAATTTCTTCAAGTACCAGTTTAGCAGCTACACAGATTCTGAAGATGTGGAGATGAGAGGGATGGTGACTGTGATGATGATGATGCAGAGGCTGATTACTGGGAACCTTCTTATTGGACATTAGATTAATTTTTTACTATTTTAAGTAACTTTGTAATAAGCTTTCTGTGTTTAAGGACAATTTCTCTATTTTAATTATAATACAAGTCAGAATTAATATCACCTTCTCCAAAACCATATCCTACTAGTTAAAATCTACAATAATTTATGAAACCAAAAAATCCTTCTCTTCTACTACTTTGTCAGAATTGTGCTGTTTTCTGAAGAACTGCAAAATCTAATTTTTATTTTTACTTTAAAGTAAAAGGATTGGCAAAAACGTACTCAGAGACTACATCAACCCCCATCTTTGTCATGTAATATGTTCTTTTATATTGTCTAAACTCAGTTTCAAATAGATCATCATCTTCAGTCTCATCTTCTAAGTTATCTAGGGGAAAAAAAGAAAGATAGTGACTGACAGTTATGAATATTCTGTTTTTCTTCTAATGCTCTGATAAATGCATATCAAAGTTGATTCTTATGTTATCATAGCAATTTGTCCAATTCAATATTACTAAATTAGTATTGATATATCAAATTATAACTATTCTGTCAAGGTAATAACACATAAAAAGTAATACTATATAGTTTGTACTTACCCTTAGAAGCTACCACTGCACTTTCATTTTTGTCTAAAGCAGCCCAACATACAGAATTTTCCTGGCCCTATAAAAATTATAAATCATCATAAAATAAATGGTAAGATATATTTCAAGGGGATATTTAAAAAATGCTAAAACTAATTGAAATTATCCTTAAAGGAAACAATCAAGAACGTGAAGAGAGAGCCTACAGAATAGGAAAAATTCTCTACCATCTGCACATCAAATAGAGCATTAATCTTGAGAATACAGAAAGAACTCAAAAAAAAAAAAAAAAAAAAACCAAAAAACTTAACACCAAAAAACCAAATAACTAGGGCTGGAGATGTGGCTCAAGCGGTAGCGCGCTTGCCTGGCATGCGCAGAGTGCTGGGTTCGATCCTCAGCACCACATACAAATAAAATAAAGATGTTGTGTACACCAAAAACTAAAAAATAAATATTAAAAAAATTCTCTCTCTCTCTCTCAAAAAAAAAAAACAACAAACCCAAATAACTCAATCAGTAAATGGCCAACGTCTGTAGCAATTAGAGAAATGCAAATTAAAACTAAACTGAGATTTCATCTCACTCCACTCAGAATGGCGAACGTCAAAAATATAAGTAACAATAAATGTTGGTAAGGATATGGGGAAAAGGTACACTCATACATTGCTGGTGGGACTGCAACTGGTGCAACCATTCTGGAAAGCAGCAGGGAGATTCCTTAGAAAACATGGAATGAAACCACTATTTGACCCAGTTATCCTACTCCTCAGCATATACCCAAAGGACTTAACATCAGCATACTACAGTGTCATAGCTACATCAATGTTTATAAACAGCTCAATTCACAATAGTTAAGCTATGGAACCAACCTAGGTGTGCTTGAACAGATGAATGGATAAAGAAAATATGGTATATATACTCAATGGAATATTAATCAGCCATAAGGAAGAATCAAATTATGGCATTTGCTGGTAAATGGATGGAACTAGAGAATATCATACTAAGTGAAATAAGCCAATCCCCCAAAACCAAAGTTTTCTCTCTGATAAGCAGATGCTAACACACAATAAGGGGTGGGAAGAGAAGAGTAGAAGTTCACTAGACTAGACAAAGTAGAATGCAGGGAAGGGAAGGGGGATGGGAATAGAAAAGTCAGTAGAATGAATTGAACATAACTGTCCTATGTTCATATATGAATACACAACCATTGTAACTCAACATCATGTATGACCACAAGAACTGCAAGTTATACTCCATGCATGTATAATATGTCAAAATATACTTCATTGTCATATATATCTAAAAAGAACAAATTAAAAATTTTTTAAAAATTCTTAAAGAACTCTGTAAAAGCTTAAAAATAATAAGTAATGTATAAATGTTTTTGGTTATCAATTTCTAAAACTGTGTGTGTGTGTGTGTATTTCTAGGGATAGAACCTAGGGCCCTGTATATGCTAGGGAAGCACTCTACCAACTGAGCTACATCCCCAGCCCTAAAACTATACATTTCTATCACGTAGAACTTAGAAGTCAGGTCATTCAAAGATAGATAAAGTGATTCTCATCAATGTTAAAGAAGAATACACTTGCCAGGTACAGTGGTACACTCCTGTAATCCCAGTGACTAGGGAGGTTGAGGCAGGAGGATCACGAATTCAAAGCCAGCCTTAGCAAAAAGTGAGGCACTAAGCAACTCAGTGAGACCTTGTCTCTAAATAAAATACAAAATAGGGCTGGGGATGTGGCTCAATGGCAGAGTGCCCAAGTTCAATCCCTGATATGTACCCCCCACCCCCGCAAAAAAAAGAATGAATTTAAATTATTCATATTCCAAGAATATACTTAAAGAGTATCTCGTTTACTTAGAACAAAGTATACAATCAACATCAAATCCTTGTATCATTTATCATGTAAGTATTTTTATGTGTCCAAAATTTATGTTACTTTTAACATTCTATTCCTTTATAATTAAATTCAGTGGTTATAATATCTATTTTCTGTATCTCTGAATCCTGTCCTTTTTGTTTTCTTTTGTTTTTTGGTATTGTTCCAGGAATTGAACTCAGGGTTGCTTAATTCCTGCGCCACATCCCCCAGTTCTTTTTAAATTTTGAGGCAGCATTTTGAGCTATGTTGCTTATAGCTCTCTAAGTTGTTGAAGCTGTAATCCTCTTGACTCAGCCCCCCAAGCCACTGGGATTACAGGCATGTGCCACTGCACCCAGCTTGAATCCTATCATTCTACGACTCTATCTTCCACTTCTTTTTTCTCTCCCATGCAATGCATTTGTTTTTCTATAACTCTTCATCTATCCATCCTTCATATTCTGCTTCTGTTTTTCATCCATTGTGATCTCAATCCTTTCTCTCCTCTGTTTTTGGATTGCCTGTCAACTGCCAATGACTCCCATTATTAGTTCTTCCCATTTCCTTATCTTCATTTCGTTTTCTTCATCCAATTTATAGCCCCTACTGATTTCATGTGCTTAGGCTATTTCTGCCTGTGTCTCTAACGTTAGCCACATACATATGCCTAGAATATGGTCAAGTTTAAGGAATGAGTTGAGGCAAGGAAATCAGGGATTACTGACATGTTAGTTCTGTGCACACAGGTTCGCAAAGCATCGCAAAGCTTTTTATTGGGAGGAAAAAACGCACAGATGGAATGAAGACTGACCATTACCAAGTTCCACTAAGGAAGAGCTAAGTAATTAGAAAGACCATTCCAGGAAAAAACAGAATAATTGCCCCTCCTGGAACAAGACATTTTAGATGTAAAACTACACAGAACCAGTATACTAAGATGAGTGCAGGAAACTTTATCAAGATCCCATAACTATGGATAGGCTGAAGATAATTTCATAAGTTTTGTTTTCAAGACAACACAAAGACATTCTTTAGAATTTATTAGAGACATATTTTAAATAGTTTTATCATATAATTATTAAGCAAATAACAGTTTATAAGATATTTTACCACTAATTACTCCTAACCTAGCCTATTAATGTAGTTTATATAAAAATCATTTAAAAAAATCAATCTAGTTGATGTCTCATGACATTAAATGCTATAAATATGTACATTTTAAAACTAGTATGTTGCAAAGATGGTGGAATGAGATGGACATCATTGCCCTAGGTACATGTATGAGAATTGAAATGTCGTGCTCCATTTGTGTAAGATGAAATGAAATGCATTCTGCTATCATGTACAACCAAGTAGAACAACAACAACTACAAAAACAATTAGTATGTTGGTCTTTTGTTTTCAAATAACATGGTTTAAATGATTATTTTTAAAAGAAAAGTAATTTTCTAGACTCTTATATTAAGAAATGTTTTCCACACTTATTTATAGAATGAAAAAGTGAAGAAAAAACAATGTGCTTCTTCAAGGGTAAAAATAAATTACTGTTAAGGATCAGATCTAAATGAGAGAATCTAGTAGAGAAAAGAAACCAAAACAACTTTTAACTACCTATAGGAAAGAAGAAATGAAAATGAAATGAGGCAACTCCAAAATCATAGAAGGAAAATGAGAAATAAGGAGTATCAGTTTTATCTCACAGCTAAAAAAGTGAAAGAACACCTAACAAAAAAAAGGACACCTTTGGTTTTTTCTTTTCCTTATAGTTCTTGGCTTCTTCTGCTGCAACACCTGCTGCTTCGTTGAGGTACTTGTTACCAACTTTGCTTTCAAACCACTTTAGGTCCACAAAAACTTCACTGAAGTGCTCCCGATCAAACTGCACAAAAAATTTAAATCCATTTAAAAATGATTCAAGTACGTATCGAAGACAAACCAAACTTTACAGAATGACTATTTCTGGGACATAGGAAATTGGGAAATATTACTTTTTACACATATTACTTTTTTACACATATGGGGACCTCATTTTCCCTATGAAAATTAAACATAAAAAGAAAATAAAAACAGAATTTATAGGCCACAAAGAAATAAATACAAAAAACTAATATAATTCCTTGTATCTTATCAGCTCATAATGGTATGAAATTAGAAATTAACATGAAAATACCTTACAGAGACTATATAAACACAGTGAGATTGAACAACACACTTTTGAGTGATGAATATGTCATAGAAGATATCAAGGGATATCTTAGCCTCGAATGAGAATAGTGATACAATATATCAGAACCTCTGGGACATTAAGAAGGCAGTTTTAAGAGGAAAGTTTAAAGCTATGAGTGTCTACATAAAAAAATTAGAAAGATCCCAAATAATCAACCTAAGGATGCAACTCAAGGCCCTTGATAAAGAACAACAAATCAATTCCAAAACCAGTAGAAGGAAGGTAATGATTAAAACAGAGCTGAAATCAATGAAATTGAAAACATAAAACAATACAAAGGATCAATGAAACAAAGCGTTGGTTCTTTGAGAAGATAAACAAGACATTTCTAGACAAATACTATCTGCTAAAACTGAATCAAGAAGACACAGAACACCTAAATAGACCAGTATTTTGTAATGAGATACAAGTAGTAATAAAAAGACTTCTAACAAAGAAAAGCCAAGATGAGATGGATTCTTTGATGAATTCCACTGAATCTTTAAAGAACTAATGCCCATACTCCTCAAGTTATTCCACAAAATAGAAAGGGATGGAAGACTTCCAAATTTATTTTATGAAGCCAGTATCATACTCATATCAAAACCAGATGAGGATATGTCAAGGAAAGAAAACTATAGACCAATCCTTTTTTTTTTAAAAAAAATACATGTGCAAGGCGGGCACTCTACTAATGAGCTACAGCCCCAGCCCCTAGACCAATTAACTCAGATTCAAAAATACTTAATCAGATATTAGCAAACTGTGTTCAACAACATAGTAAGAAGATTATACACCATGACCAAGTTGATCACTTGTTATTTCAACAGATTCATAAAAGATCTCTGACAAAATTCAGTGCTCATTCATGATTAAAACACTGAAGAAACTAGGGATAACAGGAAACTACTTCAACATCATAAAGGCTACATGTAAAAAACCCAAAGCAAACCTTATAGTAAATGGGGAAAAACTGAAAGCATTTCCTTTAAAATATAGAACAAGAAAAGAATGTCTGCTCACACTATTCCTTTTTAATATAATGCTAGAAATTCTAGCCAATGCAATTAGGCATGAGAAGGAAACAAGAGGTATAAAAAGAGGAAACGGGCTAGGGATGTGGCTCAAGTGGTAGCATGCTTGCCTAGCATGCATGAGGCACTGGGTTCGATTCTCAGCACCGCATAAAAATAAAACAAAGATATTGTGTCCACCTAAAACTGAAAAATAAATATAAAAAAAAAATAAAATAAAAAAATAAAGGGCCGGGGTTGTAGCTCAGTGGTTCAGCACTTGCCTCGCATGCGTGAGGCACTGGGTTCAATCCTCAGCATCACATACAAAAAATAAATAAATAAAATAAAGATATTGTGTTTATCTACAACTAAAAAAATATTTAAAAAATTAAAAAATAAAAAAAAGAAAGAAAAAAAGTCAAATTATCACTTTTGCACATGATATGATCCTATACCTAGAAGATCCAAAGAACTCTAACAAAAGACTGCTAGAGCTACTAAACAAACATGGCAAACAGTAGGTTACAAAATCAACATACAAAAATCAATAGCTTCCTTATATACCAACAATGAATCTCTGAGAAGGAAATCAGGAAAATAATTCCATTCATAATAGTCCCCAAATAGGGGGACTAGGAACAAATCTAACCAAGGGGGTGAAAGACCTCTACAATGAAAACTATAGAACACTGTAGAAAGAAATTGAAGAGTTCAAAAGATGGAAAAACCTCCCATGTTTGTGGATAGGCAGAATTAATATTGTTATAATGGCCATACTACCAAAGCAAATATAGATTCAATGCAATTCCCATCAAAATACCAATGACATTCTTCACAGAACTAGAAAAAAATAGTCCTAAAATTCATTTGGAAGACTAAAAGACCCAGAATAGGAAAAACAATTCTGGGCCAAAAAAGCAATGCTGAAGGCATCACAATAGCAGACTTCAAATCATACTACAGGACTACAGTAACAAAAACTGTATGGTATTGCCATAAAGATAATGGTACAGGATAGAAGACACAGAGACAAAAACCATACATCTACAGTCATCTGATCTTTGACAAAGGTGCCGAAAAATACACTAGAGAAAACACAGCTTTTTAAACAAATGGTGCTGGAAAAACTGGTTATCCATACGTAGAAGAATGAAACTATAGATCTTGATCTCTCGCCCAGCACAAAAATCAATCCAAAATGGATCAAAGACTTAGGACTTAGATGAGAAACTATACAACTGCTAGAAAAAACAGGGTCAACGCTCCAGTACATAGGCACAGGCAACAACTTTCTCAATAAGAACCCTAAAGCTCAGGAAATAATGCCAAAAAGATGGGATGGCATCAAATTAAAAAGCTTCTGCACAGCAAAGGAAACAATTAGGAATGTGAAGAGAGAGCCTACAGAATGGGAGAAAATCTTTGTTAGCTATTCTTTGGACAGAGGATAAATATCTAGGATATACAAAGAACTCAAAAAAAACTTTATGCTAGAAAAATCAAGTAACCTTATTAATAAATGAGTGAACAAATTAAATAGATACTTCTCAAAAGAAGAAACACAAATGTCTAAGAAATATATGAAAAAATGTTCAACATCATTAGCAAGTAGGGAAATGCAAATCCAAACTACACTGAGATTTCATCTCAGACTAATCAGAATGGCAGTCGTTAAGAATACAAATAAGAACAAATGCTAAAGAAGATGTGGAGTGTGGAACTGTAAATTAGTACAACTACTATGGAAATCAGTATGAAGGTTCCTCAAAAGGTTAGGACCACCATATGACCCAGCTATACCACTTCTCATTATTTACCCTGAAGAATTAAAGTCATCATACAATAGTGATACATGTATATCCATGTTTATAGCAGCACAATTCACAATGGCCAAGATGCCTAGATGCCCATCAACGCATAAAAAGAAAATGTGATATATATACATAATGTAGTTTTATTCAGCCATAAATAAAAACAAAATTATGTCACCTGCAGGAAAACAGAAGGAACTAGAAACCATTATGTTAAGCAAAACAAGTCAAACTCTCAGAGGTTAAGGGTCCTATGTTTTCTTTCCTATGTGCGTGCTAAAGAGGAAAAGGAAAACAAAGATGGGGTTGAATCTCATAAAAATGAAAAGGAGATTAGTAGAGAAAAGAAATCAAGGGGTAGAAAGTGGGGAGAGCGAGGGAAAAAATGCTAGGATGTGATAATGGCCAAATTATATTGTTATATTAAAATATATTTGTTATTATAAATATGTAACAACAAATCCCATCAGTATGTACAGTTAAAATGCACCAATAAAAAATATGAGGGGAAGGAACAGAATTTAGGTGAAAAATGTAATTAGCACCTGGGAGATAATTATAAAAGTTTTTTTTCCTGCTACTGTTTAGTTGGTTACTGTTATGTTTTGGACATGAGATGTATCCCAAAAGCTCCTGTGTGAGATAATGCAAGAAGATTTAGAGAAATGACTGGGTTATGACAGCCTTAACCCAATCAGTGAATCAATTTCCTGATGGGATTAACTGAGTGGTGGTTGAAGATAGGTAGGGTGTAGCTGGAGAAGGTGGGGCATTAGAAGCGTGTCTTTGGGGTACATATTTTGTATCTGGTGGATGAAGTCTCTCTTGCTGTCTGATCATCATATGAGCTGCTTCCCTCCACCACATTCTTCTGCCATGATGTTCAGCTTCACCTCGAGCCCCAAGGAATGGTGCATGCTGCCTATGGGTTGAGACCTCTAAAACTGTGAGCCCCCATATAAACTTTTCCTCAGTCTATATTGTTCTGGTCAGGTGTTTTAGTCACATCGGCCAAAAGGCTGACTAAAACAGTTACTAACCATTTATAGCTACACTGGGACAGGAAAACAAAAATGTATAGTTACTTACATCTGATAGTTTCACAAGGTATTTCTCAAATCGAGGTAAGTTGAGATGTCCACTTTCATTAATATAACCTAAAAAGAAAAAAATCCAAATTTGTACTAAAATCTGACACGTTTTTCCAACAATTCTACAAAATTTTTCCACAAGCTGTTAAATGTCAATATTCTACTAATCAGGAAAAAACACTGTTGGGCTATATATAAAGCAGCCCTAGTTTCTTTGAGCTTTATATTCCTATAATATACAATATGTTTGTATAGAAGCAAAAAAAAAAACAAAAAACAGGTTCACATGATAATCATCCTTCTATATTTCCAACCACACCTGGAAACAATTAAACTGTTCTAGAATCTATCCAGATCATTTCAATTTGATATGTCAGCTTGGGGAAAAAACTAATGTCGTGTTACTCTGTTGTATGTTTTATTCAGCATCACTATTGTCTCCATATTTCACTTTAACTGAAAAAATATTTCCTTCATATTAAATACTCTGATGCATATCTATTTAGAAAAACTGAATTTCAGCTAGGTGCAGTGGTGCATGTCTGTAATTCCAGTGGCTTGGGAGGCTGAGACAGGAGGAGGATCGCGGGTTCAAAGCAACTCAGTGAGACCCTGTCTCTAAATAAAATACAAAACAGGGCTGGGGATGTGGCTCAGTGGTTGAGTTGCCCCTGAGTTCAATCCCCAATACCAGCCTCAAAAAAAAAAAAAAAAACTGAATTCTACATTTAAATACTAAAGGAGTTAAGCGAAACCAACAAGTTCCCTTGGCTTTCTCAGGAAACTAAAATTAAATTAAAATTGAAAAATTTAAATTATATTTTCTTAGGAAATTTTTATATTAGAGTTATTGTGAGGTATCAATAACTCTGATCACTTTCTTTCCTTGGGAATCATTGAAAATGACAACCTCATTGCTTGTAACCTTAGGCTTTAGTTTAGTTGGGCATGCAATTATTTAATGAATGAGTGACATTTTTAGGGTAAGACACTGCTAAATTAAAGTAGCCTCAAATGAATATTAAATTTTCTTACCCCCAAGTTCTGGAAGGATGGTAATATATGTTCCATAAAGAAGAGGCAGTGCATCATGATTAATATGTAAATGAGGTAGATGAGGGATAAAATCATTGCCAACCAGAAATCCCATCAAAATCCAATCATCTATAATTCTTTCAATATCATATTTAAATGTGATCTTTGCCTAAGGTAAAATGGAAAACAAAGTGAAACCCTGTACAGATTTCTGCATACAAAACCTTGGCCCATGGCTATGTTAATACTTACTTTTAACACTGAAAACTCATAGTCAATATATTCTCTCATTAAAGACAAGTGTAAAAGGTGAAATGTGGTTTCTTCTGGTGCACACACCCTGTAATCAATCAGAGGATCAAAACAGAGTAAATTACATTTTAAGCTCTAAGTTGAAAAATGTAGCAAACCTTAAATCATAATTATCATTAGAAGACAGTTAAGTCTTGTAATTAAAGCATATAATTTATGTAAAAGTAAAAATAATGTAACATGGTAAAGTTAAAAATAATTGGCTTATATTATGCCTTTTGTAGAAGGAATCTCAGCATTCAGAAGTCTCAAGTAATATATAATAAAACTAAGAAACCAGTGACCTGGCTCATTTAAGGTTAGCCATTAAGAGAAAGCATATGAATACATATTTTTACATCTCTTTTAGTGTAGTCCAAGGTACAAGGTGAGGCAATATCTTTCTTTCTTTCTCTTATCTGAATTGGTAAAGGGTTCTATATTCCTGGTTATCAGCCTATAAACTGTATTTAACTATAAGTAAGACTATAAAGAAATGATAGCAAATTAAATAGCTCATATGCCATTCATTCACAAGCAAGATTTATCCCAAGAATTCAAGTATAGTTCAACATGAGAAAATTAGTTTAATACATCACATTAATAGAATTAAGGGAGGGCTGGGGTTGTGGCTCAGTGGTAGAGCTCTCGCCTAGCACGTGCGAGGCCCTGGGTTTGATCCTCAGCACCACATAAAAATAAATAAGTGAAATAAAGGTATTGTGTCCAACTACAACTAAAAAATAAATATTTAAAAAAATAGAATGAAGGGAAAAAAAATCCTCATCATTTTTCAGAAAAGCATCTGACAGTATTCAATACTCTTCCACAATAAAAATATTCAGCAAGGGGCTGGGATTGTGGCTCAATAACAGAGCTCTCGCCTAGCACGTGCAAGGTGCTGGGTTCGATCCTCAGCACCATATAAAAATAAGTAAATAAAATAAAGGTATTAAAAAGTATTCAGCAAACTAAGATATGAAAAGACTTTCCTTAGTATGATAAAGGGCATTTATGAAAACTCACAGTTAATTTTTTACTCTATGGTGAAAGAGTGAAAGCTTTCCTCTTAAGATCAGGAACAAGAAAAGGATGGCTACCTTACCACAGCTATTCAAACTACTACTCAACACTTTTCTGGAAGTCCTAGCCAGAGCAATTAGGCAGGAAAAAGAAATAAAGGGAATTGAAGTTGAAAAGAATGAAGTAAAACTAAATCTATTTACTGATGGAATAATTCTCCACATAGAAAATTCCATAGAAAACACACACAGACATACATACAAAATCTAGTAGGGCTAAAGAACTAATTTAGCATGTATGGAGGGTATGAGATCAGTACCCAAATATCAGCTATATTTCCATATACCATCAATGAACAATCTGAAAAGGAAATTAAGAAAATTATTCCATTTATAAAAATATTCCAAAGAATAAATACTTAAGAGTAAACATAACCAAAGAGTTAAGACTTGTACACTGAAAACTACAAAATGTTGAAAGAAATTAAAGGAGAGACAAGTGAATGGAAAGACATCTTAGGTTCATGGCTTAATACCAAGATGCTCAAAGAGATCTACAGACTCAATGCTATCCCTATCAGAATCACAAAGATGTTTCTCACAAAACCACAAAAATCTATCCTAAAAATCATATGGAATTTCAGGAAACCCTGAGTAGATGGACAAAACACTCTTGAAAAAGAATAAAGTTGGAGGTTGTACTCTTACTGATTTCCACTACAAAATTACATTAATCAAAACATGGGTACTGGCATAAAGATATATAGACCAATGTAGTATAATGGAAAGCCCAAGAAATAAGTCCTTGTTTACCATGGTAAAATGACTTTCAATTAGGGTCCAAGAGATTCAACAGGGAAGGACAGTCTTTCCAACAAATATTGCTAAGAAAATTGGAGAGCCACATGAAAAAGAATGGAGTTGGGCCTTTACTTTTGCCATATACAAAAATTAACTCAAATGTACTAAAGTCCTAAATGTAAAAGTTAAAACTATAAAACCCAGGGCTTAGGATGTAAATCAGTAGTATAGCTCTTGCCTAGCTTATGCAAGGCCCTGGGGTTCAAAACCCAGTGCTACGCAAAATCCAAACAACAGCAACAACAAACCTATAAAACTCTTAGAATAAAACATAGGAAATAATCTTTATAACATTGAATTTGGTGATGATTTCTTGATGTTACACTAAAAGCTCAGGCAACAAAAAGAAAAGATAAATTGGATTATATCGTAATTAAAAACTTTGGTGTATCAAAGGACACTATGAACAAAACAGATTACATACCTGTTAAGGGATTATAATCCAAGCTAAATTTCTGTTCTTTCTTACAACATGAATGCTATGTGATTTACCTTTGTGTTTTTTTGCCACCAAATCGAACTTCTTCTCTTAAAAGAGAAAAATGTGCCTCGTGACTTGTTAATCCAAGCATGATCTGTGGAAAAATGATTATGAAATGTTTCTCTTCTCCCATTTTTTCTAGTATTAGATTCACAAAGGCAATTAAATGAAAACATTTCTATATAGAGAATAAATAAACAATTACCATATTAACACACAAATATCAAAGTGTGATCAAGTTGTAGAATATGAACAGGATAGTTTAAGTGTACTTTTCTTTTTTTCTGGTGGTACTAGGGGATGGAACCCAGGACCTCACACATGCTAGACAAGTGTTCTACCACTTAGCTACATTTGCAACCCTTTAAATTTTTTTTTTTTGGGCGGGGGGGAGTCCTGTGAAATTGCTCAGTCTGGCTTTGAATTTGAGATCCTCCTGCTTCAGCCTCCAAAGCAGCTGGGATTACATGCCTGTACCACTGTACCACTGTGCTCAACAAAGTAAGTGTATTTTTCTAGGAAAAACATTTTCCCCTTAAGAGTCCTATGACCTTTATAACTGCCACTCTGTCCTTTCTCACTCCTTTTCCCTACAACCTTCTCTTGGTTTTCACACATTTCTACTTGCCATGAGAAAATGGGTTAGAATTTAGAGGCAGCAGCTTTTTAATGATAAAACGTAGGGCTCTTTTGGAGGTCAAGATATTTCTAGCATGTAAAAAATACAGAAAAAATGGAAAAGGGCACCTTCAACTAATTTTATTTTACAGTATTACAGTTTCCAAAGTAAGTAAAAAGCTAGTGAGATATATCAAGCAATTGCAATGTATATTATTTATTTCAATACTGATTCAAACAATAACACAAAAGAAACATTATGCAATTAGGGAGATAAGAATACTAATTGGTTATTTATATATTAAACAATGATGTTAATTTTTGTTTTATGTGGGATAATGGCATTGCAGTTAAGTACTTTTAAAAAAACCAACCTTCCCTTTTAGAGAACCATTATGAAAATATGTATAGATTAAATGATATAAATATCTGGGATTTGCTTCAATAATCCAGAATGGTAGGAGAAAGAGCAGACAGATGAGATGGTTAAGGATAGGAGTTAAAAATTAATATTAAAGGTAGATGAAGGACACGAGGAAGTTCATTATGCTACTTTGGCTATTTTTGTTTAATTTTAAAACTTCCATAATAAAAAGTTAAACAAAAAAAGGCTAGTAAAAGTATTGGGGATAGAGGGCTGGGGTTGTAGCTTAGTGGTAGAGCACTTACCTAGCACATGTGAGGCACTGGGTTTGATCTTCAGCACCACATAAAAATAAAAAAATCTTTAAAAAAGGTATTGTATTCATCTACAACTAAACAAAAGAAAGTATCTGGGGCATAAAATTTGCCACATCAGGAGGTATTAAAAGTCACAGAACCTTGAAGAGGTTCCATGAGAGGTTCCCCTTTCTATAACTTCACTATTTATACTACTAGGGTCAGTAGGTCTGTAGACTAACTATAGAGAACATAATATGTTCCTTCCCCCCATCAAAAAAAAAAAAAAATTTTTCCAACTGTTTTAGAAGTTTGGTAAAGGCAAAAGTAGGAATCATTGTTTTTTGTATTTATTAACAAAGCCAATAAGATTCCTATATAAAACTGAGTCTCTTAGATATTTACCTACAATGACATAATCTTATAATAACAATAAAATATTATACCTACCAAGTCAGCATCTAAACCATAAAGACAGTGTCTGGTGTTTGGATCATGATCTGGTTTTGCTTTCTCGGATCTGATAAATTCCATGATTTTATGCTCTCCTTCTCCGGGTGTCTAAATACAATGTTTTTAAAAAGTGTGGTAATATGTTATGGTTGAGAATATTACATAAACTTTAAAAATTTATTTTAAATAAAAAAAGATGGTAACCTCATGGCCTGAGAAGTAGATGGTAACTCCTTGCCATGACTTGTCTGTGGAAATTTTCATATTTACAAAATATTTCAGATGTTCATGTAACCTAGCCATGAATTCTGTCCCTATAAATAAAAAGTTTAAAAAAGATTAATCTGAGAAAGACATGAAAACAGTGAATTCCCAGTGACAACATATAATTAGATTTGGATGTCCAGGAAATAGCTAGGTACAGGATCTTTGAAGGTTAAAAGCCTCCTTCTTTATCCTGAAAGAACAAAATGTTGTACCATTCTCTCGAAAATAATCACAGCTGCTTCAAATCTTGCTAGTCACCAAAATGACTTCAATGTCACAAGGGGAAGTCAAGAAATTTTAACTACTAAGGAATATGCTTTGTGTATTTTTACACAAATGCAGAGTTTGCACACTAATGAACTTCAACTTTCTACTTCTTTTGTTAAATTCTGAAGTATTTTTGTAAGGCATGCAGTTTCAACTATATTGCCAAAAATAACAGTAACAAAATATTATCACTATTATTAATCTGAAAAATCATTAATCTAGAAAATTAGTCTACAATGATTATAGTTTAGGAAAAGCCCAGTTGATCGATACTCAAAGGCAATATAGTTGTACACTATAATCAGGATAAAACTAGTAATGTGCATCTGACACATTTAACCAAAGAGAAAATTACTATTCATAAGGAAGTTAGATTTTTTAAGATTTATGTTCAAACACAAAGCTCCTAAGAATATAAGTATGCTACTGAATGTAAAATTAAGTTAAACATATTACTGATAGATTTATTTTCCTTAAAGTCACAGAAATCTTATTTGCTTTTGAGAGGTAGAGTAGTAAACTCTCTGGATTAGGAAAATGAGTGTCTCATCCTGGAATCATAAGGCAGCAACATGAACTTGATAAGTTACAACTTCACTGACGATTTAATACCAATAAATGGCAGAATCAGGACTGAAGGATTTTATGTTTCTTCTAGATTTAGAATTCTGTTTACATGTGGAAGTCCTGCCCATATCTGCTTTTTTTAACATCTGAAAATTCCTAGAGAGGGTCTCTATAGGAGCACTTATGACCAAATCATCTCATGAATAGACACAAGTGGGAAAATATAGCAAATGGAACCTTAAGACCAAAATAAGTCTGGAAAATAAAAATACACTCGAAAAAATAAATTTTCTATTTACATTTTAATTCATTCAGAATTTTTCTCTCAGTGAATTTACCTGGTGTAATACAGTTGGAATCAAACCTGGCCTCTGTAGGAAGAGTTTCTCCCTTTTCTATTGCCTTTTTTATTTTGTCTTCTGCCTCCTTGGCTGACCTTAAAGGTTAAGGGAAAAGAGCATCTTAAACTTGCTGAAAAGAAGTAAAGATCTTTATACAAATTGTTATTTAGGTGCTTTTAAAATCAAAATACAAATTCATCAATTTTAAGGTTCAAAAAATACAAGTTTTGAAATAGTTATAACTGATAAATATGAGCCTCAATTCTTTTGACGTAAAGAATTGAGTTTTTCACATAAGGACTATAGAAGTTGGATACTAAACCAGCAAAACAGACAGAAATTTAAAAATACTTATGAAGTAATTTTTATCACAAATATACTGCAAATTCATTCTAGAAATGACTTAAAGCACTGCACAGCTTTAAACATTCCTTATATACACATTTAAGAATATCATTTAATGATCTTAATCATTTTATGATCTTAAATGTCATCAATGATCTCTGAGAATATTACATAAGCAATTATAAAAAAAATTCTCACATATCTTTGTAGCACATCAGAATGCCACATGGCATACAAGTTAAGAAGCTCTGCCTCGGGCATACTTTCTACAGAATTGCTACTAATTCTATCTACTATGCTCTGAATTCTGTTTTCATGAACAAATTCTTCCTCCTATTTAATCTCTCTCTTGCCAACCTCAATATAACAAAAACTCAAATAACACTAACTCATTTGTAACCTCTGCAGTGTATTCTTTCTTCTTTTCTCCTCTTCTACTTTAAATGAACAAATGACTATTCAATGCAACTATGTGGCAAAGTCTTGGGATATAACAAAAGAGAAATGACTCCAGGTCTCAGAGATTATACTCTAATGGGGAGACAGAAAATTACATAGCCATATGTTTAATTTGAATGCAATATGGAAAATGTTTGGGATAAGGACAAGGTAAGACTATTAGGCAGCCAAGTACATGGTACTGTCATTCACTGAAACAGGAAACAAAAGGAGGGCAGTTTTGAGAGAAAGGTGAGTTCAGTGTTGAACATGTTAAGCCTCAAGGGTAGCAAGCATTTGGATAAAAAGGAGCTTGGGAGAGAACCACCAGAAAGATAAATTTGGGAGTCATTAGGATAGACAGAGTAATTAAAGCCACAAGTGGATCACTCAGGGCCCAGGAGAGAACCGTTAGAAATACTAACAATTTACGAAAATCATGGCTGGGGTTGTGGGTCAGTGATACAATGCTTGCCTAGCACATGTGAGGCACTGGGTCCAATTCTCAGCACCACATAAAGAAAGAAAGAAAGAAAGAAAGAAAAAGAAAGGTATTGTGTCCATCTCCATTTTAAAAAGATATATTTTTTAAAAAAAGAAAATCAGGAAGGAAAAGAGACTACGAACGTATAGAAAAAGAAATAATATGGTTTTAAGAAGGCCAAGGAATGAGAGAAGTTCAAAAAGAATGATCAGCTCTGTTAAGTGCTATGGACAAATAAAGAAAGAATTATTCTTTGTATCTGGCCATAATCATGTGATCTTATAATGAAATTTTAGGGGAATAAAAGTCAGAAGAAAAGATTTAGGAATAACACATGTAGAATTATACATTATGAATGGAGAAAACAATCACTGAAGGAATGACAGTTGATTGGGGATTTCTGGGAAACATGAAATACTTAATACCAGCAGAGTATTTAGGAAAGGTTATGGTGGTTATAGTGGATTGGCCCTTAGCCTCCATTCTATTCTCCTCCTTCTAATATTAGAGTGGTTGCAAAGCTTAAATAAATAAATAAAACTCAAGCTTCCCTGCAGTTAAGTTTTTGGATATGACTTGATTTTTGACAATGAGATGCCTCCATAAAAGGTTTGGAAGTGCAGTGATACCTACCAACAGTTGAGGCACAGTGGCCATAGGAGATGTGTGTATTTCAGCAATGGTAGAGGAGATTCCAGTATTGAATAGGTTTGTGGTGATGAGACGGAAGGAGTAGCGCATCTGTATTTTCAATAAAAGCACCGGGGTTGTGGAGCTAATAAATGCTGTGGTGGCCTCCTGATTGCTAAATTATAATGACAGTGATATATCCTTGGAGCTAATAGTTTTGGTGGTAGCTTAATCTCTGGATCACATCAAAGGGAATAAGTTTCTGGAGATACCATTCATGTACCTTTCTGCTTAAGTTAGTCTGAATGTTTCCTATTATCTTCAAGTGAACCCCGACCAATGCAATGGGTTTATATAATCCTTCCTTAATATCAGATTTTCTAGGCTAGTGGCTCACAAAAACTAGTTTAATAAATACCAAGGGAGTCTAGTTAAAATGGTTTCCAGGAGTTTCCCAACTCCTAGAGTCAGATTAATAAGTCTTGAGTGGTACTTGAGAATCTCAATTTTGGTATTAGAAGGATCTTTCCTTCAAGGATCTCACAGTCTTTCTAAGACTTCCAAGTATCTTTTTACTTTTGATATTAAATCCGTATTTTTTGTCATTCTTTTATTCTTACTGGAAGCCTTATCCAGGGCACTCTCCCACCTTCTTTGATGACTTCCACATCTGATGCACAGGTGCTCTTTCCACTCTTTAAGCTGTCATTATGATTAAAGGATTCATTATGCTAGTGATCCATCCAAGTCTCTTGATTCAGGGTTCCTCGCCTTGGGTTGTGACAACCTTCTTACTTTTACTTCTGTTATTCATAAACAGGGACATAGCTTGATCTCATTGTTACTTAGAAATATTTTACATGTCCAGGAATTTGCCTTTAAGATCCTCTTTATGTTTTTAATCTCTTCTCATCCTTTACTTCTATACAGTGGTGCTGATAATATCCTAAGTATCCTAATTCAACTCTCTTCCCACAGTCCATCATCACCTTCTGATCTCACTTGTCTTTCTGCTCCATTAAGTTCCATACTCATTCAAAGTCAGCATTTATCTCAGGGTCTGGTTATTTAATAAATGTTACTTTAAATGTCAATAATGTTCTTATGACAACAGTCTCTCGGTTCACTCTAGTTAACAACTCAGAGTAAACCAGTATAACAACTTTGTTTTACAACTATTATTTTCAAATTATCAAAAAGAAGTTTGAAAACCTTGTGATGGAGAACAACTGAGCAACTATATAAAATCCAACATACACTTTGTGAAATGATACCTCATTTGAATTTCTAGCTCATTATCATGAGATAGTCCATTTGTGGGGGAATTTAAGCAAAAATAAACATGATTAGAAGATATGTTGTTTTACGTCAATTATTTTTGAACATTTTACCTAAAACGCCTCCCACGCTGCTGGTTCATTTTTGCTCGAGGAGCCACACCATCAACAGCCATGAAGAACACTTTCCTAGGTTTAATAATGCGAAACAACACTTCCAAGTAGTGAAAAATGTCAGTAAAGATTTTATCATCTGAAATTCTGAAGTGAACATCATCATCATTAGGATGGGAGCACTGATGAATAATTCCATTCATATCCAGGTACAAGTTATCAAATTCAGGAATCTAAAAAAAAGAAATATACTTATTATACTCATTAATTAGAATCAACCACAGATATGTTGGCATTTGGGAAAAGTGATTATCAGCAGGGTGCAGTGGTGTACACCTATGATCCCAGCAACTTGGGAGCCTTAGGCAGGAAGATTGCAAGTTCAAAGCCAGCCTCATCAAATTAGCATGGCCCTAAGCAACTTAGTGAGGCCCTGTGTCAAATAAAAAAGAAAAAAAGTAATTATCAATGATAAAAAACAAAATATAAAAAAGTGGCTAAACAATCACAGTTGAACAAAGAAAGCAAGGAAAAATCAAACAGGAAGAATTAGTAATATTGAGACATATGATTAAGAAGTGTACCAAAGACTTGATCAAATTTGCTGTCAGGCAATTATCTACTTATTCAAAATAAGATATCTCAGGAAAACACCAAATACAGTGCTTGGATCATTTGGTACTCAAAATATTAATTTCTTTCCTTTTTTCTACATATTAACTTCTCAGATCCTTGGTTTCCTTTGTAAATGGGTAACATTTACATCAAACAGTTGAATAACAGAAGTAAAAGTAAGAAGGTTGTCACAACCCAATATAAGGTTATTGAAAAGTTTAGCAAACGATTTAAAGCCTAAATGGATATTTGGTTTTACTAAAACAAAGCCACTTGATTTGGTTACATTTTAAAAATATTAAATCATGCCAAGAAATTTAGGAAACCTGAAGAACTGATTTCTTATTTGTGATACATGGATTAAATGATTTCTAAACTTTGACCAAGAGTCATCTGCCTTCATAAAAAGACCTTAACAGTTCTGGTTCTTGTTTATTTTTTTCTCTACTTAAATGTTTCTGAGCAAGTAAAGGAACACCACTGAAACAAATATACACTAACAGGGAACTGAAATTGGTGCAACTAAACAGTTATCATATTTAGCATAATCAAAGAATTTTAGCCAAGTGCTGGGAGGTGGAGGCAGGAGGATTAGCAAGACCTTGCCTCAAAATAAAAAGAAGCTGGGGATCTAGCTCAGTAGTAGAGCATGCCTGGGTTCAATTCCCAGTAAGAAAAAAAAATTAGACCTACTTTACATATTAATTAAATAAAATATGGACAATCTTATATAAATCCAATGAAAACCACTTCTGAAAGTGTAATTCAGTAATCTGAGTTTTAAAACAGGTAAGGACACATACTTCTATTACTGACAAAATAGCACACCTTTAAGTTTTAAGGGTGAAAACTTTTGGCTCTTGAAACAATGAATGCTGTAAAAACATTTACAGAAAACTAAGCATCATGTAAAATTTTATGTGTGTTCTTAATGAGTAACAAATAGGTTCAACTGAAATAATAGTTGTGATCATAAGATTTTTAACATGTGTTCAAGATTTACTAATTGTTTGAAATCTGAAAATCTCAATCAAAATCTCAATGTAATTTTGGGGTGGTACTGTAAAAATGATTCCTAACTTTCCTAGGAGAATAACTATGCAACATAAGCCAGGAAGAGAATTAAAAACAAGAGTAATGAAGGAAAATTTGCTGTCAACAAATTGAAAGTAATAAAACAATCTGAAGCAAATAAGTTTGAAATAGAGTGGGTATATATGGAAATTTAGTATGTAAGAGGCATTTCAAATCAGCCAAAGAAAGGAATGGTGTCATATCTAACTATATGGAAACAAAACTGCATCTCAACTTATAAGAAAATTCTAGAGGAGCCAGGCACAGTGGCACATGACTGTAGTCCCAGCTACTTGGGAGGCTGAGGTAGGACTATTACTTGTGCCCCAGAGTTCTAGGCCAGCCTGGGCAACATAGCAAGACCCAGTCCCCACCTCCCCCTACTAACCACCATCAAAATGCTGAAGGATTAAAAACTTCATTGTGAAAAATATAACTTAAAAAAAGAAAAAAGTGCCGGGCATGATGATACATGCCTATAATCCCAGCAACTCGGGAGTCTGAGGCAGGAAGATCAAAATTCAAAGCCAGTCTCAGCAACTTAGCAAGGCCCTAAGCAACTTAATGAGACCCTGTCTTAAAAGAATAAAATTAAAAAAAAAAAAGGGGGGGGTGGTGTTTGAGAATGTGACTAAGTGGCTAAGTACTCCTGGGTTCAATCCCCAGTACCAAACCAACCAACAAACAAAAAACAACATATACACAGTACACACAAAAATATTTTGACAATATTAGGGTAGAAAAGCCCCCAAACATAAATAAATAGTGAATTAGCTATCTAAAAATTTATTGTTGTAAATCTAAAAGGTCAAAAAAGTACCAAATTCAATTAAAAATGACAAAACAGAGAAAATATTTTGCAAATGAGGACAGTCAATATTCCTAAGAAATAAAAAATTCTTAAAACGAAGAAAAAGAGCAAATTTTACAAGTATCCATAAAAACCTGAAAACAATTAAAAAAAGAAACACAAAACTCTAATGAGCCTAAGAAAAGATGTTCATCCAAAAGTTTTGAAGTATAATGGTGTAACATTTTCTCCACATATTAGTAAAACTGAACAGACTGATATTGCCCAGTATTTACAAAGCTTTGGGGAAATGCAGTTCCACAGGTTATTAAAAGTAATAGCTGACAGTAACTGTGGACTTACTATGTGCTAAACATTAGGTTAACTATTTACATTAATTCTCTTAATTATTTATAACAACCTTAAAAATAAATATTTATTATCTCCATTTTAGAAAAGAAAGTCACAGTCCTAGGAAAGAGAAATGGAATCTATATCCAATCGTTTGAAATGGGAATAATAAATTGAAATAACTAATTTGAAAGTATGTATCGATATTTGAAAACATGTATATCTTTAACTGAGGAGTTGTATGAATGTAAATTTATCCTGAGAATCATCAGAAATGACTAATTTATGAATATGTGAATATAAAAATATCCATGGCAGGTCTGTTCAGAAAAAATTAAAAAAAAAAAAAAAAGAAAAACAATCTAAATGACTAATAATAGAAAACTGATGACAGTATACAGTGGAATATTACATATCAATTAAAAATTATGATAGAGATTTATATTTATTATGGAAAAATATCTACAAACATAAGGCCAGAGACAAAAGTAGGACAGAAAAAATGCAAATAGGATAATTATAGAAAATATTTATTTATATGTGTTTCTGCATAGAAAACATAGGAAGTATATAGAAACAACATTACTAGTTCTACATGAAGAAATTTCAGTTGCTTTTTACTTTCCTCTAGACTAATGTTTTAAAAATTCTCTTAGGTTTCAGATTAGTAAAACACAAAATGAATAAGCAACCATTGGCCAACTTGACAAAGTGAGAAAAAAATAAATGAGAGCCAGAATAATGAAAGTGTTTTTATAAAAGTAGATGCCTGTTAGTCAAAGTTTGGAAGTAATTTAATAAATAAATCACATACAGGAAATCAGTTTAAAGTTTCCTAAATTTGTTGACATAATCTAAGATTCTAAAAATTAAATTATGCTGGGCGTGGTGGTGTACATCTGTAGTCCCAGCTGCTCCGGAGGCTGAGGCAGGAGGATCACAAGTTCAAAGTCAGCCTCAGCAAAAGCAAGATGCTAAGCAACTCAGTGAAATCCTGTCTCTAAATAATATGCAAAATAGGGCTGGGATGTGGCTCAGTGGTCAAGTGCCCCTGAGTTCAATCCCTGATATTCCCCTAAAAAATAAAAATAAAATTGAAATTATATAATTATTATGCACCAATAAAAATAAATGCAAAATCTTAAAAATTAAATTCACAATTTTTATTATCATTATCTTCTCTTTCCAGTTATTATATTTGTATGTTAGAAATTTTAAGGTTGGGCTGGAGCTGGGGCTCAGTGGTGGTGCAATTGCCTGGCACATCTGAGGCACTAGGTTAGATTCTCAGCACCACATATAAATAAATAAAGGTCTACCAACAACTAAAAAAAAAAATTTTTAAAAATTTTTTTAAAAGTTATTTTATACTCTCCACCTCTCCAAACCCATATCTAATTAGTCACTGAGGTATTTTGTTTTCTAATTTAGCATCCAAAACATTTCTAGAATCTTTTCATCCTATCCATTCCTATTGTTTTAGGCGATCTCATCTTTTTCTCTAGTCCCAGATCTGCACTGGTTTAGGTGGGCAGTTTTCCAATGGGACTGCTCGAGTCTAGGTTTGTCTCACCATGGCTTAATCATTTCTTCTAAAACATAATCTAATCATTCCTTAAACCCATAAGATACTACAAATCCTAATACCATAAAAGGTCCTGTATGATTTGGCTATTTTTCCCATCAATCCTACATTCTTTTCCTGTTTCCAGATATGCCCTACAAGCTAGACACTGTGAATTAAACACCTGGGCTGTTTCAAACCTCTAAGACTTTATAGATGCTATTCCTCTTTTTGCCTCAATGCTTCTTTGCCTCAAAGCTTCTTCCTGTTCTTCCCTCCACTAATTTTCTCATCCTTCCAGATTCAGCTCAGGCACTTATGTCTGTTTTGTTTTCCCTATTAAGGGGAGATGATACTCCTTCTTTATGCCACATCTTGAACATGCCTCCCTTACTTCACTTAACGAAGCAATTAAGCACTCTCTCTTTGTTTTTTAATGAGAAAGAGAGAGAGAGAGAGAGAGAGAGAGAGAGAGAGAATTTTTTTTAATATTTATTTTTTAGTTTTCGGTGGACACAACATCTTTGTTTGTATGTGGTGCTGAGTATCGAACCCAGGCTGCACGCATGCCAGGCGAGCGTGCTACCGCTTGAGCCACATCCCCAGCACTCTCTGAATGATAGTTTATGCTACTTCTGGTTTTCAAATCTGTTTTGAGATTCAGCATTTTGAGAACAGGAGCTGTATCTTATTTTTGTGTTCTCAATGCATATAATAGTGTTGGCACATTAGTAGGTGCTCCATGAATTTTTGTTGAGTGTTTAAGAGTGTGTTTATCTCCCACTGTTAAACTCTGAGTTTCTTAATGTAAGATCTCAGATCTTTAGCACACTGCCTGA